GTAAGAGGGAAAATGGACCCGAGTAGCTAGATGACAAATGGGGGCGGATAAAGACGCGCAAGCCAGGCTGTCTGATAGTGATCTGTCTTTATGAATCTTAGCATAACTTCTCTGCGGATATCCTCGGGTAGCCTGGAAGGGCAAGAAATTTTGCGCTTTCATTCCAGACTTGTCGAGTTTGGATGGTATGGCACGGATCTTTCGTGACGAAAAGGTCAGGCGAAATCATCCTTCCTGTCCATCCTGCTCGTAAAAGATCAAGACTTTCGGAGGGATCTGGGTCATGAACCCATGTGATCTGACAAAAGGAGTCATCTGATGAACGGGGAAGTCACATTGTATCAGTTCCGGGGAGGTATGTCTCGGAGAGGTACAATACCATCGATTCCACTCCTCATCAACTTACCTAGGACGAGAAATCTTCATCATGGGCACGTATATTCGTCACACAAAAGTGCGACATCCACCTCTGTAGATCGAGGTGGTACAACATAGTGTTTTCATATGCTTCTTAGTTGGGGCTCTTCTTTCCTGATTCTATGTCAAGTATACCCGGCTTTACACCCACCTGAGGAGAGGTGTTACCATATTGGGTTTTCCGTTGACTCGTGACTTGCAAAGGTTGATTTCCATTATCCAATCGATCATTTCTCTCTGGCACACATGGGTCGTCAACCATCCCAGACAGGCAAGGATCTTTATCGGAGAGCACGGGAGTGTTCCGGGGTAGAAATTGCTCAATTGTGCCGTATGCCATTCAATGACCGGAAAAGAAAATGGGATGTTGTGGGTTACGGTGAATGAGACTTTTCAGGCCATGGCTAGTCCTGACGTTCTCCACTTGATGAGTGGTCTTAGTAAATGCAACCGCACTGGACGAACGCCATATATTGTGTCTTTGATGGAGATGCAAGGCTGCTAAGGTCGGGTACTTTCCAAGCGATGACGGGTTGGCGTCTCCTTAACAAGAGCATTCAGGGGAACATCGGCGGATTTCCTGCTGTGGAAGGCCTCGGATGATGTCAGTCGGGTAGGGCGCGTGAGAAGAGTGGTCAGCACTAGAAGTCCTGTACCGTGAACGGCTACGCTCGCTGTCCCGTCCAGGAATGCTCTCTCCTCGGCATCTAAAAGTCAACTTTCGTATTGACCTTTTTGGTGAGACAAAGGTATCCATTTACAGATTTGTATCCACCAGGATAGGCCCTTACCGCCTTCAATGATCACCAGACTTGGATCTACTCTTAGCAGCGTCCATCACGAAAATCGGCCCACAGTGGCAATAGATACCATTCTCGTCCTCAATGGACCAGACAGGGAATGGGAAACCGGGTTCCAGTCTACCCTGTTGAGGCTTTTGTCGAACACACCGAGTTTCTCATCCTGTCTACCGAGTCGAGGAGTTGTTTCTGAACACACCCAGCAACCCGCAGGAAACGGTGTGAGATGGATGCCGCGCCAATTTCAAAGCTCTCGGCAGTGTGAACGAGGTAGGGGCGTCGATCTGGCAAAGCTGATGGCGACGAAGCGACTCTTCCGAGAATCATATCGATGATGGCTTCATGGTCATGGTTCAGATGGGTGTCGGTTGTGGCACAAGCGGCCTTCAGTGGCGTGGGGTTCTTAGACGTTGGCTCCCCCTGTATATTTGAAAACCATCCTGCAATTTGAGAATGTCAAGGTAGTCGGATGTGCGGCCGACGATACTGGAACCAGTATGGGTTATCTGTCGGACAGGCAAAAGGGCCAAGCATTCTGGGACAAAGCAGCTTGTCCGTTCACTGTCTCGTTTCGCAGTGTTAAGAAATCATGTCAAGTGATCGACGCGAATGAGGGAACTAAGCCAGGAAGACAGATATGGGACGTTGATTGGGGTTATTGCAAATCCGTCTGGGGTGAATGGTTAGTTAAAAGATAGTGCCATGCAATGATCCTCTGATTTGTGCTCCCACAAGAAACGACAGACTAATATGTCGACCTCCTGAGTCCTTTTGACATGGCGTTGACAGGCCTATGGGGGTGACCAACGGTTAGTCCTGACATGAGCGGGGTACTTCTTGGTGCGACTCGATGAACTTGAAACATTTTGGGCTGGTTGATCGCGGTTAGCAGCATGGACTGCGCGGGGTTACAGTGAGTCAGAATGGACAAAATCTGATTTGTCGAATTGATCACATCGCAACCTAACGACAAAAGGCAAGATCCGGGGCGCATGATTCGACATTGTGGTTGCGGAAATGCCCAAGCTGCAAGAGGTTCGGTGCTGCTGGCAAAATTTGTATTCTTGAAGAATTGGACTTGGTCAAACGAGGAGCTCGGTGGTGACGGCGCCAATGCTGCTGCAGCGATAACATCTTGTCCCAATCGCATAGCCAGAAGAGGTGGAGCATTATCTGTGCACCGAAGCTGTCCTCTACCCGCTCGAATAAATGATCTGTGATGGTCTTTTCTTCGCTCCCAGGACCTTTTTGACCAGTTCTTGAGGGGAGCCTTTTGTCCCAACTCGCCCACGACGAGTCATTTGAGGCTATCTGATTGATTCGGCACCCGAGTTGTACAGGTCAGCCCCCCGAGGTGTTTTGGCGATAAGCTAGGTGGAGAGGGCGAGTCGACACTACCCCACTGATAATGCGTAAGGAACGTGGAGCTACTACTGCACAAAACCGAGTAGCCTTGACGGCCCTTTCCATGCAATAGCGGGAGATCATTCGCCATTCAGATAGCGATCTTGTCCATGCTCGGTATGGAAGCGGCCACAGGATGGACATTTGATTCGGCCCTCCAGAGCAAACCCCCAAAAATTTTTTCTGGATTGCTGACGTCGTTCTTCAAATGGAACAAGATCAACATCCCTTGCATCAGGGTTTTGAACGAGTTGTCAGCATTCCAGAAAGCTGTCCAAAACGTGATACTCGTCCCGTGATGATTACTATACGGCAACGACAACGTCTGACAGTGAGCCACACAGGAATTTTTGGAGAGGGTCGTGCTCCTGCATGTTTCCACATTAGAAGTGGCTTGAATAAGTTGGGAAGGAAAGCCAAATGTGTATGGATGCGGCGGCCCTGCAGTGGTCGTTGGCGGTGATTGAGCCATTCAGAAGAAAACGACATCCCACGCTGTCGAGCTCAAATCAGACGAGGTCAGGGCGGAGCCCTGGAAAGCAAAATTTGATGGTGTGGGAGGTACTGCATTGGTCTGAGTGGTTGACGAATCAAACAAATTGGCCTAAGTCCCTGGCTGGCGGGTATCGAACCAGGTCAGCTGCATCCAAGAGTCTGGAGATGAACCAAAAGGGGATGGACGGCGATATTCTTGGGAGAGCCATAGGCGAGTGGTTTACAGATGTGTGTACAATGCCGTCTGAGTGCTGAGAAGGACCAAAATTGATCTCACATAGGGTGCCTGACCAGTGACGGAGTCAAAGTCGGAAAATTGCCCATAAGATATGGTCAGCGCTTGCCGTGGCCGGAGGTACCTTTTAGGGCTGAGCAAGGGCCTTCTAACGGATCATGAATAACAGAGGGTATGGTTTGTCTGTGTCAGTGAGTCGAAGGTGGATTCGGGGCCCTTTGCTCGTGCTGCCCACCCCCGTACAATGGGGTTGATATTTGTGGTAGATGATACTTCGTGTTTTGTACTGGGTACCATTTGTGTGTATGCTGGTGAGTTCATGCTCAGCGCTGGCCCCATCCCCACTAGTCGACAGCGCTCTCTTCCCTCTCGAACTGAAAAAGCGTCGAATAGGTGGTCCGAGCTTTTCTGAGGACAGGGTAGCGGCTGGATGCATGAAGTCGGATTGGCTGGTGCCTTGATTGCGTGGGAGAAGCAGGAAGCGAAGATTGGGAACCCTTGGCCCCATGTTCATAGGATGGTTTAGCCTGCAGAGGGGCAAAAAGTGAAAGGACCGGGGGGGAGAAGCGCCGAAGGAGGGAGTGGATTGATTGGACTTTGAGGATTCGAATATGACCTGGTGGTTTGATTTGACTTAGGGGTTCGGGAGGCGGCCGGCGCTGGCTGATGGCTTGCGGTGCGGTACGATGGTAGATGGGCTGATGGTAAAACTGGATTGTGGATAGTGCTCTCGAGATGACACAGACCGAAAACAGGAGCGGGTGGAGTGAGTTTGTATGAGACAAGATGACGATGGACAATGGCAGATGGGATGATGAATCGACCGTGGCGTGTAATGAGTGCTGTGTGTGGGAAAAAAAAAAAAAAAGGTTTGCAGCTGTAGTGGAAGCCAACCTGGAACTGCACCTGCCAGCATTGAGGTCTGCAGCACTAGTCTTCCCCTCTTCTTGAAGATTTCAAGTCCCAGTTCAGCATCAGGCTAGGCTTTCCTGCAAAAACCTGTAACCTGCGGCCTCAGGCTACGCCGGACGGAGGCCATTCCCCTTTCAGGCACTCTCTGGCTCATCGCCGCTCATCTTTGAGCCCATCCTCTGCATCTCCACTGGGCTGGCTTGCGCTAAAGCCAGTGGGCCTCACTCAGTCACTCGCTGGACGAGAACTCCACCCACGCAGCCAAAACTTCCCTCCAAGCTCGAAATCTTCATACCATGCCAGTGCACATCCATCTCCACTCCCTCCCATCGCATCGCATTTCTTTCGTCTATAACATATATCATTCCCAGTTTCCCATGACTACACACTATTCTCTCTATCCCGCTCATACTCACACGCAGACATAAACTCTATCTCTTTTCCTTTCTCAGCAGCGACCTACCACGAAGAGGCAATTGCTCCACACGCACCTCCATTAACGATATCAAACGTCAGCCTCCGTCTGAGGATGAGATACAATTCTGCCTGCGTGACCCTCCATTGAGTCAACACACCCTCACTGCCGCACTCACATTACGACCATCTCCACAAAGTCATCTCGTGGCCTTGCAACACCGTCCCAAAACCATATAATTGTCAAACCGCTGTTATTTTCCTTGCATCTTGCCATCTCGACTTTCCTTACAGACTCCCTCCTTCCACCAAGTCACACAATCATGGATTTTCTTCTCGGGGACTTTTGCTTGTCCTGCGACCGACAGACCAATGGTACAGCCTTCTGTTCCTCGGCCTGTCGTCTCACACAACTGGATCACTTTACCCTGGCCGAATCCACCAATTTTTCTTTGGGTGACACAAATACCAAAACATCCTCCACCTCCACCAACCTCGTACAACGACCGTCCTTGTCTCTATCCACCCACGGCTTCTACCTTCCACCAGCCTACGATTTCTCCATTCATCGAACATCCTCTTCCAATTCTCTGTCCATGTCCTTGACCTCTCGACCGCACAGTCCCAAGTTGTCTGAACAGGCTCAAAACGATCTCAAAGACTACGTTGGATCTTTCGATCAGACAAGAACACTTCGACGACGAGTCTCGATGCAAAGCAATGAAGACATGAAGACCTCGTCCAGGGCTTGAGATATATTATTATTATTAATATTGAAACGACGAATATGGGCGCACGAAAAGAACTTCACTCTTTTCCCACATCTTTTTAATCTTTGTTTGATATGCATAGCATCGGAAGGAAATTCAAAAACGAAACAAAGGCATTCAGTCGGCGTTCTCGGGACTTTGAAGTCGCAAGCCAAAAAAGAAAAAGAAAAGAGGGAGGGGAGAGAGGGGAAGAAAGAGTCAGGAAACATTATCAAGTCGAAAGCATTTTCCGCAAATGATGCCATTGTCATCGTCGCTCATGCATCAAGGGTTAGATGGCTGGAGTAAATGAAATACATGATTGACGGATGGGTTGACGGGCGTTGATGTTGTTGTCGTTGTGTCTGTGGTTGTGATACCAGATGTGAAATTATGTCAAGATGTGCCTGGTGTTGGGATGTTTATGGGTATGAACATGAATATGGATATGGGTTATTGATACAGCTGGAGTGTGCTTTGGCTGTATGGGAATAAGGGATAACAAGACCTTTTTCGGCCTCGACCGGGGTGATGGATCATGGTCCCCGATCCTTCGATGTATGGGATTCTCCTTTGTTGTCTTTGATATGATGCGATGCCATCTGCGGAAAATATGCCAGGAGCACAGCACTCCCTTCTCTTTTCTATTTCTTTTGTCTTCAATTTGCCGCTTCATGTCAGATAGCACAACACAATCATATGGATTCCAAGACGGATCCCCAATCCAGCTACGCTCTCTTGTACATTCCAATCCCATCTACTCTGGCGGTCCTCGTCCTCGGAAACCTTCTCCGTTCTCCATTTTGCATCCCTCTCTTTGTTTCCTACCTTCCCGACGTACTAAACTACTTAACTTGCCAATTGTGACTAACTCTACCACAGCGCTGCACATACTAGTAGGTAGGTCAGCCGGGATATTGACGTGAACATTGATTATGAGCGTCGATCAATGACTGTCGTATGTACCAAGTATGATTGGGACTTGCCGAAGAAAGCGATCATCCACATCGAAAAGCGTCATGACTTTCTTGGTCCTCTGAGGAATACAGACTCGGGAGTCCTCCATCCCCCAATTACGGTCAGTTCCTTAGGGGTGAGATATACTGAGCTGTCTAATCGTCAAGTACGCGCGTAGATACAGCACACTTTGATTGATTTAGATTTTGCAAGCCCTGCCTTTGAACAGTATCACTTTCACCTTCTCTTGAGAAACTCAGGCAGTTGCCGCAAATGTATGTTCCTCAATGCAAGGGACAACACAAGACCCTTCAATCATTATGATTTGTCAGATTCGGATCGTTGAAGGCTTCCCGTCCTGCCCTGGCACAACGCAGCGAAAGCTCGGAGGTCAGCCCATCTTGTGTCCGTGTCCGTGTCTTTGGCAAAGCTCCTCTCGTAGCATGCCTTTTCGGCAAAATATTTTGATGGAATAAATTAGAATGGAATAGATGGAGAGATCTCATCTCAGGAGCAAAGACTCATTCTGTTAGCTCCATTGTTCCCATTGCGTGTGATTCCGTATATGTCATCTGTACGGAGTTTATGTAAGAGGTGCCTGCCCGCTGACGGGATACGAGATTCGAGCTTGTCATTCAATTTGTCAACCACGCGACCAAGTAACAGCTTTCTGACACAAAGCAAGGAACATTTTTGGAGCACAGAGGTGGGAGAAAAATTTCCCGTCTGAATTGGCACTGGCTGAAGAACAGAGTTAGTGCGTCATCGTTGAGCTTTAAAAGTTGGGCCTGAGCCTGAGGCTTCAGGAAAGAGTTGAGAGAAAATGTTTGTTGCACTTCGTTCTTCGATGCCTACCGAAGTTTCCCTTGCCTGGCTTGCTGGGATGTCGACCCCTCGGCAGAACCCGACCCAGTTACTCCTGTGAGAATGACAACTTTTCAGGCATCCCTCTATTCAGCAGGCTGCCCTCCCCTTGCATTGCGTTTCCTTTCCCTGCATGAGGAGACACACAAGCCTCAAACCCCGCTGTGATCGATTTTGGACTTAATAAATGCAAGCCACATTCCATTGTGCGCGTGCTAGGCTGCTAGCCCTTTTGGCCCTCTTTTCTTTTGCGGGGGGGGAAAAAAACTGAATGTCACCTCGGGGGGGCCGGAGGACCACCCCGCAAGCCCAATGCACTGACCATTTTGTTGCGAGATGGCGTCCGCCTAGCTGCCTCCGTCGCCAATCCCAGAGGTCAACTTTACCTAAAGAAATACTAGACTTTGGACCTCGAGAGGAGTGGCGCCGAGCGGTCCGTTTCGGCATCTATCGTCTTTTGCCAAAAATTTTCGCAATTGGAGGGGGCCTCTTAGGTTTTGCCTTTCAATATGGGGGGATTTTCTGGGGTTTGGAACCGTCGCTAATTTCCAACTAAGCGGGGTTGGAATTGAAAGGGATCTTTTTGACGTTTGGCCTCATTGGGAATCATCAGGATTGCTAGTATCTTGTCTTTCCCTGCACGATGCGAGATCGTCTTCGAAAGGTTGAGGTAAAAAAGGCTCTGGAGATGTGCGATGTACACGGGGGTTAGAAGACACCGCATTCCGAGCCATGCGAGGTCTTTTTCTCCGTGGTCCGAGTTGATCGGTCGATTTATGAGAGTCAGTTGTGAGTACGAAGTGCCCACTGCAATCCCGTTTCATGCCTATAGCGATGTGGTCCCAGCCGCACTGTTCCGTTGAATGTTATGAATGAATTTTTCATACGAGGCAAGAGTCACTCACCATCATTCTGCTCCACTGCCCGATGGATTTGTGACTTGTTCCTGCATCCCCGTGGTGGAGCAGGTATTCCTCGACCGATGAAACTTGACCACGTCATTGCACGGAAGACCTTTCAGACAAATCCAATCTGGATGATCGTCTCACGCCACTGGACCGTGGACACCGTCGGTGGCAAGACTCTTCGTTTCAAATTTTCTCTCAAACAATCGAGTGACGAAGTTGATCCATACTCATCGTGGGCTTGGCGGAACTGCAAAGCTAGTAAAATCGACAACCAGCAAAATTCGACTTTGATAGTGAACGGAGAGTCCGGCATCTGCCCCCCCACGCTAACCAAGTCCAAAGACGAGAAGAATTTCCCAGAACGCGCTCAGCTCGGCTATTCAAAGACGATAAGTGTGTGTTCATTTTGGGATTGGCGTAAGCGTGGTGATGAAATGCAATCCCTCTGTCGGGCATTTGCCAGACCAAGCATTCGATGTCGGTGACTCCCTATTTGGTACAACAATTTGACGTCAACATTCTCGCTTCTTCAGCCAGCCTTCTTTACCACGTGGAGAACATTTTCCAAGTCGAGGCCTTCATGTGCAACTGCCCGTCAATTGGTGCGGGTAGTGTAATGTCAATTTGGATGCTGGTGGCATTACTGCTCCAGATGAACTTTTTATGGCTGCCCGCGATGGAACTGCCTGCAATTTTCTTTTCAGTCGCCCCCTTCGTACAACGAATGGATTTCTTTGCGGTGGAGGCTCTAGCCACTGGCATCTCTTACTGAAAGAGCTGTTTCAACTAGAGAGATCCCATGCTCCTGGAATCCCTATCTACTAAGCTGGAACTTCTCGTGACCTATTCTTCAGTCTCTTGGATCGGAAAACAGGGCTTGTACTCAAAAATCCGGATTCTGGGCCTGGCCATTCCCGAGGTCTTTGGGCACGTTGTCTATCCGATCTGAAATGATTGGCTTGTCGGGGACTGGGGCCAAAACGTTCCTTCCTACTATTGGAAGTCGCTTGAACGGGCTTTGGAGACTTTAGCAGGAAAGTAGTGAACTGCCTCATGAAGTCAGGCCGTTAGCGTGCCAACACGCCACGGACGACTCAGCCGGCCTCTTGCCTTGACTTCTCGTATTGCTGCGGTCGATCCGTCAACAATGTTCTGTCGCCGTTATCTCCCACCAATATAGCGGTCATAATCAACCTTAATGGGATATAAATTTGATAGGACCACCAAAATGGGATCGGATCTCGGGGACTATACGTATCATCTTGCCATAAGAGTAGGTGCTTGATGAAGAGGACTAAATTCCCCAGACAATCAATCAGGCTGCTTCGGACGGTGATCACATTGATGAGTGGTGCAAGACATAGTTGAAGCAAATCCTGACCGAAGCAGTAGATTCCAGATGAATTTGAACTTGGCATGGCCGCATCCCCATCAACTCGGTGATTTTGGACCCAAAACGCAGACCTGGATTGCTTGTCGTCATCCTCTAGCTCTGGTAACAGGCAAGCTAGATATGCTCGGGCCAATTGTGTCGAGCCACTTACCCCACGGAACAATAGTGCTGCCGCCTGGGCTTGAACGGAGACATCAGCGGGTAGGATGCTTTTCACCACTCCTGTTTCGATGACTCGCTCTTCGATGCAAAATTCGATACCCAAATGGGTATTGAAACCGGTCCCTTGTCTGCGCGCGAATGTTTGGACAAAATGTAACATAAACCGGTTGAGGGCGGAGTTGGGATCTAGGGCTCGATAACAACTAGCATGGCTAGAAGAACTGGCGACAAATGCTGTGACCTCTCCCCTAACGATGACTGCAAAGGTAGAGAATCTTTCCAATCCATCTGTATCCTGCTCCAACCTCAAGGGGTGGGCTTTGGCAATGGCAATCTGGGAGACCGTGTTGTATGTCTGACTTAATGTTCGTCTGGGTAGCACTGTTCTGACACGATTCGTTGAAACTCCGACGTGTTCCGGACTGTGAAGCATGTATTTCCGGTTACCATGCGCTGTGTTGAGCACATTATGTATCTCATCTCGAGACCTGACATCGTATGCTTCTGGGACAGGCAGACCTAAGCTCTTGGTGTGTGACAAAAATGCATGCCGTGTGGCGAAGGACGGAGCATCATTCAATCGTAGTGCAAAACAGTGGCAATTCGTCGTCTGTTCAATTATGTTTCTTGCCTGTGCTTCAACGTTTGGATCTGTACTGCTGGTGCAATTGATCCAGAGATCAGCATGTTCTTGTTCTATGATCCGAAGCAGAGCAGTAATGTATGCGACGACTCGTCTTTCTTCACACTGATATGGGAGTCTATGGAACCGAGTCAATGCTCTTGAGAAACGGACATGAATCGGAACTCCTCCTGGCTCATAGTCGGCTCCTACAACATTGTGACCAGTCTCGTAAAACGCCCTGGCTAGTCGCAAGCCATGGGGAGTATTGATCCCACTCAGAAGGATGGTCTTCGACCTGAAGCCCGGCATTTTCTTGAGGTGGTGATGAAAGGTGTTTTCGGGTATTAAGAAGATGTAGAGGTAATTGACGAACAGGAGGAAGGTCGAGAATGGAATGGAAGAGGCTGCTAGGAAGACAACGGGGAGGTACTGAATCCTTTTTAGTATTGACATCACATCCGAATGCGAACTAGTCAACAATGTAGGACTCATGGCTAGATCATCGAGCTGCCACATGTGAGAGTTCAGATAAATCCGGAGGGCCCGCGAAGCGGAAAGCATGCAAGGGCCTGATCGTAGCAGAAGATTCCCCCAGATACCGCCAGCGCCAGATCTCATCCTATACCATTATTGCGGGAAGTCGTTTATATTGAAAACGACGAAGCGAGAAGAAATCCGTGTCCATCATGGTATGTTTGAAGCAAAATCTCAATCGAGGTTGGCCATGAGCGGTACAGTGAGAGAGAGCATGAGAACTAGCAATAATTAGCCAGGTCTGACAAGAAACAGGCCACCGACGAAGAGCAATATTCAGGATATTTTATTTCTCCAGTTATTGTCAGTCATAAACGATTTTTCCGGTCAGCTTCCTCAGCCGTGAGTCTCATCTACGCCCAATCTAGTGGGTTCCGCGAGGTCGATCTGGTGGCGTCGTTTAGCTGGGAAGTGATCCCCGGTTAGCAAGCTCGGGGGGCCAATAACTTCCATCTTCACCTCCATCTGCCGCTCTTAAAAAACATCATTCAGAGCTGAAAAAAGCCCGAGAAAACACAAATTAAACACTGGGCACGGCGCAACGTGAGTTCAATCATGATGCTTCCTGCCCATTGCGCTGGCCTACAGCTCAATTCCTCATTCGCATGTTTTTCTCCTTACCTCCAGAAGTCATCTTTCCTTTCCAATTCATCGCCGCCCGTTATATCAGCGCATTCTCATTCATCAGGAGTTCCTCCCCTTTTGATCAACTGTCCAGCAGAATCCTAATCGTCACCGTCGCATTGACGGACGCGCGTCGCAGCCATGGCACAACAAGGTGAAGCAGCCGACTACTACAGCAGTCAAAACCTGACGGGCAATCAATATCAACGGCAAAGCTATCAACAGTATCCTCCTTCCCAAGCCGCTCCTCCTCAAGGCTATCAGCAGCAATATGAGCAGCCATATCAACCACCACCACAACCTTATCAACCTCAAGAGCCAAAGTACACTCAGCAGCCTCCTACCTACGGTGACAATTTCGTCCCCCCACAAGACAATAAACAGAGCTTTCAGGAGACATTCAAGATTCAGAAACCTAAATTCAATGATCTGTGGGCGGGGCTCTTGGTATGTTCAGCCACATGTTAAAATGAAGCAGCTCAAATGCTAATGGAACACAGCTCACTGCAACGTTCTTCGGATTTGTCGCAGTCTCTGGACTTACCCTTTATCGATATTCAAAGTACCATACCTTTAATGGCGGAGGCATATATGGATCGGACAACGACTTCTCTCTGAATACAAACACTATCATTCTCTTCGCCTTTGTCCTATGCGTCGGACTCGCTGTCTCCTGGGCATACTTTCTCGCCGCTCGTGCTTTTACGAAGCAATTTGTGTGGTTGACGGGAATCCTCAATTGTGCGCTGGCTGTCGGGACTGCCGTGTACTATCTGTACCGTCGCTTGTGGAGCGCAGGCATTGTTTTTGCCATCTTTGCCATCTTTGCCATCATCTGCTTCATCAGCTGGATCCCTCGTATTCCTTTCGCAGTTGTCATGCTTCAACAAACCATGGACATCGCAAGGATGAAAAGAGTTCACGTTTTCCTTGTCAGCTTCGTTGGCGGCGTTGCCAGTGTGGCCTTTGCAGCATGGTTCTCTGTGACGCTCGTTGCAATCTACGTTGCATATATGCCCAGTGACGCGAACAGCAATGCTAATCCTGCATGCGCCGATGGTGGCTGTTCGAGTGGTAAAGTGATTGGCCTGGTGGTGTTTGTTACCTTTGCTGGCTATTGGATTTCCGAGTGGATCAAGAACACAATTCACACAGTCGTTGCTGGCGTATACGGGAGCTGGTATTTCTGTGCAGGCAGACCAGGTGGTATCCCTCGAGGTGCCACTGCCGGGGCCTTGAGGAGAGCAACGACCTACTCTTTTGGATCAATATCCTTCGGAAGCCTTATCGTCGCACTCATCAACATGTTGCGTCAAGCTTGCAGCATTGCACAGCGACAGGAGGCCTCCGATGGGAATATCATTGGCACCATCATGTTCTGTATTCTCGGCTGCATTGTCAGCATCTTAAACTGGCTGGTGGAGTTCATCAACCGATACGCATTCTCTCATATTGCTCTTTACGGCAAGGCCTATATTCCCGCGGCCAAAGACACCTGGAAAATGATGAAGGACCGAGGAATCGATGCTCTGGTCAACGACTGCCTGGTCGGTCCAGTCCTCACTATGGGATCCATATTTGTGGCCTACCTTTGCGCTCTCCTGGCTTATCTCTATCTCGAGTTCACTCACCCTGCATACAATGAAGGCCGAACATTTACCCCTGTCATAATGGCTTTCGCCTTCCTTATTGGGCTACAAATCTGCCAGACTTTCATGACCCCGATTGGATCTGGAGTCGACACCATTTTTGTGGCCATGGCCTGGGACCCCCAAGTAGCCATGACGGATCATCGCGAATTCTGGGAGAGGCTTGTGCACGTCTATCCTCACGTCCAGCAAGTTATCCATGTGTAAAGGCTGGCGCCCCCGAGACAATGAGATTCTGCCTTCCTTTTGGGAAAGGAAAATGGGTCTGGGACACAGTATTGATATAGCGGATTAGCCCGATCGCATGCACTGCAACGGAGGGACAGATGTCTTCTGTCAATCCAATTCGACTTCATTTTCTGAACTACCCTGTCCCTATCTAAGCGACTCTCCCACATCAATCGAATCTACCATTAAGGCGCACCTCTTAGCCTTGCTTGCGCGTGATTTCGGTAACAGGACATTGAATCACAATATCAAACATACTGACAGTCAACCGACGACAAAGCAAAATTTGACATGCAAAGTGATTGCGGTCTGACATCACAATGCCGATATAACACGACTGGCAACCCCGGGTATGTAGGACGACCTTTTCATCAGAAAAGACGGGCAATGTGTATACTGGTCATCGGGTATATCTTTTCGTTCGTTGTGCATATTCAGTTATCATGCTTGGCTTCCCAAATAGGCAGCTCGTCAGCCCTTTTTTATCGAGCCTTTCAATGACGACTGTAAGTACAAGGTTGATGCATTGATAGACAGGGTTTGGTTTCATCTCCCATCAATCTCACGGGTCGATTTGCGCAATTCGCGACAGTGTGGATACCGGACTGCCCTGCAAATTGTGTCCAGTTCTAAACGTCACGGCGCATGGCCGGGGCATTGTCCTTGGACAATGTGATTACCGACCTTCTCAATTTGGCCTCGATCGTCGCGGTATCAACGGTCTTCAATATGAGATAACGACCACTGATGGGAGAGGCGTGTTGCTTGATGAGCTTATATAAATCTTGATCGCAAAGATCCACGGTCGAAAGTCAACCAGATTTTCTTCTCTTTGGAATTACAGGGTCGTCCCCCAAGACTCCTGAGAAATGGACATCAAATCCGAGAGCTCGGTGTTCAAGAGCCCAGACCCAGAGAAGGCCTACAAGGGGGCTCAGACGCAAACCAGTGTTTCTTCAAATGCGACTTTGGACGATGCGTTGGACCAACTCGAAATATCCACCAAAGACGCCGACGAAGCTTTTGCCTACTTGAAAGGCCATCCGAATGCTGATGCCGTTCGACAAGAGGCCATTGCTATTTTATCTGATCCTAAGGCGACAAGACGGCTTTTGCGGAAGATTGACTTTACGATCGTTCCTTGTATGATTGCGGTGTACTTTCTTCAGTTTCTGTGAGTATCCTTACGCTTTCCTGCTGAAAGACATATACGGCACCTTGTGGATGCCTGACATGAGCATGGTGTCACGACACGACTCCTTTTTGATCACGTGGGCTTATTCTTTGCAAAACGGGTGCTGACCTCCCTTGCAGCGACAAGACAACCATTTCATACGCTGCCGTGATGGGTCTCCGTGAGGATACTCATCTCGTGGGTCAGGACTACAGCAATATCGCGATGATGTTTTATATAGGGTTCTTAGCAGCAGAATTCCCGACGCAATATTTGGCTCAACGCATCAGTCGCCTGGGTAAGTATCTGGGTGCGAATGTCATGATATGGGGGGCGGTCTTGGCCTGTATGGCCGCCTGTACCTCGTATGCCGACCTGATGATCTGCCGGACATTTTTGGGAATTTTCGAAAGCCCGGTTGCGCCGATACTCGTGTTGATCGTGTCGATGTGGTACAAGAAGGAAGAACAAGCTCGCCGCGTTTCGGCCTTCTATGTGTGCAACTCCATTACGCAGATCTTTGGATCCGGCGTCGCATATGGGGCGAGTTTTTCGACGAGTCGATTCGCTAGCTGGCGGATATTTTTCCTCACCATTGGATTAATGACGATTGTATTGGGGTTTTGTGTTTTCATGATCCTGCCGGACTCTCCAGTCAGGGCCGTCCGATTTACGGAAGCGGAGAAAATTGCCGCCTTACTTCGTGTCAAGGAGAATCAGTCGGGCACCCAAAACGCGAAACTCAAGAAGTCACAGGTGATTGAGTCGCTCAAGGACATCCGGGCCTGGCTAGTCTTTCTATCCGTGCTTCTGACGTCTATCCCAAACGGTATGTTATGTTTCACGTTCACTGCCACGTGGCGCGGTCTGATAGGGAGCCCCTCCCACAGAGAATGGATTGGCTTACTCTTTGAAACAACACCCTCCTGGTTATGTTGTGCCGCGTTTTGTATTTGACATCGTACTGTGTTTCACACGGTGGCCTTGCTGCTTACTGACGTCTCACAGGCGGCCTATCCAACTTCTCGTCAATCCTACTTACCACGTTTGGCTACAGCAGCCAACAAGCTTTGATCCTGAACATGCCTTCAGGGGCCGTAGGTATTTTCGTGGTCTTGCTATCAGGCTATCTCAGTGACCGTTGGAATGACCGTTCGTTGGTTATGCTCATCTGTTTGATTCCGACCATCATTGCTGCCGGTTTGATGTATGGTCTCGACCCGGACGGGATACCCAAAAACAAAGGCGTCCTATTATTTGCATCTTACCTTAGTGGTACTTTTGGTGCTGCTTTTATGCTGTTACTGGCTTGGAATGCATCCAATCTCGCCGGCCATAGCAAAAAGGTCACCGTCAATGCCTTGACTTTGGTCGGCTTCTGCACCGGCAATATCCTGGGTACGCAAACTTTCCAGGAGAGTGAGGCGCCGGGCTACAAGAGCGGAAAGATCTCGATTGTCGCGTGCCTGGGCGCACAAGTGTTGGTGTGCTTCGCCTTGAGATACTGTAACGATCGTCTCAACCGGAGAAACCAACGCATTCTCGAGAACATGAGCGAGGAAGAGAAGACGATAGTCCGAGAGAAGTTGGCTTACAGCGACGAAACGGACCTACGCAACCCATTTTTTGTATATACCCACTAAGGCATCTGTTGCGTTAAGGCTATATTTAGGCGGGCGCTGCCAGAATACCCATACAGTCCGGAGGGAGAAAAGCTGGCGTGCTGTCACACTCGGTCGCGCTCAGCCACCGCATACCAAGTAGTTCGTCGTCAGATACTCCGAATTCTAGTCATGGCAAGCGTCATCATGTTTCGGAATCTCTAATACATGTCCACGAAACAGAGTCTCAATAGCCGCGCAAAGGCGTCTAGTAAGCCACAAGGTGGCGTTGGCCGACCGCGCAGATTACACGGCAGGGGCCGGGGGGGGGGGCCCAGAAGACTGCATGATCGATCGGCTGAAGCTCAACATCCGTCTCATCTTTTGTGCACCAAGTCGGCTATAACCGCGATCAGTCTGTATGATTGCGATGTATTGAAGTTAATGCTTCTAAATCGGCCGGTCATCCGGTACATGTATAACATCACAAGTCGGACCTCGTACTTGTAGCTGACGGCCAGCCTTTCCGGCCTTTTTACTCAGATCAGCCGACTGCGCCTCATTTTACGACGGCGGCGCTCAAATCTGGGAACGGGGTCTGGCCATGATGAATGGCTCACCAGACCTGGGCATCCTGATCTAACGTGATCTCAAATCCCGTTTCATCCTGATTACTCTCGAAATGTTTCTAAACTCCTCATCTGAGGGGTCGTGATTGGATATGCTTTTGCCTGACAAAATACCGTTTGTGGTAATTCCCATTTTCTCTTTATTTTACTGGCCAGCCATCAATGGGCGTCCCCCCTTCCATTCCAAATCAGAACCTAACAAGGGGGACGGAAATAGCTAAATTTTCTCGGACTTCCGCCTGTTGCGGATGAATGGAGGATCGGAACGCCTGCTTCCATCTAGTAGCGCTGCAGACAACCCGCCTCATAACAAGGCAGCGAACGACGGCCGCACAGCAGAGGTTTGTCTCTTTCATCCGCTCTGTGGCACTGAAAGACTGGACAACAGTAAGATACCGGACCCTGATGGGTGAGGTGTCTCGCAAGATGAGTCATGAGATGGAATCCCGATACCTGAGTCTGGACCAACCCCCCCCCCCCCCCCCCCCCCCCCCCCCCCCCCCCCCCCCCCCCCTCCCCCTCCCCCCCCCCCCCCCCCCCCCCCCCCAACCACCTCTAGGCTCTCTCTTCCTCTCACTGCAATTGGTCATGTGCAGCCCTTGATGGGGGCAAATAATCTTCAAACTGACCACTACGAAGGCTGAATGGACTAAAATGGTTCCGTTTGCCCCAACCCCGGTCCAGGCACCCATGCCGCATTCAGTCAGCGACGTTAGGCAGGATTTAATAACCGGGTCAGCTGCGGGCTTTGTGGATGGGGAAAGGTATCAAGATATATGCCACTAGGAGCATCCAGAGGTACATGGGCACTTTTTCGGTCCTGTTTGCCTTCATGTGGCGCATGACAGAACTCTTGAACGCCCATTCCCACTAGATCAGTCGTTGCGCGGCCAGGCTGGCACTTACTATACTATCTATGCCTGACCGAGTGAGTCTTCCCGTTCAGACCGTTTGGCACAGCCTTGCAGATACCTAGTAAGCAGCAGATCCTGGCAGGTGCCAGACTGGTACTGGTACTCCATATATCTCCGCCCGAGTTATCCTCCTTCCCACAATGTTGTTCGCTTGAAGTCTTGTCGCCCCCCTACCCAAAGTACTCGTCGACCCAACCGAATACTGGTCAACATGATTATGAAGCATAACTATCCATTCTCACCACCCAGCGATAACGATTCCCCATCGATCAAGACTACCAGTACTCCGGAGACCAAGAAATCACATGTTATCATGGCAGATGAGGGAGCCCGCCCGTTGACAGAGAATCCCACCAAAATCCAAGGAGCATTACGACGAACCCGAGCACCTCCTCGCAACGAACATGGCCAGATGTACTGTGACCATATCAACTGCCGCGGGAGGAGTCAGACCTTCAAAAGAGTGTGCGAATGGAATAAGCACATGGATAGACATGAGCGACCTTATAAATGCCGTGAGGCTGGCTGTGAACTTAACCCAGGATTTACCTATTCGGGCGGGCTGTTGAGACATCAACGTGAAGTGCACAAGATGCATTTGTCGACGAAACAACCTCTCTTCTGTCCGTTTCCAAACTGTAATCGAAGTTCAGGCACTGGTTTCACAAGGAAGGAGAACCTCGAGGAGCATAAGCGGAGGAGGCACTTGGAGGAATTGTCCGACCACGCCTCAAACCGAGCGCCGTCGCATCCTCTAGCAACGATGCCGACGATACCACAAGAGAACCCCGTTAAACGAAGACGGGTTTCGACATCTATAGATGGAGGATTTGGCCAAGGGCAACGGTCTGAAAATGAGGTGGCAACCGAACCCAACGACGTCGCCTCCTCTGAGATCCTCCGTCTGCGAGAAGAACTTCGTCAAAAGGACGAGTATATTCGACGACAAGCCGCAGAACTGCATCGCCTGCAAAATCTTCTGCGCTCATTGCCACCCCAAGCAATCTATGGAGTTGTGCAGCCTCGGCAGCCTGGAAGTGGCGTTGGTTGATAACGCTATTGACACGGATGGTAGAGGAGGTTTCAAGGCGTTTGTGCTTCGGGACTGGAAGGGGAGGCAAGACTGCACGTTTTGATGATACCAATGTACCTAGAATGTCACTATCGCTACTCTCTTGACGAAAGTCTCGATACTCCACTAATCATGATTCATCTCAGTACGCTATACGAAGTATGACTTGCCGGGTTGAACGTCAATATAATTCAGGCAACAGTGTATGGGACCGGTGCCTGCACCATTGAGAGGCAAAAAGGTTCGCGGAGTCACCGTGCCTAGGCAGAAGAAGCGAACACGAAGCGTCAGGAACGGAGGGGCAAGATGCGATACCAGCCACTGGATTACGTCTATTGATGACCTGGATTCGTGTCCATCTGGCGGGTTTGCCACGACAAGTAATGAAGACGTGGACGATAGCCAACTTGCTGGGGCAGGAGGTAGGAGAGCCTTGGCAAGGCAGGGATTCGGTTTCAAGGGTTTTTCCGGTCCCGAGCAACTCTAGGCACGCGACCAAGTGTATCACATGACATATCACATGACCTGGCGCTCCTGCCGGCATCCCGGCGTCGCGTTTGTCAAATTCCTTGATTTCATGACCCTCTCATCACGTCAAAGACATTCTTTACCGCACTTTTGCCAGCCACTTCATTTTTTCTGTTTTGCCGTGATGTTCCTCGTAAAACAAAAGAAATAACTCTGCTCAGCTGATTCGTTTGGACCAGAAACATCCAGGCCCCAGCCAATGGCATCGAAGGAGTTCAATCCTCATCAGGCCCCGGCTTTCCAGAGGAAACTTTTGATTCCTTTACGTTTTCTCTCACGATTAATGTATCCTGATTCGTCCTGCAACTTCGGGAAATGCGTTTAAAAAGCTAATGCCAACGCTCCAATTGTTACTATTGGTCACATGATCAATGAATCTTGATGTCAACACCGTCGCTCCCGTCACTGGATCTTGTTCCACGGCAGAGTCTATCCCGTGTGGCCAGTTCACCGTCCAATTCGCCTCGTTCAGCGATGTCAGCCAATCTCGTAACTGGTAGATCGCAGCATCCCGAACAGGAGCACTGTTTTTACCAAAATCAACATCCGAACTTTTGCATATCACAAGCTGACAAAAACCTACAGTGGTATTGTCTCAATTGCACCGATATGTGGAATCATGCATTGTGCCGGTGTCGGCTTCATCATATCAGGAAGTTTCTCGTAATTTTCCAGAGTCGGAACCAGAAGCCACTTTGGATAGCGAGTCAGCGTTCTCTGCCGCATGATGCTATAGACTCATCTTTCCTACTCACCCGCATCATAAATGTTAACATGAACACCGTCGCTAGCCGAACAAAGACGTCATTGTCAAAACTTCGACAAACCTCGCTCGCCCACGAGGAACAGTCAAACTTGTCACCGGGTAAGCGGTTCCGGAAAAATAGATCCACAGTGACCTGATCTCCCGGACCAAGCACTTCCGACCAAGGGACTCCTCTTTCGAGCATGTGCCGTGCTGCTTGGACATAATGAACATATGTGCGACTCATGTACGAGTCATCTTCGATCACCAATGGCAGCACCAGATGTACAGGGATCCGGAGTCTGGTTTGCTGCCCTTCCTGGGCGACGCATAGTTCTGAATGATTCACGGTTTGGGTTGGTGAAGAAGGAGCGGTGACTGGCTCCAAATAAGCGGCTGGAGGAGAGGCGAGCAGTGGAGGATACATCGGGATATCTGTGGATATCGTAGCACTGGGGACAACTTTTCTCGATTCCTGTGATGTCATCAGAAGGCTTCCTGATGTTTCCCGGGATGTTCTTTCTCCAGAGTCTGCCTCCGAAAATCGTCGCCGAATCAAACCGTGCCGACCGAACTGCTGGAAGGGTGAGTCAATTTTCTTCCATCCGGGTCTGAGAAGGATTATGCGAAAATGTCTCAGGCCAAAAATGCTGAGATGACTGAACAATAGCGCACCAACAAAGGTACGCATCAATCCAGGCTTTACAAGAATACGTTACGAAAAATTGTCGACATACCTGAGGATGATTACCCATGGAATTGTCCTGTAAGGCGGGATGCCACTGATGGCGCTCTGCCACATTTGAGTTCGTGATACTCGGAGATACTCCCTCTGTATTGCTTCTGGAACTGTGCACCGACGAAAAAGCCTTCTCGCCCATTTCCGAAGCAACGAACCGACGCAGAAGATCTTCTCCTTCAGAGACGGTACAATTTCTCAAGGCGACGAGTAAGGTCGAGATTGTTGAGGGCCCCTTTGTCGTCCTCCACTTTCCAGATTCTGCTGCTTCGGATTCATGGCTTGAGAGCCCATCTGATGTTCTGCTTTCGGCTTCTTGTCGGGAGAAAGGGCCACCAATCCGAACATAGCCGTGTTTAATGTCATCATTCGCTTCATCTGATGTTGTTCCCTCAGTGTGACCCATTTGGTCAAACTCCGAATCTTCGGCATCGTTCAGATGATGATTTATCACACTCGTGATTTCTTGGTTGGTTGCGCCGCTTCGGATGTATTCAAGCAGAGAGTCGAGACGTGGTGAAGGTCCTTCACGCATATTATCGATCAATCCATTCAGAGCGTCTTGATACATTTTGGATTCATCCATAGTCCGCTGAAGAGCTGCTCGACGTCTCATATCGAGAGATAAATCAATCACGCATTCTGTACCGAGCGATTCGCAAAGCTGACAAGGCGGTGGTCCTCCGGTACACCGGGTCTTTCGTTTTTTACAAGCTTCGCAGGCAGCGGAGATTCTTGCGGTGGCATTTCGTTTTCTCGAGCCGGATGTCTTCGAAGGCCGATCATCCTTGTCCTTCTTGCCTTTCTTTCCCGCCTTTGCTGGTTTGATCGGTCGTTCCCGGGGTGGCGAAGACATTCCTGATTTGTCTATACCATTTTTCAATGCAAGTGCAGCGCCGCCTTAGGCGTGGCCTTCAAAGTGACTGTTATTCGGATAGCTTTGTCTGAACCAGATTCGCGGCAAAATGGGGTGAGAAAATTTCTCCAGACCAGAGTTATAGAGCGAATTTGGGCTGCGAACGAAAACTCGGATTTTCAAATGCCAGGATCTCCAAAACCAGGTTGAGGTCGCAGGGAATGCAGATCCTTCCGTCAGCTTCTCCTGATTCGCCATATGCAGTCTGGAACTACACTTCCGGCAGGCATCATTGGTGAGACCGACCAGATGAACACATAATGTCCCTTGCGCTGAACAATTCCTGAAAAAGGGCAAAGATCCGATGGTTGAAGATCTTTGAGCCTGGTCCTGCTGTCTCTAGCTGACGTCATTCTTCACGCTTGGCAATCACCGAAGAGTTCTCGATACGAGGCTCTGGTACATATTAGTGGTCATCAAGCTTTGGGAGATACATCTGGCGGCCCGACCAAGTTGACACAAGTGCTACTACCGCCCCTCAAAAGCTCAACCGGCCCGGATCTACGGTGTGTCGATATCCTCGATCAACTCTAAGAAGCAAGTGTGGTATCTTTTGTTCAGGGTCTCTTGTGTTCCATTTTTATTAGTTGATGTGGTCTGGAAGAGACAGATTTCTAGCGGAAATCTACCAACACGATCATCCGGGAACTTAGCAGAAGGATGGGCTACTAGAGACGGAGAGGGGATTCCATTCACCAATTGGGCCGAACACCTGGGCCCCCCTCCCTTTTCTTTGGTATGATCGCTGGGCAAGTACCGATACGACTGATCAGCCATGGCATTTCCCATATGAATCAATTTGCAGCCGATGGTGACGGATTACCCCGACCATGCTACTTAAGATCAAGATCATCGCCCCTTAGTATCAATTTCCTTGCCGTTATCAAATGAAAGTTTGGTGTCGATCGAAAGGGTGACAAGGTGGACTTGGGCATTGTAATATGCTGTTTAATTTGAACCAATGAAGCGTGGGCTTTTTCTCCGCCACAGACCGGAACTTGGGGCTTCATACGCCCACCACTCTTGCAGCCTATCATTCAGCCTGTTTTCCAACATCTGTCTTACTCCGTCAACTTTGACATCGTCCATTCGGAGCTCCCGAAGTGCGCCTTCTATGGTCAAAAATACGACGGTATCAGCGATCAGTACCCACGAGGTCTCGCATTCGTTCCATGGATCGTTGACATCCAAGTGTCCCCCGGCACTTTCTATTTCATCATGCAGAACTGTACTATCAGGTTCGGGACAAAGTTTGATCAGCAGTTTTTGCAGCTTTTTCATTTTGCGGATGCATTTCAAAATCTCATCCACGTGATTGTAAAAGGGGAAGATGCCGATAAAGTCGAAACTAACCAGGTTGGCGAACATGGCGTCTCCGGCGGCTGAGTTGTTGAAATGCAACGCTGTCAGAAGTGACGGTGTGCGCCGAAGGAAGAATTCATAAGTGGTATAAGCCATGAGACTAGACCCTTCGTTGACGACCATGTTCGTCCAAGGCCGCGCCACGAGAAAATTGGGTAGGTTGTCATAATCGATTTTCGACCGTGTGGATTCAACGGGTTGATCGAAACGGAGGACCTGAACCGCCATGTCAAAGGCCCAGGCGTCAGTGCTCCAGGAGCAGATTCCGGCTAGTTCGGCGAAGACTTCGGGGGGGCCGATGATGGTGAGGCGAGTGGCGGGGATTTCGTTGAGTAAGCGAGCCCACCATGCGGGATGGAGGTGATTGTAGTGCCCTGGAACGTGGACTAGAATACTGGAGATTCGGGGGGGAAGGTTGCGATCTTTGATAAAAGACAGAAAGTCGCTGAGGCGTAAGGGATAGAGGACGGCGTGTTTGAAGAGGAGGGGTAGAGTAAGGGAGTGGAGGAAGCGGGATGTTAAGGAGAGTTGTTTTAATGGGGATTTTCTCTGGATTGAGTGGATGGATGTGTCGAGAGAGTCCGAGTCGACGGACAGTCTGGGTTTTTGAAAGAGAGATTCGTCAAAAGGGCTCGCAGTGTCGTGGAAAGATATTATTCGTGAGAGGACTTCGTTGGGGAGTTCGAGGATTTTCATTGTGGTGGATTGAAAGGAGATAATAGATTGGGCCCTCGAGAGTTCTATCTGTGATATGTTGGCACGGTGGTGTTGTGGTCGTCGTACACGGAGATGGAAATGTTGGATGGCTGATTAGTCGAGGTGCACACCGACAAAAATTGAGGAGAGGTGCAAAGGTGAGGATCACCGTCTGTTCCTTGAGCAAGCGCATTAGGGACTCCGCAGGGAGATAGAGATCAAGAATGGAGGATGAATCGCATTGAACGGCGACGAGGAGTTGTTTTTGTCGGTTGGCGCCGAAACGATAAATTCACGTGACAAAAAGTCATGTGATTGTGCTGGTGCGGGGATCCCTTACGTGACTACGAACGGAATCATCCCACTGGCCATCATCATCTGCTTCACCGCCCGGAGGAACCACTGGGCCCGAAGCTGTACCCAATCACCCCGCTATATCCTCGCTGCACCTCCTCCAGATTTGACTGCCGATGTCCGGCTGTCCATTAGTCGAATTGGCTTTGTTTACTCCCTGACCTCATGCCCATAGATTGCGAAGTGGAGGTGCAAGAAAAGGTGGGCAGTTCGAAAAAAATTTCAGACCGAGGGGTTAAGGTGTGGTCTTATTTGTATATATCTCCAGGTTTGTTCCGATGTTTCTTTTCGAAACTCTCTTGTGAAGCACTGCTGCAAGAGCGTTTGATTGCAGTGTTTTTATCCCAATTCCATCCATTGCTACCAAACACACACGTGAAATTCCCATTCCTGCCTTCTAAATACACCAACATGTCAGCTACTCTCCACCGCAATCCCCCTTTCCGCGCCGAACATCTAGGTTCTCTTCTTCGACCAGAGAGGCTCCTCGAACTCCGTCACGCCTGGGAAGCAGGCAAAGAGTCCGCCGAAAAGGTCCATGCGGCCGAGGATGCCTGTATCAACGAAATCGTCAAGACTCAGCTCGACCTAGGCTTCCACGCCATTACTGACGGCGAGTACCGTCGCCACATGTTCTGGGGCTCCTTCTGGCCTGGTCTCGAAGGGATGACAGAGATCGCACAGCCCGACCCAGACCTCTTTCGCATGTATATCCCCGACATCGCTGCGTTTACCGAGGAAGGACATAAGCCGGGCGAAACTGTCCTGTGTACGGGCAAGATCAAGCACAAGGGAAGCACTTACACGGCTCAATTCGATTTCTTGAAGAATCTTGTCCCGCAGTCTAAATGGAAGGACCTGAAGTTGACGCTCGCGGCCCCGAATTGGTATCATCTCAGGTATAAGCAGGGCAAAGCATATCCTCCTGATGTGTACGGGAACGATGACGAGTATTTTGCCGACATTGCCAAGGCGTATCAGGCTGAGTTGAAGATCTTGTACGATCATGGATTGAGGAATGTTCAGTTCGATGATCCCAATTTGGCTTGTAAGTGGAGTATCTCTCTCTTCGCTCTTTTTGCCACACAGAATTCCCCAGGACATCTTTGACCGTGTGCTATGTCTAGACTTCTGCTCCGAAGCCATGATTGCCGGCTGGCAAAAAGACCCATTGAACATCTACTCGACCGACGAGCTCCTCGCCAAATACATCGACCTGTACAACGCGTGCATCTCGCAGATCCCGTCTGACATGCACGTCGGCGTCCACCTTTGCCGCGGCAATTTCGTCAATTCTCGCCACTTCTCCGAGGGAGGCTACGATCGCATTGCGACGACCCTGTTCCAGAAATTGAACATGCACACGTACTATTTAGAGTACGACACGCCACGGGCGGGAGGATTTGAGCCCTTACAGTTCCTACCCAAGAACAAGAATGTGATTCTGGGCGTGGTTACAAGTAAGTTTCCCAAGATGGAAGATGAAGGAGAAATGATTGGACGGGTCAAGGAGGCGGCGAGGTGGATGAGTAAGGGTACGGGAGAGAGCGAGGAGGAGTCGCTCAAGCGATGTGGTGTAAGTCCGCAGTGTGGGTTTGCAAGTCATTGTGATGGGAATTTGATGAAGCATAATGATATGTTGGAGAAGTTGAAGTTGGTGAGGAGGATTGCGGATACCATTTGGCCTGGTGAGCCTTGAAAATAAAACCAAAAGGGGTTCTCGGATGAGGAGAGATGGTCGGTTGGGGAGTAAGAAGGTAGGTGTGTGTTGGACTGATAGGGAGAGGACGGAGGAGATAAGATGAGTCAAAGTGGAGTACCAAAACCCATATGCATGAGTAGGGGGAGCGGTTGTACATTTGTATCTGGTGTGACAATATGCATGATCATTGATCACGAGCAGGAACGTGGAATCAACGCCAATGCGGTGACTTGAGGTTCAACATCTAAGGGAACGGAAGCTGAGCATGGGACACGAGACGGAGAGATATCCTCTGCAATGGAATGGAACGGGATGCCCACGGGCTGCAAGGATGGATGATATTATGACGGAGCATAGTCGGCTGTGTTTACGCAAGGCTGAAGGGCTAGGAGCACACCATACTGTTAAGCGGCCATTGCGTAGGAAGAAGATGAGCATGAATGGAATGGGATGGGATGCAACTCAACGTGTATCCCAGATGCTGGTATGTAGCTTCGTCAAAAACCTTACAGATATCAAAACTAGAGCAATCCTTGATCTCCATTCAAGTCATCTATGGTGTGTTCCGTTGACCGTGACCGTCGTCACCGCCTTTTCAAGGGGGTGAGATTATTTACCCACAAGGCCCTCCATCTCTCGCCCTCACCACGCCCGCCACCGCGCCTTCATATACATACCCAATCTCGCTAGTAAATGTGGATTCGAGAAACGGATAGTCTCCCTCCCTCCGCCGCCACGACAACATCCCGTTGACGAACAGCGGGTCGCCCCGTCCTAAACCGTAGTCATTGGTCGCGAGCATGTGCTTCAGCAGCCAGCTTGCAAGTGCGTACTCATATGCCGAGGCCGGGTGCGCTTTCGCATGAGATGCCCAACGTGTCAACATGTTATCGTCAGAGGGTACTGTGTCGAGGCCTTCGCGGAGCAGGAGCGCAAGGATTCGCGCCGTCGAATCCTGTTTCTCTGTCTGCGTCTGGCACGCCAGATGGAATAGCGAAATCGGCAAAGGATGCGCGAAGGGTCCCACGAGATGCCGTCTCTTCGGTGTGGTGCGGTCGATGAAATATGCCGGGTCGTGCGCAGGGTGCAGTTTCATTACCGCGCTATGTAGTTCGAGTAAGACAAGGAGAGCTCTCTCGCTGCCTTCGCGAATCGCACTCGCCATGCCGGCAAAAAGCGCATCGGCGGACAATTCCAGCACGTGCTCAGACGCCAGGAACCGCATGCCCTGTCGTAGAAGTTGCAGCAACGTGATCTTCGAGTCTGTCCATGGATTTCCTCGCAATATTGCATCGGGAAGGACTCGTGCCGCCACCGTGCTCACGCCCTGGTGCACCGTCTTGTGTAGTTGCCGGTTCTCGTCCGCGGAGGAGCTCCACTGCATGATGCGCGGCAGGTGGTTTTCGTGTCCGGTTGGGCCGAGCGTGGGTTTCGGCTGACGAGCACCGGGAAGCGGCTGCGGGTGCGCGAACCCCAACGTCCCGTTTGACGGTGGTTCGAGCTTTGCGAGGAAATGCTTCTCCATGGCCTCCTGGTCATCGAGCGCGGGCAAGGCCGCAACGGGGCGTAATGTCTCATTCGGCACCTGTGGCACAGAAAGCTCCCGGGGTTCCATGGGGATATTCAGCTTCCTCTCAGCCAGGTGTTCGCGGTACCATGCCTGTGTCATCTGGAGCCTGCTCAATGCCGGCATGCATGATTTTATCATGTCGAGCGTGCACCATTTACAGCCGAGAATCCCCTTTTGTATTCGGATCTGGTCGTCTACGCTGATACGACGGTACTCTGCAGGCTTAAAATGGTGGGTTTCCACGGGACTTTCGCCGTCGTGGTCGAAGTATGCGAAGAGGACGAGGGCAGTGTAAATGGATGGCTTGGAGAGGGCTTTGTTCAGGTGTGGGGAGGCACGCGGCAGGTTGACCTCAAAGCTGTGGAAGAAGATCTGCTGAATCAATTCGACGGGGAGGGACTCTAGTGTCGACATGCTATTGGGCTTGGAAGATGGACATGCCATTTTGGACGTGTTCTGCTGGTGCAGGATTTTGGCAAGCTCTGTTCGGAATTTGCGTGGGGGTTTTAATTCAGAGAATTTTTTCATAGGCCGACCTCGTCTCCGTCGAGGGCCATCTGAAGGTTCCGTGACTGGCGTTGGTGTTGGTGGTTTGGGGTTGGTTGTTATTGCTGATTTTGCTGTCCGTCGCTTTCTCGCCAGCATCAACATTGCTGGGATGGTCTTCGGAAACTTCCAAACCACCTTCCGTGAGATACGGACAAGTTAATGACGGACGTTGTTTTATGTTCGAGTCGGCTGAGAGGTCAATTCCGGTTTTCTGGGCATACCAGTGAGATCATCATGGCTGAGCAGTGATATCTGCTGTGAGGAGCCGAGTCAAGCTGCCGGACAGGGATTGGCGAAGCTTGGACTGTTGATAATTGAGACTTGTGGAGATGAACGGTCCTGAGCTGGATGAGAGAAGCCTCTTGCTGGGTGTGCCCGCAATCGAACGTGGGCTTTAGCAAAGAAGTGTAGATGGTGTCGCTTGGATCAATGTCGGTGAAAGAGCGATAGATTACAGCTTAGGGAGTCCGTTTGTAAAGACGGAACTTTTACCGCCAGACAGGGACGTGCTAAGATTGATGGCAGCTTACCCTGTGGTTGTGAAAGAAATAGGACGATTTACAGCATGGGACATTCGGAGTCTAACGAATTGATTCGCAGGTGAGTTTCCTCCCGGTGCAACATTCCAGGGACGTTACTTCAGCGAGCTGCCCTGTGATCAAAACTGTTGCTACTCGCCTCCTAGCACTGGCACTGGATCTCCTCGGCGCAGTCATATTTACGTGCACAGCTTTCCTGCCTCGAGTCTTCCGCTTCCGCTTCGAATACAGCCCAAGATCTCCTCACAACAACATGGTCAGATTTTGAAGAATTGCCGGCAGCTGTGTGAGTCAGCAACTCGGATTTCTCTGCCTGTATGTCAGCAGTGATCAATAATGTCGCGATCCGTGATGGGGTGAACTCCCGGGATTTCATGCTATATGACATTGTCCGCAGTTCTGAATGCTGGTTTGGGCCGAGCACGTCTTGGGACCCGGAACTTAATTCCATCAGACGGAACGCGTATTGACTTCTGGCAGCAGTCACTTGGGCCGTCTCAGGCTGCGTCTCCTTATTCCTGATGTCTACATATTCAGGAACTGATACTAAACTCGAGTTGATTGGCTCGACCCGGACCGTTTCGCCGTTGACGATGACTTCATTGAGTTTGAAAACTGTCTTCGATTCGACCGACGGGGCTGCTCTAATGCATCCTCTCGTGATCGGAGTAAGTTTGTCTCCATGAGTTTTCCTGCATGTTGCGAGTTGAATAGCATCACATTCATATTCTCTGGTTGATTTTGTTGTCGCCGCTACCTGGTAATCTTCCGGATCATTTCAAGACTAATAAACGGGCCGCTGGAATAGAGGATGTCGAGGGATGATGCGGCTCTGTTATGCTCGAGTGCCGGTCCGGCCTCGCAGAATGAGTCAGGTGCAGAATCCTAGAGTCCAACGGAGCTCTTCAAGAGACCTAATGTCGAGAACGTAAAGCATGAGCCGATATTGCCACGTTCAAGGTAGAGCTCAGGAAGCCTACTTCACTCCTCAATGGAGGGCGACTGGACGCAAAAACCATCCGAGTCTCCCTAGAGCCGCATGGCTCAGGCTGCTTGAGAAGGAGGGGACAGCTCATAGGGCACTGCCCCAATGGGACGAAGTCGGGCTGGCTGGCTGAAGAATCAAAGGTCTGGTCAGGCGGGAAGATTTCACTCTCACTCTTCTCGAATTTCGCGGCAAAAAAAGGTCCTTTTCCCGTCGAGTTTGGTTGCCTTTTCAAGAGGCGGGATCTTTCATGTTTGTCTCGATGATACCCACCAATACCAATGAGTTCATAAAATGTTGATTCAAGAGGAAAAACTTTCGGGAAAGCTTGGACTCGCTTCTGGATTTTCGGGCGTAGAAGGCGGCCTGTTTTGTCGCTGATATTGCCAATTAGTTGGGGACTCCACCAAGAAATGATGATAAATAGAATGGTGGCCTACTTTTTAAACCGAATCATATGATTCTCATCCGATGGAACCGTTTTTGGGGAAATGCAAAAGCCCAATCATTGAAATTGCCCATTATTCACGTCTAGAATCTAAATACTAGCTATGGGGAAGTTGCACATGAATACGACTGGTATTTACCGGGTGGTTGACGTACTACTGCATGAACTGGTCCGGATTTTTTTCGCCACAGGATTGAGATCTAGGGGTGCATCGCATTGCAGTACCTCCACCCGCAGCAAGGGCCTTGATTTGTCATATTGCATCACACGGGCACGAGACTACAAGATGTCATGAACATGGAGTATAGCATTCAAGATATCCGCCCGCCCAGCCCGAGTGGTCCGGCTACTTGGGCCATTTTTGATTCTTTCTGTGCTACCTACATGCACATATCAAAGCATAGACACATCATCGTCCGGTTTCGATGGAGAAACACCAAAACTACGGTCGTACGTAACGTCGTGAGAAACCCCCAAAAAATTCCAGCATAAAGAACAAATTGTCAGACATCGTGTCCATCTTAGTCATAATCCTTCCGGCGGTCATGACTGTGTCTTCGTCTATCCCGGCTATGACTTCTTGACCGACTGCTGCCACTACCGTATTTCCTTTCCCATCTTTCTTGGTCTCGGTCTCTTTTTTCTTCTCGCCACTTTCTATGCCTGCCGTAATCTTTGCCACCAACCCATCCGACCAAGGCGCCACCCACTGTTCCTAGACCGGGGAAGAGGAGATCGCCGATAAGTCCACCGCCGGCTGCACCGATGAATCCGTCTGCGTTGGTTGATCGCGAGTTTTCTGAGATGCGACGAGGTCGGTCCTTGTGTTTCCTCCTGTGGGGTTCGGGATCTGAAGAATATCCATTTCCTACTCCCAGGTCGCTATTGCTATGATGTGGATGAAGTCGTTGATGTGGCGTTAAGTACTGTTGTTGCTGGTAGAGATGGCCTTGTGGCGTATATGGGCCGGGCTGTGGCTGCGAAGGGACTAGTTGTGGTGGCTGTTGACTTTGGTAGTGGGGTTGATTCATTGGGTACGGGTTTGGGCTTCCTTGGTTGGAGAATGAAGGGCGGTGTTGACCAGGCGTAGGTGTAGGTGTAAAATGTACACTCGGTTTCTGCTCATGGTTGAGGGGCTGGTATGGAGGAGGAGCATGTTGCGTTTGCGGAGAGGGATATTGTGGACTTGGGTAGCCTTGCTGCGCAGGTTGGAGTGTATGAGCAAGATGCGAGTTGGGTCTTTGAGGTTGTGAGGGGGGATTCAGGCTGTTCTGCTGCTCGAAAGGTGGTCTTGCGCCAGAGGCATAGTAATCAGCTGCTGCCATTATGTTTGGCTTTGAGGGGAGGATCAAGTGAGTCAAGGAAGGAAATCGTGTGAGAAGGAAGGCCGAGTGATAAGTCAAGTTTATAACAAGAATAGAGCCCACATGTCACACTGGCATGCCGGAAAGTAGATCCGCCAACAGCGCCATAAAGAGACAGCACTGGGACTGGGAACTGGGACTGGGAAACCCCGGAATGAGTGCCTAGCAAGGCTAAATCGCCAGTCGAAGGTTCATACCACGAGTCATAACGAGTCACAAGCGCCCAGTCATGCGCCCTACCGAGGAGGCCAGCCGCACGGGGACTTTGGGTTGATGGCAGCCTTGAGGTCGTCGTATTGACGTGATTCGCGAACTACCGAGTGGCGCAGGCAGGGCGTAGCCGGGGAGGCCTTTTTGGTGGTCGAAAAGTCCCCAGGGCCCCCCGATTCAGAGCTGATCCGCGTGCGGTGGGATTCCCGATATCTGGGGAATGAGCCTTCATGTGTTCAAAGGTCCAGAGACCGGTAGTCCCAGGGCTTGCCAATGCTGTTCCCGTCTTGACGGTGCCCAGTTGCAGTTCCGCTCTCAGCCATGGGGCTTGGTGAACCATATGGTATAGAGGGGGTATAGGCAAGCGCCGGCAACCCCCGGACACCATCCATATTTCTGCCCAGGATCGTCCTCGGCCTCTCATTGGGCGATGCCATTGAGGCCATGGAGCAACCAAATATTGGACAAAGTGTTACTTACCCGCATACGATATGCTACAACATTGCAATGCCTTACACGTATGTTCTTGTGGGTCGTATAATTCCAATAGTTCTCCTGTGCTCACACCGCTTATGTTTCATCACGTTGAAGAAGAAACGCCTTGTCAAAAGTCTTTCCAAAAGTCCCAATCAACAAAAACTTACTTTGACGGCAAAAGGTACGTTTGATGCCCCCGGCGTTTTCACGACATGATAGAAACTGTGGAGATTCTTGGAGAGGACGATTATACGGCATGTACATTGGCTTCCATGACTCACAAGACATTGTGTTCCCGACTTGCCCTGCTGTAAAGGCTTTTTCCCCACACGCCTGAAAATGCTTGGATCCGTTTCTCTGAGGTTTGTGCAACGCATAATAGTACACCCCATCTAAAAGTGCTGATAGTTACAACATGGTCTGATGTCGACTTCAATTCGCAATCTCTCCGGCGTCAACTAGGATAGGTGTCCAAGGCTTGGCTCCAGGTTCTTCCATTTCACTCGGTAACCGGAACTCGGTGGGACTGTAGAGATACCATCCCTTCATGGCTGCCACAGCTGCTCGTGTTCTGGCTTCATCCAGACTGGCGCCTGCACCTTCCCCAAGAAGGTCATGACCGGAATAAATTCCCACCACAAAAACGGGCGTTCTGCTCTTCCGCCCCGTCTCGCTTAGAATTTTCGCCACCGGTGCCTGGAATCCTTCTCTTGCACAAAGCCGGTTTAGGTCTCTTGTCGGGTTCTTGAATTGAAAAAGGCTTCCCATATCTAATTGTCGTGACATAAAATGGTCCTTGTAAAATTGCTTTGCGGCAACTCTTCCAGCATGCAAATATACCGCCCCAAACACGGCCCGCACAAAATCTGTGCTAGCCCGTGTTAACGTGACGCCTTTTGATCCCGGCGATTCATCCGGATTGAAGCGTTCCTTCAGCTCACCAAACTGGTCATCATATACCGATCTTGAGCTCATGGTTCGCCGAAACCTTTTCCCCTCCTCACGAGTGCAGATGATTTGTGGGCCTGTCTGTTCAGGTTTTGGTTCGGGAGGAAGCCTTTTGAATTGAAGAAGACCCGGGTCAACCTCCCCACCGGGGTGCGCTGCGGCCTCGACGCCCCATTCTCTTGCCATCGCAGTCAATGTGGCAGGACCATGATAGGCATACATTGCTGCAAATACCACGGCTAGCGGTAACCTTGGATATTGGCTCAAGATGTATTCGGATGTGTAGTACCCCAATAGGTCATTTCCAAGCACCGCAAAGGGTTTGTTATTAAATCTTGGGGAGGGGTCTGCGGAGGCATCGACAAGAGTCCTTGCCAAAGTTTCGAGAGGGAGCCTTGAAGGTAGAGAAAGTCGAGCGTGGAGAGCGGCGAGCTTTGCGGAGGTTTTTGCTGCAGTGACCGGAGGCGAGGGTAATTTCAATAGGGATTCTTCGGAGTAGAATGAGACATCTGAAGGTTCATCGTCGAATTCATCGACAGGATCGACGCGAGGAGCGGTCGTAGCTTGACAACGTCGAAGAGTATGGAATGGTGATTGAAGAGAATCAGGTCTGTATCGTGGAGAGTGCACCTGGCCGCTCCATTTCAGGAGTCGCAGCCTCTTCATTAGAGCTACAGCAGCTCACTCGGTAGCCTTGAGAGTGTGTACAGTACGTCAAATGTAACCAAGAAATTAACAGAGATATGCGCAAATGAATGGACGTGTATCCCATGGGCTGTCGACTTTTTTCCTGCGACACGAGACCTCGACGGCTTAGCCCACGTGATCGACACCTATCCCAAAAATCCAATCGGAGTGCTTCGATGTACATTCAAACAAGCACCTTGATGGCAGCAGTGAGACGACATTTATGATTGATATCGATGTTTTGAATGTATTCCGAAGTAAAACACAATTACAGACTACAGGCTCGTCCAATATCCGGCATCACATAATACAAACGACGCGATATCCAAGACCGCACCCAATTCGCCCCCCTCTATTTATCTCTCAAGACTTCGTAACCTCCTTCTGACACAGACTTGAACCCCCCATCCAAGTTCACCGCATCAAAGTCATTCTGTTTCAGGATCCGGTAAGCAAGATATCCACGGTATCCAACCCAACAATAGACCACAATTTTCTTCTTCTTGTCCAAAGAATCCATATGGTCTCTCAGAGATCCCAGTGGAAGATTGATGGCACCAACTAGGTGACCGCGCTTGAACTCGTCAGGAGAACGTACATCGAGGATGGAGTATTTGTTAAGGATCGTTGCCCTGTGGGGCTCGATTCGTTCCGCTTCCATCTGCTCGTTGACCAGGTCCTCGGCGTGTATGATCTCCACGTCCCGTCTCAAGACGTTCCCCCCTACAAATCCCGCCATATTGACCGGGTCTTTCGCAGATCCGTATGGCGGCGCATATCCAAGTTCAACATGCTCGAGATCTTCAATGGTCATACCCGCCCTGATTGCCATTGCCAATACATCAATTCTCTTGTCCACCCCTTTCTTTCCAACTGCCTGCGCACCAAGCAGACGGCCTGATGGAATCTCAAAAGCAACTTTCACCGTCATTGGCTCCGCGCCCGGGTAGTACGATGCGTGATCGGGGGGATGCACCGTCACAAATTGCATACTCTCGCCCAAACCCAGTCGGTTCAGCCCAGCGACAGAGAATCCAACCAGACCAACTGTCAGGTCAAAGACTTTGCAAACTGCCGTGGCGACGTTGCCACGGAACTCTACTTTTCGGCCACATATGTGGTCGGCAACTAAACGTCCTTGTCGATTGGCAGGGCCAGCCAGAGCAAGTTGCATCCTTTCATGCGCAATCAAATTGGAAGTCTCCACCATGTCTCCGACCGCATAGACGTCAGGATCAGAGGTTTGCATTGCATCATTGACTTTAAGTCCTGTCTTGCCGACTTCCAGCCCTGCTTTTCGAGCTACGTCTGTGCGTGCACGGACTCCGACGGCGACGACGACAATGTCGGCCGCAATTGACTTTGAAGAATCCAGGACCACTGCGGCAGGCGCAGAGCAGCTTGCGGCATCAATCCTGGTAATGCGAGCATTGAGGATGAGACGCACTCCATTGCGTTGCAATTCTTTGTGGAGAGGCTCGGCCATGTCCTGATCGATCGGCGGGAAGACATGAGGGAGATACTCAAATATTGTCACGTTGAGTCCGAGGAGTCGAAGGTTTTCCGCCGCCTCTAGGCCAATAAAGCCGCCTCCTATGACCGCCGCGTTGCAGCAACCGTGCTTTGCAATGTGGGCCTTGACATTCTGCAAATCCGGAATTGTCTGAAGCGTGAAGACATGTTCAGAATTGATACCTTCCACCGGCGGCCTGAACGAGGCGGCACCGAGAGCAAGAACAAGCTTGTCATAGCTGACCTGCCGGACTTTCTCGTCATCCCGGTCGCTGGCCTCACTTGAGTCGCCGAAAGTGACAGTTTTGGCGGCCCGGTCAATCTCAAGAACCTCCGCCTTCGTCTTCACGTCGATGTTGAACCAGCTCTTGATTTTCTCACTTGTTTGGACATGCAGCTTCGCCTCATCCGTTATGACATTTCCAAGGGCATAAGGAATCCCACAATTCGCATAGCTGACGAACGGGCCCTTTTCCAGGACGATAATTTCAGCATTCTCATCCAAACGGCGTAATCGTGTAGCACACGACATGCCCCCGGCTACACCGCCGACGATGACAACACGCTTTCGATGAGATGGTATAGTCATTTGGTGAAAGATGATATTCGGGTTTGATACGGTTTCAATTTGTCTCACATTGTTTCCAGAATTCACTCAACCTGGAAAGCCGAACATTTTATTCCAGGGTACTCACCGAAATGCGTAATTACCTCGGGGTTTACCAGCATTGCAGATGGTATCAAACCCCCTGTCTAAATCCCGACCCTCACGAGGGTTTCCAGAAGGTCCTCAAGAAAGCGAGAAACAGCGAAACGGAGCACAAAATCACCAGATTTACGCACCACTTATAGGCGAACGGGCCGTACGTAATTCTCTGGACACGATCACGTGCACATGAAAACCAGACAAGGGCCATGGAGGCGACTACTTCCGGCAGGTCACGCCACTTAACAATCCAGGCTGAAGATTTCTTAGTCGGACCAAAACCCGCTACAGCATAACAGTTCTCTAGTTAGTCTGATCAATTGATCTCTATCGTGTAACAGGGTATGTTGTATCCATTTGGGTTGTGCTTACGAATGTAGAGGTCTCGATCATGGCTCGTGTGCCACGGGAACTGCTCACATTGCAGTAGGACGTGATCATTTTCCGATGCTTCTGGATCAAGATCTAGTATATCCGTTTTGCGAAATATCCACGACGAACATACTGCCCGGCACATTTACTCGTGGGTGTCAACAATCCAGCCGAACGTCTGCGGAGTAATGTCTACAGGGAGACGGAAGATTGTTTCATCATCCTACATGTCATCAACGTCGAGGACGATGGCTCCCCATGACGCGCCAAATATGCATTTATATGGCGTCTCGACAACGGTGGCACGACCATCACGAAATTTGCATTTCCCGCCCGGGCCATGCTGGATCTGAGTTTTGACCAACACGCCAGACAGTTTGATGTAGCCATCAGAGATCGATCTGAAGACGTCAGATAGTCTTTGGAGTCGTGTGAATCTCTTCTATGGCGACAGCTGGTTTGCTAAAACTGATCTTATAAATGTTTCCTTGCCAGCATAGGTGCATTGAGTGATGCCCATGACCAAGAGGGAGGCCGATAGGAAAGACGTCGTTTTTCTGCTCGCCTCTTCCACGTCGATCATCCACAAGAGTTGTTCGGGCATTGCATGCTTCCACTGGCCCTCCGCATACCTTCCCCAAGCCTCTTTACTAATTCGGATGCAGCGACCAGCTTGTCTCTCTCAGGATATGTCAAAGCACATTTTGTGTACTCTACAACAAGTTTCCCAAATTAGCGGCCCATGGGAATGCAGTCTTGTGGTGGTAAAATCACTCCTCAGTGAAGTTGACTGAATGCCGCCTTTCGGTGTTTCATGTTTAGGAACACTATCTGGGAATGTTTCACAAGCCTGCAATTCAAGACATTCCCAGAACAGCTGGAAGGAGGTAAGTGCAGTTCGCGCGGCGCAAGCGCCAATTCTTGCGTGATTCATGCACGATGAAGCAAAGGGCTACTGGAATTTTCACGTTCCCAAAATTCTAGATCATGGCAGAAGAACCACTGTACATGGTTCGATGTGCAGCAAACAACGTGTTGCTATGCAGCCTGCGTTTCCGTCGGCACCCCTGGTTGTGGCTAGGTTGAGATATGAGAGTAGAGAAACATCTTCCATTCTCGCAGCTTCGTGTTGCCAGTCGGCTTCAGAATCTCGGTGAAACAAAGGCTGTCAATCTACAAGTACTGAAGTCCCAGTACACGAGTAACTTGGTGGCGCAGATCTTCAGAAGAGAGTTGAGATAATTTTTCAGCAAACACAGTCGACACTCATTCGCCGCAGAAGTCACCACGTGTTGGATACTGTGTCCGAGGCTATGCCCGATAGATTTGTTACAAGTGACGTCTCTTGTTTTGCCAAAAAAAATTTCCTTGCACGAATTGCAGAGCTCGGCAGGAGATGTTTCCACGGGAAGACCAGGTTGGCCGCAAGTAAGCCAGATTTTCGCCAAGTTCTCTAGCTCAGAGGGGACAAATTTACCTTCCATCGAGGTATTCCAGGCCAGGAAGCGGAAAGACCTTAAGGAAGTGCGGCGAGAGAGGGCGTTGTGGAAAATCTAGGGATTGCCCTGGCGGTTGGGAGGCGGGGTTGGAAGGAGCTTTGAATAATCTCCGGAGACGGTAATGTACAACAAAGGAAATTTCTTCGTGAATCGTTTGACCTGGAAGCATGATAGAGAAAATGGTTTCACCTACTGGCACAGTATCTCATGTCTTTCCCGTACGCTGATCCTGGTTTATTCGAGTGCGATCGGTATATAACCGGGCACGATCACAACTAGCAACGAATTCAAAGTCATCTTCAAGATTCGAAGTTACTCTCAAATTCAATCATGGCTGTCCTTCTTAAAGGTGGCGCTGGCAAGACCTCTGTGAGGATCGCTCGCCATTAACAAGATGCACAATTCCCCTGTCTCCTGGCCTCCCGGCGGGGGACAAGTAGCAGCGCCTGAAGGCATGAATGCGGTCGAATTCGACTGGCTGGCTCTTCAACTTTTGAGGTACCGTTCAAATGTGAATTTCCTAACGGGGGAAAATTTCTACTATTTGATCTCTTCTGAGATTTCTGATCCTGCACCTTCAATGAACGGTTTCATTGACTATGCCGTTGAGAAGTACGATGTCGGGGGATTTATTATGTTGGCGGGCAACTCAGTAGAGCAAGGTGGCTTTCACATTGGCAAAGTATGGCAAACATTTGGTTGATCTGGGAGTCGAATACTGTGTGATTCGCGCCACTTGGTTCATAGGGTATGTTGCCTCGATCGAAGTCTTCAAAATGGTTTCCCTTTTCAATAGGAATCCCCAGAGAACAGAAAATGTTAGAAGAGGAGCATTTTCCAATGATCAAAAAAAAAGGATAAGATCCATACCGCCTGCGAGGATGGCATGGCCCCGTTTGTCCGTGCCATAGCCATTGTGGCAGTTGCTTTCCATGCTCTCGCAGACGAGAAACCACACATCTGTGGCTACAGAATCCTGGGCCTGAACGCTTGACATATGACATGGTATGAGAAATTAGCAGGCCTTGGATTAGGGATGACTGACGGGAACGCTAGATTGCGGCAAAACTGAGAGCTGGCCTAGGTCGCAAGATCGAACATATCAGGCTCTCTCTTGAAGACATATTCAACGTCGTATCAAGTATGGATTCCCAGAGCATTACGCTCAACGACTTACCTGGGTAGAGACCGAAACAACCAAGGGAAAGGAAGACAGGATGATCGATGATGTGGAAAGGGTGACGGGAAGACCGCCGGTGAAATTTTACGATTGGGCTCAGTTTGAACAAGGCTGTATGGCAGTAATCTCGCGTTTTATCCATTCAATTAGTTCTTTTGGGTCCCTGAGGCATTGTTCATGTCGGCATCCATTCAAATCGTGGCCATTGAATGAAGGATGAAAATCGGCGACTTTCTGATGGTTGGAACGAGCGATCAGGGATTATCGTCTCTCCGATTTGCTCACCTAATCCAGATCTCTTGTTTTTCAATCATGAGCTTGTCTCCAAGTAATCAACAGGAGAGCAGACATGGCCAAACTCTCTCAGTATCAAAGTGTGTTCCGAATTACAAAGCCGGACTCCTCAAAGCGTGCCGACCCAAAACGGACGAAACGGAAGAAGCAGTTGCAGGCGACCTTAGAAGCCAGAAATCCAAGGTATATCTCACATATATGCCCCCATGTATGTCCGCTTTCACTGATGTACGAAAGCACCCTGAACAATGGGGAACAGGTAGAGACATTCCCTCAGGCCAACGGCGCGGCTGGCACAACCAGCACTTCCAACGAGTGTAGTGGACTTCATCATGGGCCCAAAATCTCAGAGGCACAAATTCGTCTGCAAAAGCTTGAGGAAATGGTGACTTTGCTGATGCAGATGAACAAGGGTTCGGCCAGTAAAGAAAATCAAACTACAACCTCCTATGAAGACCACATTACACCCACAACGACGATGGGTGGGCAAGGTGTGGCAGCTGCAGCACTACCGTCCGTCAAATCACCAGTTCTAGGATCCCATAAAGGTCTCGACGGACATCTAGATACTAGGAGCGCCGAGACACAGTACATCGGAGCGACTCACTGGACGGCAATACTAGAACATGTCCGCACCAGCCAAGTTCAAAACAATGTTTGGAATATCTGACAAGTCATAGATCAAAGATATCCAAGGATGCCTTGGGCCAGAAACCGACGAGCCTGAAGACGACATTACTACCAATGAACCTGACAAACCTGATATTGTCTTCGCAAATTCTCAACCTATGACGCTAATGGAGGCTTACAATTCACTTCCCGACAGGTCTGTCGTAGGCAAGACACTGTCCGTATACTTTGGCGCGAACTATCTCCATATTCGTACGTTTCCGAATCCTTATAGAAAGCAATCCCACTGAAACATCCAGCGTTTATCCATAAGAAGAAATTTCTTAGAGAGGTATCAATCATCCTGTGCCCGATCGACCAGATACTGACATGTATAGTACGAATCATTTTGGAACGACCCGTCATCAGTGCCGTTTTTGTGGGTATCAATGCTTTTCTCAGCGTTACATCTCGGTTCTCGTATTGCTCGTGCTGCTGGACAAGAGCTTTTCCAGTCACCCAAGGAGTTTACGTCGGAAATGTTCTTGATGAGAGCGAGTCAGATCCTCACGACCGCCAACTGATCCGACGCCAATGTTTAATTATTGGTACAAGGGAACGCTCGCGCAGATATTCAGGAAGGTGGCTCAGCAGGCCTTGTCACCCAAAACCCTAGTCTACGAGGACATCATGAAGCTTGATGGCGAGCTTCGGGAGAAGAACGCTTCGATTCCGCCGATTCTCAAGTGGAAGTCTGTGAGCTCTTCAATCATGGATGAAACACATACGATACTGCATCGGTTGAATATAGAACTGTTGTATCAGAAGAGCCTGATGATTCTTCACAGGAACTATCTGAGCCACGACAGATCGAACCCAGCTTTCAAATACTCTCGAGAAGCATGCATCGGGGCCGGTCTTCAAGTATTACAATATCAGGAAGAAGTGCACAAAGCCACTCAACCTGGTGGCCAATTACACAATGGTAATTGGATCTCGTCGAGCTTGTCATTCCATGATTTTTTGCTTGCGGCGATGGTCACTTGCCTTGACTTGTACGAGTCACATCGACAATATGCTGTCACTGGTCTGTCCAATCTCGAGTCTAAGGCTCAGAGGCGGAAGTATGGCGCCTTGGTGGGTGCTTATGACATCTGGACGTCGCGAAAAGCGATATCTCGAGATGTAAAAAGAGCGTCGGGTATTCTGGCCAATATACTCTCAAAGATACCGAGGCCAAGCATCCAATCACTCGAGAACGGTGCTCCTAGAGACTTGTCGAGCAGTGCGCAGATACCGGCTCAATCAGGATATGATGTCGCATCACTTTCAGCCGGGTCGGGAGGCGCATTATTGGATCATCTTTCTGAGGAGCAGTTAGATACTCTCCATGCATCCAAGGATTTCTCCACTGCCATGGACTTCGATACGGGAGGGCCCTTGGATGCCATTTTCAGCGGGTCTGACATTGGGTAAGTTTTCGCTCGCGGATCACAGTTGCTCCCAGTAAACTAATTGCATATCTCAGAGCTTACTCGATCAATTCATCCTCGGAAAGAATGGTGGCGGGGACTTCTCCCAACAGACATGAGATCGGTAATTTGTCAGCGGCTGGGTTTTTGTGAGCCATACTTTACGCATGATTGCGGGCTTTAAAGGGCTCTAAATCCGCGTGATACCTGTTTCGGAAATGAGTGAAATCGGTAACGAGGCTTTCATTGCCAGAGAAGGAACCTATTGCGCAACGGTGCAGTCATGTCGAAGAGAGATAGACCTTCGCACTCAATCCTATTTCGTTGGATGCTGTGCCAGAACGCCACTCCCTTAGTCCCTTAGACCTCGGGCTTACCTCTTGGTTTCTCTCCACCACGACATTACCAAGGTATCCACCAAGGAATTCAGGAGAACGAAATTGAACTTGACGTGTCGTCTGTCCAAGATAATGCAACATGGATTGAAGACGTTGGGAAACCATCGAGAGTCGGCCCAGCTGAGGTCGGAAAGCCCGGGCCTAGAGGGATCCTGGTTCAAAACCATGCCGTTGCGATCGACCCAATAGATGGATTGAGATGAGCAATTGGACTCTTCATTCAACAATGGCCAGCAATCCTGGGAAACGACTTGGCCGGCGAAGTGTTGTAAGTCGGCGGAAGGAGTGACCAAAGTCAAGCCCGGCTCATGGGCCGTTGCTCTTGCCCCAGGGGCCTCATATCTGGCAACCAGAGAACTCTGCCTTTCAGAACGACACCATTGTCAAAGCAGCTCTCAGAGAAACAGCCACCTGACAATGTTCCGGAAACCTCACCGTGAAGCATAGTAAGACGGATACCTCCATGAGATTTCCAAGCTCCGATAATCATGAACAAAGTATACGGCTCTGGATTTGCAATGGCGGGTCTGTGCAAGACGCTTTATGAAAACTTCTCACCCGCCGCATTGACCATTGGTCGGAGCTTGAGATCATGGGGAAACGGTTGGAACATATCCAAGCTGGAGTTCACAGATTAAAGCAGGGGTGTGTCGGCGAGTAAAATCGTGGTGAAACTTTAGATAGCGTTAGAAATCAAGTGCTGAGTCTCCGCCTCTTATTGCATGCCCGTGTTCAAATTGTCGTGGAGCTGTTGGCCTCCCCTGGTATGTAAATTAAAGAGGCAAGTTTCCCGAAAACGAAGTTTCCCATCGTCCAATCACAGCTCACTTATCAAACTGCACCTCGACTTAGTTTCGAGCTCCCGCTCCGTGCAACTTCCAGACTCCGAAACACCAACTTCACCTTTGCTAGAACGGATCTCGTTAATATTTGAACGACAGCAATATGGGCGGCGGTGGCAAGATTCCCTACCCAAAACACGTCTGGTCCCCGGCTGGTGGTTGGTACGCACAACCGCATAACTGGAAATCCAACACCGTTATCATGGGCGCCGTGATCGCAGCCTGTACACTGTTTGCATGGAGAGTCTCGGGTATCACGGAGCATAGGCATAAGATGCCGGAGAAAGGTGCATTCTTTCCTAGCCGATAGTGAGTGCTTTCCCCCTCAGGCTTGCAGCCAGCCAGAAAGGAACGTGGATGAAGAATGTGAGGACTTGATATGGGGTTCGGGACGGTGCGAGAAGAACAGGTTCGGGGACCCCTCCCGAAAAAGGGGAGGAAGAAAAAGAAAAAGCAAAACGAATTTGGATCGATGAGAAAAGGGGATTGACTGACGTGATGCCGGTGTAGTTTCAGCAGGCAGATAATCGAGCATGAGAAGGGCCAATAAGCTAAGCTGCACCGGCCAACCCAAACCTGATTGTCTTAGCTGCTATGGAAAATGGTCCACCACGATCAACCACTTCGAGAACAGCAACAGTCAATCAATCGGACCCAGCGATCGAATGAAAGGGTGTCCTACACCTGAATACATCCCTACCCAAACCAAGCATCAAACCAAAACCGGACAGATATCCTTGACCTGACAACCTGTGACTTTCACGCCATTAAGAGAAACTGCGAGAGGGGCAAGAGCATGGACCATTCACAGCATATATTGGGTGTCTGGAGATTCAGAGCATTTAAAAATGGGGATCGGACGAGATGGTGAGAAGTCGTGCCCAGTGTCAGAAAGAAAGGATGGCGGCATTCTCCACTGAGCTTGAGATTGAGCTGCTGCTGAAATAGATTCAAATGATTGAAACATATTCCGCAGCCATTGCTATCATTATCTTGCGGGAATATATAAACGAACTCCATGCTTTCGAATCTGGACTTTGGATCAAGGAATCGAAGAAGACATTGTTTGCTTCTCATCAAATTGGCTACCTATATACACACTCTCCCTCTCAACATATTTCCAAAACCGCTCTTGATATCCCTCTCCATTCCACACTTCCTCATCTGTATCGTTATCCTCGCCCTCGCCTGTCGGTGTCGACGTCGAACTCAGCACAGGCATACCCGTCTGCTCTATTGCATAACCCGCCGCGACCGTCGCATGTATCAGTGCAAAGAGAAGTCTTCTCTGCTGAGAAAGCCCAGAGTCCGGGACCTTGGATACTGCCAAACGGGTCTCGATCTCGCTTGGACTCGGGCACATAGTCCCCGTCATCCCAATCGCCAATGCGCCGAGAAACGTATTTCCTCCGCCGGTCGGATCGACGACGCGTTTACTGTCCCGATGGTATGCGCGTAAATGAAGCGGTCGCCGTATGTCCGCACCTGTTCCTAGGTACGTCGTACATCCCTGTGCGCCTTCGCGGATCACTAGAGCAACATCCCCCAGATACCCCGGCTGAGCCAATGACTGGCCTTGGGCACCAAAGAACGTGGCCACCATGTCTTCCCTTGTCACACACTTCGGATTCGAGGTAAATAGCGCTGCAAATTCCTCTGCGTTCGGACTCACCACGTCGACGTGCCGCGCTGCGTCGCGGAGCCTAGTGAACTCCTCGGGTGTGCATAGGTCAGGAACAGGTTCCCAAATGAAGTATGGTCGAACTCGCAATGACTCATCACTGGTGTTCTGGTTCGTGTTCATCTTTGCGACAAGCATTCGTCGCCGCTCCATAATTCCATTGACCAACGCCATACACCGTGTCGGCGAGCACACCATGTGAAATGACCGTGCCAGCACTTGTTCATCGGCGAGTGAATGCTCGTCCAGTCTTCGCTTGGGCGTGAGGTACTTGAATGCTTTGTACCCCCAATAAATCCATCAGCAAATGAACAGCTTCATTTTCAAAGTTCGTTCAGCGTCACCCGGCCAACAAGATGTAGACGTAAACCTAATGTAGACAATCGACAAGAAAAAATATGGAATGGTCAGAGCAAGGTTAGGTATGGGATACGATCTCTTTGCTCCATTTCAAATGTACGTACCGCGAAATTCCCCCGGTCCATATCCATTCCACCCTGTCGTCGTCAATCGCGTGCGGTCTGTGCGGAAAACACAACTTGTCTTCCATGTCTCGATCAACTTGCGGAATTCCGGTGGAAAGTCCGAGCCCATATCTACGATCCAGCTAACGAGTTTGGCATGCTGGATGCCAGCAGCGAGCCGGGCGCCGAGCGCTGCGAACGTCCCCGCGCCGCCGACTATGTTTTCCTTGTCTTTAGACGTGCCGTCGAGGTATTCAATTTTATCTGCTCCCGTCGTCAATCGGTGGGCACCACCGGTCGGTGTTTGGAGGCTTCCCGGTAGGAGAGGGATTGCCGACGTACCGATAATGAACATGCCGAGAGTAACGAATGCAAGCGTTTCATTATCATGGGCGTCTTTCATGTTCGGAGGACTGATATTTACAAAGATTAATGTTGATTTTTAGAAAGTGCGATGTGGAAGACTAGGAGATGAAAAGGGAAAGGAGTAAATCACAATGAGATTTCAGCCTTGTCGGAAAATCTCAATGTTCAGCCTGACACGTGATGAAATTCGATTTCAGTCAAGCCGATAGTGCTTGGTTGGTTTGGATCCCGTGGCATCTGTGGCCCGGAGAACGAGAAATTGTAAAGTTTCCAAGTAGTCATGTAAGTTAGGTATATTGTACAGAAAAACCGCATCATCCATCGTAACTACTAGTATTAATGCATCCATCATTTTTCATCACGTCACATTCAAAGCATCAGCCCCCAATCCCAGTCCTGGACACCCGTCCCAATCTCCGTTCCATCATTGCTGAAAATACCCGTGCCTCCACGACCATCACCCGATCTACCCATGCCCGCCATGGCAGCATTACTTAATCGGTCACAGTAGATATCATAACCGTCGATCGCGGTATCAATTTCCGTCATCCAAGGATCGATGCCGGAGCCGGATCCCGCGGATTCAGATGTTGAGCAGGGGAAGGCATTGTTGCTAAATCGGCCATCGTTGGGGAATGCAGAGGCAGTCCAGTTCTCCTGCCGAGAAGGATGTTGAGCTTGAGACAGTGAGTGAGATCGAAGATGGGAGTGGAGACCTTCGCCACAGAGGCGGTGAATGATGTCTCTGCACTTGGGCGCGCTGGGGTTGAGGTTGTCCATGGCATTGATTATGCTTAGGGCCGTGAAGATTTGGGATCGCCACGAATCTGAATCGGGGTGTGTCGGATTGCGGCGAAGACAGTGGATTGGGATTAAGGCGGCCTGCAGGAGGAAGTATCTGGTACAACAGAAGAGAGATTAGTATTCATGTAGGTATCAGGATTCGTCACGAACAAGCCCACACTCGGAATGCGAAGAGGATAAAAGGGGCAGAATGGATACTTACAAAACATACCAGGCGGCCAACCTGGTGTGAGTTCCCGACGACCAAAATCGAAAGATGACCGATATACATTCTTCGGCCGCTTTGAAGCATCGATTTGTAGCGATAGTCTCGGCAGTCGACGCCTGCGAGGGAGAAGCAGGAGATTTACCGGCGCCGAAACCGTTTTGTGCCCACTGGATCAAGAAAGGGCGGTACATGACGATTCGCATAAGGCGGAATCGCCAACGACCAATCGAATGTCCAAGTAAGAATTCTCTCGAACGTGGCAAGTCATCGTCGCCGAAGTAGGGTGGAAGACTCTTCAACCAACCCTCTATCAGTTCGTCGTCGAGTGATATCAGTTCCGCTGCGGAGGGGACCGGGTTGGAGATGAGTCGGTTGTAGATTCGCATGGTGCGGAGATGATATTGGGATTGGGTGCGGATGTAGGTGTAGATTGTGGTTTCGTTTACTTCGGCTGGAAAGGAGGTAGAATTGGGTTTGAGATCCTGTTGGTAACATCATGTCAACATTGCTGCTGGACAAGGGCGAAGGAGAGTCATCCGGTATCAACCAACCTTTTCGTGGATATTCATCGGAAAAGCCGTCTCGACACCCACTTGCGGCCAATTCAAAGGCCGACCATATGTTACTGTGGCGCCAACGTCCAAAACGCACAGAGACCACCATACTCTTCTGCGTATCTCCTTTTTGAACGGGGCAGTCTTCCAACCATGGAACTCTTTATGTAACCCCAGAGAGATAGCCAGTCGCAAAGCGATACCCCCATAGTTGTAACCGCTATTTGGTCGGTTTCTCTTTTGCAAATAGTTTGCAGCCATTGCAAATGCCTGGACCAGACTGAGACTGCCTGTTTCGAGTGACCCGATGGGTAAATTAGCTTTGACGGCGTTGAAGAGCGTTGCGTGGGTGTCATCGGAGCAAGTGGAAGATACGAATGAGCCCAGTGCCGCAACGAGGTTGGCTAAAATGTGCCATGTACTCCCACCGGGTCGACCGTTTAGCTTGGAGTATTGTTCGCGAAATGAAGGTTCATGAAGGATCGGAAAGGTGGGATGATATAGCGCAAAATAGGCGTCGATGAGCGTATCGACAACCGCTCGAGTAAGTAAAGGTTGTGTTCGAAGCCATGGCGAAGGCGATGAATAGTCATTTGGGCGATGTTTGAAGAGTTGTTCCCAACTGGTACGCTGTTCTTGTTTCATTTCATTCTTGTCGTCTGCTCCGTCGTTGGTCGTACCCATCCAAATCACACGGAGAAGCGCAGCGCCAGAAACAGAACCGAGAAAGCCGGTATTGGAATCATCGGCGGTTAATGTCGCCATACCATCTGTGATCTTGGGAATGTCGGCTTCTACACCGCTTTCAAAGGCCGCAGAACCACCTCCTGGATCTGCGAGAGTCCAGGAAGATTCTCTTTCGTCCCATTCAAAATCATCATCGGCGGAAGGAAGATTTTCAAAAGGAAGAGGGCCATTGTCTGGCGCATTGAATCGCGACGTGGGCGACTCGACAAGACCGAAATCAAACTTTTGGTCTTGTTCTGCACCGGTGGTGGAAAAGGATTCGTTCCGGCGCTGCGCGCTGAGAGAGCCACCGGTAGACAATGATGGATCTCCTGTCGCTGATGGGCCAGGAGCATTGGGCGCTTGCGTTCGGAAGCCAGAACTATGGGGTAGCTTGGGGTTGACATCGGCCCCGTTGGAAACACCGTGAGCTAGCATTTGCGATAGCTCGGCATCGGTGAAAAATGTTCTCAGTAAAGCTTCCGCTTTCTCCAGACGTTCCTCTACTTCAGTGAGATGTCTATCTCGAGGGTTAGTTTCAAAAGTCGCGCGTTAAATGTCGCAGGAAGATACTCACTTCCTTGTCAAGGACGATCTGCTATGTTTGTCATAGAGACAATGTCGATTGTATCGCTGACAGACTGAGCACACGGGCATTTTGCCATCGCACTTTCCCTTTCGTCGACGACATTCCCGACATGATTGGCCAGCATTCGATGAAGAGCGATCAGTCTTTGGAGCTTCAGCCATTTTGGATGGACAATGAGAGTGGAACCCGAACCAAAGAGATCTTGCACGGAAAGCCAAATTGGAGAGGAATAGAATCAAAGGTGGACTCTGACCTTGTTTGTAACTGATGAACGTCTCGTGGCCCCCCACCCACCCGCGAAAAGCCCCGCAAATGTCTGCGTCAACTCCGGAAGATCCAAGTGGTAGTTAATTGGGTACAGGCCAGTCCAGTTGATCGAGCCTAACGAAACCTTGAACACGGTGAGGCAGGCCCTCCAGGTTCCGCGATTTGTTGGCAATACCGGGAACCAAACCGCTCACCCGGTAGATGCACGGGGACAGAGAACCTCACTATGCAACCTCTAAACTCGTCTCGGCTGAATTGTGTGGGGGTGCCGGACGGGAGGCCGCCAGGGGGACAGGGGGAGAGGGAGACAGGGCGACTGTCAACTTCTTCAACAACCGGCGAATCTCCCTCAAAGGTCAGGCGATATTCAGCCTTGCTCACTGTCAAAATGTATTTAAACATCAAGATGAAGTCGAGATATGGTGGTGGTGTTCAGAAAGCCCTACTGACGGACAGTTCATTATTTCTGAAGCAGTTGAGACCTTTGCATAAGAATCATGGGTTCTGTGGGGCCGCTTCAATCATTGGAAATTACCAAGGTAGGTCCTCCAAAACCAAGATGTACATTTGAAAGTCGCTGAAAAGGTCGTCATCGCTAGATTGGTGTCATTGGCACTGGGGTGATGGGTAGCATGTTGTCTCTTTTGTTCGCTGAACATGCTGGAGTTGATGTATCCATATACGACCGCTCAGAAACGAGCATGCAGCTCGCAGTCGAAAAGGCCAACAAGGCAGGATTGGGGGACAGAGTACATGCGTGTAAGGATTATGAGACATTGTGTCAAAGCTTGGGCTCCCCCAAAATCTTCCTGTTCAGCCTTCCTCACGGTCCTCCTGGAGATCGTGTTGTACGGACACTGGAACCCTATCTCAGAAAAGGGGATGTGGTGATTGATGGATCCAACGAGAACTTTCATGTAACGCAGAAGCGCCAGGCATTCCTCCAACCCAGAGGCGTGTCCTATATTGGAATGGGAGTTTCAGGGGGGTTCAATGGTGCTCGTCATGGACCATCTCTGATGCCCAGTGGAGATGAATGGGCACTCGATCGACTGATGCCATTGTTGACCAAAATTGCCGCCAAAGATGAACTCGGAAGACCCTGTGTCACCAAAATTGGTACCGGAGGAAGCGGTCATTATGTTAAAATGATCCATAATGGGATTGAACATGGAGTCATGTCGGTCCTATGTGAGGCATGGGAGATCATGGACTCGTGTTTGAGGATGACTGGCGACGAGATTGGAGACGTTTTCGAGAGCTGGAATGAGAAAGGAGAGTTGGTAAGTCAACTGATCGCTCCTTCCCTTGGCCACACTTCCTGAAAAACGTGCCAGAGAAACAATTTCCTCGTTGCTATCAGTGGACCGATCTGCCGTACGAGGAACGAAGACGGAAATGGTTTTCTGCTTCATGATATCGGAGATGCCGTGGTCCAGGATGCCAATGATTCTGAGGGAACAGGAGTGTGGGCGAACCTGGAAGCTGTATCTTCCCATGTCCCTGCTCCGAGTCTCACTGCGGCGCATTATTTGCGGCTGGCATCTGCTAATGTTGGGCAAAGACGGCAAGTCGGAAACTCTCTAGGTGCCGTGTCGCCGGGGAAAATCATCCTGGATAGGAACCAGAGGCAAAGCTTCCTGGAAGACCTCCGGAAGGCTGTCTACGCCACTGTTCTTCTCTGCTTCATCCAAGGCCTGGACCTATTGCGGCAGGCATCAGAGCGGCAGGGCTGGGGGATCGATCTGGAGCAAGTTGTTCGAATCTGGAGAGCGGGATGCATTATCAAATCTGACGACATCACCGATCTATTCGAACGACACTACGCGAGAAGCCCGGGTCAACATCCCTTATTGGGAACGGAAATATGCAGTGAACTCCGGCGATGCTGGCCATCTCTCAAAACTGTCGTCCTCAAAGGTCTGGAAGTGGATGCTCATTTACCAGCTCTTGGTGCCAGTTTAGAATATCTGAAGTATTCCGGATCCACCAACCTTCCGACCAGTTTCATGGAAGCACAACTAGATGCCTTCGGGGCTCACGGGTATGAGCTGAAAGGAGAGCAGAACGGGTACATGGCCAAGGGCAAACACCACAGCCACTGGTCACAATGATTTCTCTTCTCTCGTCTAGAATTGTGCAGAATACCAGGCAATGCGTCAAGCCTATTACCTCAGCAACTGTCATCCAGTTTTCACTCTGAGAACGACCTTCTCGAAATGACCTCCCACAAACACGTTCTGAAAAGCGTCCTTTGCCTCGTCGAATGGAAAAAACTTTATCTGCACCCGGCTTGGTTTGGTGACCCTCATAGAAACAAATCATCTCCTCGGATCGGTCTCTTGGGCTATTGGTGAGTCCTTTCAATGTGACATTTCTCCTGAGAGCTAGAACATTCGCACTGAGGCGCTTCTCCTGGTTTGTTTCCCTTTTCTAGATAGATCGCCGATATAGTTTGATCAGCCCTTCTAAAAGCTATTCAGTCGAAAGACTTCCACAAGGATTGGGCACCGCCATCGTCGAGAATGATAGTGGCGCCATTGTGATTGGTAAGTGGCATGACAGTCTCTTGCCAATTGGGATTGGTTCGATAGTTTGCGTGGGCCCCAAAGATTTGCGCGCGTGAGATCAGCATCGGAGGACGTTATGATTGCTACATTCCTCTAGCTAGTAATATGTCGACACTATGCCTCAGCATTTCCAGCATGTGCAAATTGTAATCCGCTGATCGAGACCCTCCTTGTTCCTTATAGCAAGACAGTTTCCTTTTTTCCACTGGACTGGTTCGGGGATCTTATCCCATTGATGGCTACCCACGCCGTAACTCCCGCGATAAGACAAAGTAGATGTCTCCTCATCATTCAGATACTCAGGCGCCTTGACCAAGTCCGTACGACATATCTTTTTGAGCAATTTGCCCTGTAAGGCGGATTTGATGGAAGATAGAAAGGACACGATCTCCGACATCCCAGGGACACTTCTTCGTACCTTCGCTCGTGTCGACAATACTGGGCAAGAAACGACTCGTTGGAAAAGCGTTGATGGTCTTGTGATGGTAATAGAAGAACCATAACGACTAGAAAGAGCGTCCAGACTATGTGTTAAACTAGGTAGCGAGTAAAGACCCCTCCAACAGTTCAGGGCACCTTACCTTCAAGTATCTCGATAATTGCGCGAGACTGTATGAATCTCAACCAATGCTTCATCCTTGCTTGGCGTAGCCATGACTGCCGTGGACTTTGCGAGTTCTTCAGGGTTATTTCAGGCTGTCTGCTATCGCATCACTTCTCTGGATGTGGCTCATTTTCTATTTGACAGCAAGGAGGTATGGGACGAAAACCGATCAGTATCAAGAGACGGAATCTGCCTTCCAAGGATATATGTTCACCTGTGGCGCAGTGCATGGAAGCAATGTATGAGGAGAAAGACCTCATACAGGAAGCTGAGGACATCTCCGGCAGCTCACCTTGTGGTTTACTCATGACGAATTTGGCGTAATACGATCGTGTGAGAAGTAATGCTGTATGTTCCTCTGAAGTCACTACTTCACAGCATTTGCGAGTCGAATGCAATCTTGGCATTTTGAGGCTGTTTCCCTGGGCTTCTTCTACTGCCGAATTGGGACATTGAAGCACGTAAGATTCTTGAAACTCATCTTTGGAAAAATCAGCCTTTCAAAATGGCTTCCCAGGGCAATATGCACAATTTTACCACTCTGATCAAAAGGTCCGTCCTCGCCGTCTTTCAAACTCTCTCCCAACTTAGTCCCGTCGCAATGGGCGCCTGTCACATCTGCTTCAAGCCTGCTAATTGCTCTGCCTGAGTAGACTCGAAGCCGCTACTTCACGGCTTGAGGATATTGCCACTTCTATAGACGGCCCTGGAGTGACTACTAATGGAGTGGCGGCGGCGGCGGCGGCGACTCCAACCATTCTCGCTCAAACCCCTGAACAGGCTGCTCCTCCTCCAGAGCCTTTACCCAGGTCCGTGGAAGCCTTCGACCAGATCATTGAGGAAGATATCGTGGCTTTCACAGAAGCTAGTGGGAAGATTGGTGGTCTGGTAGAAGAACAGGTTTGGTCGACATGAGCTTGTCTCAATACCTCACTAAGACATTGCAGGCCAAAGCCGTCAAAGAAGCATTCGAGGCCGAACGCACTTATCTCCTCGTGGCCTCAAAGGCCAGAAAGCCCGATCCGCAGCCTCCGGAGTTGATGACAGAGCTACACCGGCATACCTCGGCCGTGGATGAAATCCGAGAAGCCAATCGTCCCTCTCCCTTCTTCACGCACCTTAGCGCCGTCTCAGAAGGCATTGTCGCTCTCGGCTGGATTGTTGAGAAGAGACCGGCAGAGTTTGTAACCGATACCCTCGGAGGTGCTCAATATTATGGGAACAAGATCCTGAAAGAGTATAAGGACAAGTATGTGCCGTTGGACGACCTTACGACCGTTCGAGGACTGACCGTGGATCAGGGACAAGTCACATATCGAATACATCCAGGCCTACTACAAGATATTCCGGTCACTGGTTGCTTATGTCAAAGAATACTTCCCGACTGGTCTCACATGGAACACCAAAGATGGAATCGATGCTCTCGAGGCTCTGAATCAAATACAAGCTGGTGTAGCGACTCCCAAAGCCCCCGGGGTAGGTGTCGGTCCTGCTCCTCCGCCGCCACCACCTCCTTTGCCGAAGTTCGATGATGACGGACCGCCTGCTCCTCCTCTACCACCATCGGGTGGTGCTGCACCGGGTGGAGACATGTCTGCGGTATTCAATCAACTAAATCAAGGCTCTGCTATCACTGCGGGATTGCGAAAAGTCGACAAGTCGGAAATGACACACAAGAATCCCTCTCTGAGAGCTAGCTCCACAGTACCGGCACGATCAGGTTCTCAAACTTCGGTTACATCTTCTGGACGAGGCAAATCTCCACTGCCCAACAAGAAACCGGAAAGCATGAGGTCTAAGAAACCCGGGAGGAAAGAACTTGACGGAAACAAGTGGATCGTTGAGAACTTTGAAAACACACAATCCGAAGTCATTGAGATTCCAGCCGAGCTCAACCACAGTATTTTGATTTCGAAATGCAACAAATGCATCTTGAAGGTCAACGGAAAGGCTAATGCGATATCCATCGATAATTGTACCGGTCTGTCAATTCTGATTGATTCTTTGGTCTCGAGCTTGGACGTCATCAAAGCGCCCAAGTTTCAAGTTCAAGTTGATGGTGTGGTGCCGACAATTCTCCTGGATCAAGTCGATGGTGCTCAAATATACCTGTCAAATGAGAGCCTGGGCACTGAAATTTTCACGAGCAAATGCAGCGCTATCAATGTTGTATTGCCCCCTAAAGACGACTCGGACGAAGACAGCAAAGAATTGCCTTTCCCTGAACAAATAAGGAGTGTGGTCAAGAATGGAGCCCTGGTGAGCGAGATTGTGGAACATGCCGGTTAGCGACTGCATATCTTTGGTCTTCGGAAGTTGTATCATTAGCGACTGGATTTGAGTTGTGGCGAATAGGTTGCTTGCATGCGGAAGAGTCGGGGACTTTTGGAGGTGTTCGCCTACCAAAGAGGCTTTGTCGTATCTGCTAAGGCGCTTTCGGTCAAAGTTTTCAGAGACATTACCGCATGGGTGATTGCGCTAGACTTTGGATGGTGATGCTTTGATCTGGAGCAGCGAATACCGTGTGGAGGAAAAATGAAATGGTTCGATTCTGGATATCTCGTGGATGGCCGACTGTCTAGTTTTCGCGCCGTGGTCAAGTTGCCATACATTCCAGTCCAATCTATGGACAATCCAGCTTCTGCTTGTTTCAAGTGAACATATCATTCTGAGGACAGGGCAAGACGGCTCTCTCCCCTTTATGCGGTGTAACCTTGTGATACATTACTATATACGATCCGATCTCGTCTTTGCGATCAATTTCCTTGTCTTCTGTGCAGAGCGCCACTTTACTGACTACACAGGTCTTCCGTATCATATCGTTTCATGCCGTTTCAGCAGCTCTAGCCAATTCGATCTACGATCACATCTTGTCGTAGTGTAAATGTCAGATCTTGGGTACCCTGAAGTGCAAGCTCACAACTCCTTTTGTCAACGAAAGCAGAGACATGATTCTCCTCCAGACACGAGATGTGAACCCAAAAGATAACTCGGATTAAACCGCGATGCGGGCACAAGATCGAGAATTCAGGGCTCAAGACACGTTGTTCATGGTGATGCGGACGTGAGCATGGGAGTGGTTAATAACCGTAGTACCGACTGAGCTCTTGCTGGAGCCGCTAGAAAGGGAGCGCTCTAAGTACTAGGGATTTGCAGCAATATGCTGTATCAGCCCATCCTCTTACGGGGATGCTTGCTGCTTCCGCCAATCACGGCAAACCATTTTATGGGATTCATACAATCTTCTGTTTATTGCTTCGCTGCTCCGAGTTTCCCTCCCGCCAAATCTCTTTGACCCTCCTGTCGATCTGTGGAGCTCGGTCTAGGTCTTCTTTACTTGCACCACAATCTTAGATTCCTAACGTGGGGCGCCATCGGCCACGACAAGCATCGTACTCGAATCCCCCGAGACTCCGGGCGATGAACAAGTACCGTGTATGATGAGTTTGAACGACATTGCCCCTGGCCTCACGTCTATAGCTTTCTTTCTTCGCCTCCCGGACCTGGACTTAGGACAATACCTATCAGGAGGAGACTTGGAACATCGGCATCGAGCTCGCCAGTAAGCCTTGGAACTTTCTGGGTTTGAGGCCGAGCCTTACGTTCTGCGGTAATGAAAGAGTTGACCGAAGCTATTGCGTGGTTGGGATCTCTAGGGCTTGCGCCTGGTGATATTCGACTTGCAAATGATCTTTTCGATGCGGAGGATTACCTGACGTTGACCGACTTTGACAATCCCATGCGTGGCCTTTGGTGAAAGCGTTGAAGTGGAGACAGTCTCCTATGCCCGACTCTTCGGTGACGAAGCTGGCCCAGATCTTCGAGGCTCCTTCGGATTACTAGATCCTCGTATTGAACAGTCCGTGGTTGGTTCAGTTTTCTGCTATCGGACTCGCGTGTAGCAAATCCTAGTGGCTCGTAACGATCACAGCTCAATTACATTGATGTGTTCCAGAGATTCGAGTTTCCGCTCCTAGATCTCAAAGACGAGAAGGACCAGATTATCCACAAAACGCTATTACGGTGAATACGATTTTATCAAAGACATTACAGCGGCGGTGAACTCGCTACCAGGTCAAAATGGAGATATCTACCGGGGATTAGCTCCTGAATCGTGCAGGCAACTTGTGGCAAATCATTTTACAATGACTCCCTTAGTCGCTCAAACGGAACAGAAGCACTTGAATGGATGTGCCGAGAAGAGCATTGCCTCAATTGGAACCTGTTCCTCGCTCTTCAGGTGACATTGTGATATGCTGGGCCAGCTATTCTGAGTTGAAAACCTGAAGACCCGAAAACCTGTCAGTTGAATCCATCTTTATTCCCAGCAAACGATATCCTCATGAGAAAACAATCGATGTTTTTAGAGATCTGAAGATAACTAGTCATGTTGGAGTTCAGCGCCTCAACTTCCAAACTCCGCTGCAGCCTTGTGAGTCCTCTTCGCATGTGATTGGTAGACTGGAGCTGGCACATCTGCTCGTACGGCATGTCATCGCTCCAACGTTCACCCTAAGAGAGTCTTCCTTGCACTTCACTTCTAGTCACATCAATTTGGAGTTGTTTCGTCTCCGTGATGCCCTTGTAGTCCTCGAGAAAGGAAAAAGACCGGGGGCAGACGATAAAGCATAAATTGATCAGCAAAAGAGAATCATGACTTCAAAATCGGGTGGCAAAACGATCAAAGCCCGTAACCTCATCCTCTTAGACACCTCGTCTCAAGGCAACCCCCCCTCCCCCAAACAACATCACCGACGTGCCCCCACACAGTGGCGACCCCACCACAAACCGCCCCCCGCGAAATTGATCCGCCCAACTTACATACTTCATGGAGCAAGTACTCGGGGAGCATGCTCGGGGGATCCGCGATATGTACGCCTGTCAATCTGCCAGGAAGAAAAGTATCCGATATCTCATGGAAGGAATCGGATGGTTCGCGTTACCTAATTGTGCGGGGCTAAACGTGTATACGCCTGAGTTTTACAATCGGGCTTTCGCGTATGAAGTGACGCGGATCGGTTAAATTCACGACCACACTCATATCCACGCCCACACTCGCGCAAATGGGCATGGAGAGGATGGAGACGGAAGGACGGATGAAAGTAGAGTGTCGGGACCCGAGAATCCCGTACCAGATTTCAGACACATACATGAAGCGTGGGGAGCGATCAAGAGAGCGTGGGATACCGACGAGAAGACAGGCTGAACCTATATCCACAGCCTCGTCAGTCCAATCGCATCATGATGTCCCAATCAACCTTCCACACTACGAGACACGAATCAACCAGATGGGCGTGTACGTGGACGCGACAGATCCACGGCCTGGCGAGGAAACCCTCTTCGTCAACACGGGTATTTTGGATCTGAGCTACAACCCGACACAGGTGCTGTGGGTGGTCGATGTGTTCCTGCCTGCCACGGAGGGAGAGAGAATGGATGAGTGAATGAAGGAAAACGGACCAATGGGAAGAGGCAGCACGTCAAGGAGGAAAAGATGGGGAGAGGGACCGTAGTTGTACTGATATTAGTATAAGGGGCGTAAGAAGGCAATATTGGGTGTTTGGAGGCAACTTCGCCAGATGATGGGAACAAGTGTCTTCATTTGGCTCGGGCCGGGCCTAATCATGCATTCCAAGCCATAGTAATATAACATATGCATGGTCCATCGCACTCGAACCTCTTGGACTTGAATAACCCGCGTTCAGACATTATACTCACGGAAATCCGGACACGGATCTTCTCTCAAAATAACGGAACTCAATCACTTCTTCTTCCAATCCCAGGTCTCCATTAACGCGAGTCGCGGATCGAATCTCGCGCCTCGAAGCCCGGTTTCCTTCCTGAACAGCGGGAATAAATTGCCACGGCCTCGTTTATCGGTCCTGAGAGGCGCAGTGAGCTTTTGGGCGTCAATGCCGAGGTCTGCGAAGATCCTGAGCGCTTCTGTCGGCGGTCGGCGTGGTGCTGTCAATGCTGCAGGTCGGAGGGCAGGAGGGGTGGAGAAAGCCACGGCCAATGATTCAGATGAGATGTCGGATATCGGATTGTTCTCTGCGTCTGTGTCTTGATTTGATGAAGGAGGATGGGATCCGGTTGGAAACTCGAGAAGGTCCGGTGAATCGAATGTCAAGCTGTTCTTTTCGTCTTTGATTTTCTTGTACGTCCACTGGGTCGACCTCTGGGGTAGGTCCATCAGACTGGGCGGAATGGTCATTGTATCCCCGGCAACACTCTGCAATACTAGACCCACTGATTCTGCCAGGTTTAGGTCTCTGTTGTCCGCAGCAAGCCGTAGGACACTCATACATATCGCCTCGTTGGGAATAATATGCATGCCTTCGACATAGCCATGCCAGACCCATTTGGTGACGTCCATATTACCATTCTCACTCGCAGTGACGAGGAGGTGAAGAAGCGTTGGACGGGGGAACAGAAAGCGAGAGTCCGACAGCCGGTACAGGAGCTGAAGGAGGGCATCGAAATCATGGCGGTCACAGACCGCGTGGATATACATAATCCATGTCCACTTCCCGATATTTCTGTTTTCTTTTTGCAGCCTCTCCAGCTGTACAGTCGCCATTTCGAGTTGGTCTTCGCGAATCATGGCTGCGATACTCAGTTCTGCGTATTCATCTGCGGAAAATGTCTGTAGTTGTGACAATCTTTGTAGGATGCTGGTTCGAAGTTGTGTGTCTGGGTGGACTGTGAGGACCTGGATTGTGGTGAGTCCAGTAGGCAATGACGGACAAATTGAATGCGTAATCCATCGTACTTACCATTAACACAGCACCACACACATGCGCTTCAATTGGAATGCCTTCTCTTTCCATTTCCTGCAAGATGACCTTGACATTATCCGCTGAACCATGCTCCGGAAAACAGTTCCCTAGAATCAAAGCCTCGTAGTGGTCGGAAGTGGGCTTGACTTTTCGATCCTGGATAAGGATTCTGAGGATATTGCGGATGGCATCTGGATGTGGCGTGTATCTTGAAACCCATCTCAACTCCTCAGTGAGAAGCTCCGTTGAGACGACATGCCTCACACGTGAAAATGGATAGGCCCGTCCAAGTTTCCTTTTTACCTCGAGGAGTTTTGGGAACCGTTTTGGTAACTTTATTTCCCTCAGATATTTTCGTCCTCGTACTGGACGCAAGTTGTCCTCCTCTTCGCCGGGGTTGACCTCCGCAGTGGCTCGGTTGAAAGTCTCGTTTGGCGTCGTTGTAGTTGCGGCTTGATCCACATTGTCCACCGTCAGTGTCTGATCAGATAGTCCGGATACCTGACCTGAGGGTTGTAAGGATATGCCATGACCCACTTTCGCTTCCGCAGGGGGTTCTGCGAGATCTAGAAATCTCGCACGGGGTACAAGAATTTGTGCACGCCTGTCCTTCGCGTCCTTTTCAATCGTGCCATCTTTTTGGTCATCTTTGCCTCCGTGGAATGTGCGCATGGACCAGGTTGGGGAACGTGATCGAAGACTGGGGAGCTTCGAGATGGGAAAGTTATGCTTCAGGCCATGTTGAAAGAAGACCCTATGCATCAGCCATACAGAGCCAAGGTCGAAGAGGAGGGGGTTTGTAGCCTGGAAGACTGCCGGTCCGGCATGCGATTCTTGTCCAAACTGCGGACTTCTCTTCAACTTTGGGCTTCAAGAGATTTGCGACTAAAGTTGAGGACCATGGGTGGCGCTAAAATTCCAACGTGCAATTCGAATTGGTCTCGGAATTGGGAGACTGATAGAAATTATCATTGGTAATAAGTGACCTTGAATGAAATTAAAGTGGTCTGACGGCTAGGATTTCGGAGATTTCTACTCGGGGTTTGGGGGGATTTGGAAATCCATTCTCGTCAGACGCCTCCTACTAGGTGCCTCTAATTTGCTGAAGCTGACCAGCTTCAATCCTATTGCTCGAGCTTTCATGTAAGATTGCCTCTTCTGGTTACATTTGTATCGAGTCGATCAACGCTCGGTATCAGGTGGGTATACAGAGCATGAAATTCATCCACCACCCGAAAACATCCAAAGAAAAACTCCTCATCGTCAAACCCGAACGTACAACAACATTCTTCCTGCCGCCAAAGCGTGTAGCATTTCAGATGATAGAATTCTGGAGTGGGGCCGGTCATCACAACAAGCTTCTCCGAGGCTTTTGACAGTCGTGGAAAACACTGAAGAAAATGGGGGACGAAGGAATGGGTCCGCTTTGATGATGAATCTGTGGCCAGATCTACCACTGCGTGCCTCTTATTCAGTTCAGGGACCACCGATCTCCCTAAAGCCGTATCAGTTTTGGATTCTAACCTTATGGCACAACATGAACTGCTCGAGGAGTTCGCTTTCGTTTAGATCATTGCCCAGCTCCCATGTCTTCATATCGCTACGATTTCACCATGAGCCATTCTAACAGGTCCGTTGATGTAGAATGTAAACCTGACGCTCAATTCAGACTCAATCGCCTTGCAGTACCACAAATACTGCCGGGATCATTTCTGAATTTCTGTTGCAGCCTACAGCTTTTGCCTAATCTCTTAACTAGAACCTCTGCTTGATTCCAGCGTCGATCTGCATCGAAATATGTTTTCGTCATTTGGGGGGTCTATCCCGCATTATTTACTTTCGACAATTTGGTTATCGCCAATGAACCTCGGTACCAACTCCACCTCCACCCTTCTGCGGCTGGTGGGCTCGGTGCTGTTGAAATCCCCTGGCCCGCTGATGTCAGCCTCGTTTGGATGCTCATCAAAGTCGAATGAGAGGGAAATCGAAAAGAAGGAAGCAAACTCATGCTTCCTCGAAGTGAACTGAGCACCTATTCAGCACCATCAGGATGGGGGGAGTCACGCCAAAGCCACCACGGTACACGACCAACCTGCTAAAAACGCCTGGCATGGCCTTTGCCGTCGATGTTGAGGACCCGAAAGGGCGGATTCAAGCGTATATCGACTCCTACCGAAATTCTGCTCTGGACTCTTATAAAGTGAGCACTGTCCCAATCCAAGATATCCTTCAAATAGTCAGCCACCACAACGGCACTGACAAGAGACTTGTCCTTCTCCATGTATAGGGCATCGACGAGAACTTCATGCGCAATCACATCCAGATAGTCTCCGCTACATCTACACCTGAAAAGACAACAGCTATCTTCACCATGAAAGCTGCGCCCGAATTCACAAATCGCATGGGCAACATGCATGGCGGGGCGATCGCGATGATCTACGATATGTGTACGACGATGACCGCGGCGCCGTTGGCTAGAAGAGATTTCTGGATTTTCGGCGGAGTCTCAAGAACGTTGGGCATCACGTTTCTCCGGCCTGTGCGTGCGGATATGGAGCTGTTGATTGAGTGTGAGGTGTTGCAGCAGGGGGAGAGGTTGGCGACGATCCGCGGGCAGATGAAGGATAAGAAAAGTGGGAGGTTACTGTCGGTCGCGGAGCATAATAAAGCGAGTATCAAGTTCATAGAGCCGAGCGCTAAGTTGTAGAATAGAAAAGAAAAGTGGAAAGGTTCAATGTGTTTTGGTTTGTTGTTATGCTCCCTGTGGGATCTTCTCTACATGACCACTTCCATCGACAAATCCTCCGGTCATCTTGAGTTGTCAACACTGTATCGTAGTTCCACCGTGTGACGCGGGAACCTCAAGGTCGGTTGACGCATCGTACACACAAGCCCGTTAAGAGCCGCCGACGTACAGCCTAGCCTCTCTGCGCGCGCAGCCCCCAGCATGGGTTAATACCGCCACGCGTCTGTGTCTTTCGGTCCTAGAGCTGGAAAGTCCAGGGAGCTCTCGAGCGCCCCCGAATAATATATGCTAGTACATCTGGACTAAGTTCCCGAGCCCGCTTAACCGACAGGCTACCGACTGGCAATCTGTGAGCGAGGTCTGGAAAAGTGACCGAGGATGCAGAGACCGGTAGACTGGAAAATGTGGCAGCAGTGCACGTCGCAGAAGTGCTTGAAAGATTTGGCAGAAGAATGAGTGGGCAAAGCGAAGCGAGCGCAGATGGTGTTTCAACAGCAACAGCAGGAGTAGCCCGGTATTCCATCGCATCTTGTTTTGCCGGGGTCTCGGTGCCGATGTATTTCTCCGGGAAATCGGCCTTCATAAGCCGCAGAGGCCCCAAAGTTCGATATGAAATGTTGTATTTCAGTTTTACATACTGACAAACTTCCAAGCCAGAATTGTAGGGAGTTTCGCCCACAGTTATATCCTTCTTTTACAATCAACGCCTCGCCCCAGATATCCAACACAAATAGAACACGGTCTCGCAAAGAAGTGGTCAGGATAACATTACACGTGAGAGGAGCGAAGGAAATTCCGTCCTTGAATATCCAACAAGCATAAACCTTGCCTCGCGTGTGACATAGATCTAGTCCTGAACATCTTTGGTGACTAGGGTCGACCTTCCTGTTTCAAAGCTCAGTCTTGGACTGCAGTCCACAACACTGCTGATGGATGTATCATCCGTATTGCTGGGCGCATAGCGAAATCCGTCGACAACCGTCAATTCTCCCTCGAGTTCCTCCTCGTACCGAGGTGGTGGCGGTACATAAGAGGGAAGAATGTCAGAAAGTCGGCTGCTCCCGACGCCTGCATCAAGCTCTGCAGGTGCATAAGCAGGACGAATTCCAGCTTGATGCGCCTGATAATCAGTGCGTGCCCGTCCTTCCTCAGCCCGGACCAGATCTCGAACCAGATCGGAAGTATTTCTCAGAGTTCGAATCTCGTTTTGCATTACAACGTCCAGAATGCCCTCTTGGTCGAGAATCATCTCTCGCTTCTCTTCATAATCGTCGGGGGACTGGCGTCGATGCCTGTTCCACCAAGTCGACCACTTATGTTTGCACGCCGCCTTTCGGTACAGTCTCCTAGTTCGACGTTCTTCTCGTCGAGCGGCACGTTCTGCTCGACGTCGGGGATCACGGAACCATGCAGTCTTGCGTCTGATTAGACGGAAGGTCAGGGTGCCGACTAAGACCAGGAGAAGGAATGAAAGCACGGCCAGCGCCAGACGGTATTCAGAGCTGCGATACGGTTCATGTCTGAACGGGGGTGGGCCGGGTCGTCCATGGGGTCGGCCATGGGGTCTGCCGTGAGGCCCCGAGGGAAAAGGGGGACCATGATGATCAGCAGGAGGGTGGTGGGGGAATCCTGGAGGCGGGCCATGTGGCCAAAATGGAGGGCGATCCGGATTTCCAAATGGACGATCATGAGCATGTCGATTGTCTTCTTTATCTTCAGTTTCGTGGGTGGGTGGTGATGGAGGAGGAGGTGGAGGAACAGGCACGGCTGATTCCTGAGGCGGTGGTGGCGGTGGTGGTGGCAGCGGCAGCGGCGATGGTACGAACTCATTGTCATGGACTTCGTCGACTTTAGGAAGAGGTTGATCTAGTTCTGAACTAGTATCAGAAATCAAAATTTTGTCCGCGTCGTCTGTGAAGCACGTGGTTTGGGCTTCGCCTGCTTTGCAGCCAGCGTCGCGGTCTGTTTTATGTGAAAAATGCAATGTGATAAGTTTGGTAATAGCTGGTACTTTGCCCATAGCAGTTTGCCAGATGCATTTCACATCAGAGCATGTTTTAAAGTCTTGCTTCAGGAGAGACATGATTCTGCCCTCAGTCTTTCGCACTTGGTCATGGAGTTCATGCATCTCCGTATTGAGAGATTCAAGCTTTAAGTATTCAATCCGAAGTCGACTGTCGATAGAGGGTTCGGGATCGGGCATGATTGGAGTGATGGACAATCTCTGATCTTCTGGAATGAGCCAGTCATCACAGATGGCCTCTTGGGAGGAGAGATGATCGAGAGGTTTGTCTTGAAGCCGCAAGACGGTGGGCTGGCCTTTCTGTTTGAATGATGTTGTGAAACCAGAGGGATCCCTGACATGATTCTGGCCGGCAATATCATCGAACCGAACGGAGATTATCGAGGCTTCTCCCCTGAGACAGGTTGACTCCCAAGACGCACGCACCTCTTTCTCGCCCAGGCCGTTAGATGGCTTTGATTTGAAGGAGATATGGCCACGAGCAACATCATTGCCTTTGGTCAAGAAGAGAGGAAGACCATTCAATCGAGGAGGGCTGCTGCTACACTCCTCATCGGCCGAATCAATTTCCAATGTGAGTTCCTATGATGAAAGTCAATGGGACCGCAGGGACGACAGAGAGGCTTTTTTTTTTAAATTGGCGCTACCCACCAGGCCATCATCAGTGCCAATAAAGCAGCCCTGGCAAGGGGCGCGAAAGTGAATGGAAACATGATCAGGGCCTTGAATTGGTCAGCCGACAGGAGGTTCGATGAGGAAGGATGTATCTCAATACCTGTTGTACCGGCAACAGTGGTGATGTTCTTGGGGGTGGAATTAAGATTTGAAGTAGAGGAAGGAATAACAGAGGCAGAAGCAAGAGACACAGAAGAAAGAAAGGCAGCGGCCTGGGCAATCGAGACTCTCATTGTGAACAAATTGAATCAATTACACCCGGTACAGTTTCAAGCCAATCGAGATGGAGCCAAGATGAAAACAGTGCATGAATAGTGGATTGTCAATGATATGACATGCCCCAATGGAGTGGAAGCAAATACAGGTGCTTTTGCCTCACGACGCCATCATCCAACAAAATGATTTCTGCCCGAGGAAGAAAGATGATGACGGTGGGATAAATCAAGGAGAAGGAGGGAAGAAGAACAGCGAGCTTTTAGCTGGAGCCTGAAGTGCGGGAACGAAGAGCGTGGTTAGCATTGACGCTAGCAATTCGGCACAGCCCACCAGGTACGTACTGGAGGTTTACGGCCGCGTCAGCAAACAATCGCCGCCAGTCACGTGCGAAACAATATTATGTCAGCGGTCGCTCTCCACGCCAAGCCGCAATATCAAACTCGTTGCCCCCCTTTCAACTACCCTCCCTGTCCATACGAAGGGCGACAAACTACAGGCCCTGCATTCGAGCAGAATACGGGTGGATACACATTCGGTATCTGTATCTGCAGGATTCGTCTCCCTGGATATCCTTGTTTCACCTTGGACATTTATCTCTATCTAAGCTTTGCCGAGTGATTTGATCAGCAAGACACGTATCATCACTCCCAAACAGACATCACCATGGTCAGTCACCCATCCCATCGGTCGTGAACCTGTCTCTGACGAGACTTCCATGTCTGCAGCTTCCCTTGGGCCTCCTAACAGCTGCCCAAGGCCATCCCATGCTTGTCGAGCTCAAAAACGGCGAAACTCTCAATGGCCACCTGGTCAATTGTGACACCTGGATGAACCTGACCCTCAAAGAAGTCGTCCAGACAAGTCCCGAAGGTGACAGGTTCTTCAGACTCGCGGAGGTCTACGTTCGAGGGAACAATGTTAGTCTCCGAGCCTTCGTTTCGTTCTGACACCAAACTGACAGGAATCCCCAAAGATCAAATATCTCCGGGTACCCGAAGAAATCATCGATCTAGCCAAAGAACAACAACAGCAAAACCAGCAAACTGGTCACGGTCATGGCCAGCGTGGCCGGGGTGGCCAAGGTCATCGGGGCGACCAGGCTGGCAGGGGAGACAGAGGTCGTGGTCAAGCCAGGGGGGGACGAGGTCGGAGCAGAGGAAGAGGTTAAAAATTGACCATACTTTTTTCGACAGAAAAGAGTCAAGTCCTATCATCGTGATCCAAGTCTAAAATATTCTTGATGGCATGACGACAGCATGCCCGAAACAATACTCCCGAAACCTGTCCAAGTTTACGGGCCACAATTCCGGCCCCGCAAAAGGTGGGTACCAGATGCGAGTTCACGCAGAAAGCAAAAAGCAAAAAAAGGGCATTACTGGCTCCCGAAGACCGAAAAAATGCTCATCATTTCACCGTCAAATTCGGGAAAATAGGGTGTGAGAACTGCTGTGGCACATTCTCACTCGAAGTCGTTCTAATTTGGACCCTGCTCCATGCACCTGGACTCCACCGCTATGCCGGTCCAGAACGACAACTGCCAGTGTGTAAACTCGGCCCCGTCAGAATTATAGAGAATTGAAGGATTCGTACGCAAAATTGTTCGTGTCGCTTCACCGTTTGGGAAGCTCGGATGCGAGACATTGCAAAACCTAGACTGAGTTAGCTAAACTCTCAGGCGCCCCCAAAGAAGGTGCTGGCTGTTGTACCTTGTCTGTGACTATACCTTGATTGTACAAGTATTTGCCCAGACCTCTCACAACCTCAATCTGTTCTTCAGGGGTAAGGCCCACGATGGCAGACTCGATGACGCTGCCCACACTCGTTTTATACACGGCGATGAAACTCTGATAGTACATGTATGCGAAGAGACCCATGATGAATTGACAGTCCATCCGATCGGTCATACCTCCGTGTCCAGGGATGCTGTCACCAAAATCTTTTATTTTGAATGTTCTCTTCAGCCCGGACGCGAAGAATCCCCCAAAGGGTGCGATCAGCGACGCGAAAGTTGCGAAAACTAAGATGTGGAATTGCATGGGTGCAATCCAGATGGTGTATTCCAGGCCAGTCCACGTGGAGAGATCGTAAGGTCGCGGGGTAAAAACGGGGTTCGGGGTGCATTCCAGTCCAGTGTAGATGTTGGCTCCCAGATCAGTGACCGGACAGATAAAGTATTTGTAGCGTATCAAGATGTTGGTCAGTCCAAATCCAAAGAATATCGTACAGACCCAAGCTCCAACGAATCCCTCGACGGTTTTCTTGGGAGAAATTTTGATGAGTTGAGTGCGTCCAAATGTGATTCCGCAGATGTAAGCAAAGATATCATTGATGATGACTAACGATGCTGGAAGAAAGAACCAGATCATGCCTTCGAACACGTTATTCATCATGAAATGTGCTTGAACCACAATCAGATAAAGGGCCATGTGCGTCCACGCGAACTGGGTAAACTGGAATCGGTAATGTCCCTTTTTCAGTGAGGCTACGAAAAATACAAAGCCTGAACGTCGGTGAGCCGTGAGCAATTGCGCGTGGTCGGGGGACACATACCGAAGATATACATCATGAAGCTGATGAAGCGATGATGTGTCGCAAAAGGGAGTAGGACCTTGTCCACCAAGAGGATATGCTTGAAATAGTAGATGACGCTCTCTCCATACAGGAAGTACATGGTGATGGCAAGGAAGTACCAGTTCAAAGACCTCGTCAGCGGCAGGTTCTTTTGCTTGGTCGGGACTTGCGCGATAGCAATAACTTCTTTGAAGGAAATCACTTGAACCGCCGTGATAATCATGAGAACATAGACATGACCAGCGAACATGGCTCCGAAAAGTCCACTGATCATGGCCAAAGTCCAGATTGTACGTGTAATAAACGTTGCCTTTTTCTTTTCGTATTCCGATGGTTCTCCAGGTTTTTCTCCTTTGACAATCGTTCCATTTCGAAGGCTATCAGCATCCTTCAAAGGACTCGGAGGCTCGGAGGCGGTGTCGCTGGCGGTAGAGGAGCTTTGTCGTCGATGATCCAGTTCGTTGCTATGGCCATTCCCGTTGCCATTCCCGTTAATGCGATGCTGGAACTTGACGGATTTCTGCCTCGGCATGATTGTCTGCGCGCGGCGCGGAAGACCCGTGAGCAGTGATCTCTCGGGGGTGCTGGATGGAAGATAAAATGGATGTTCCCCGTATCGAGGAGAGGGGACCGAAGTCGACACGTGCTGCCTGCTGGACGCCTGGCCCCAGACGCGAGATTTAGAGGCTGTAGGATCTGATGCCAGAAAATCGTTCGGAGGGTGGTCGAGTGGACGGATTTCTGTAATTTAAGACGCTGGGCCAGAGAAGAAAGCGCCAGGATGAGAGGCGATTCCTATAGAAAGAAGAGCAGGAGACAAAGAAACGTCGTTTGAACCAAAGTGTAATTGCAGGTGCAGCAATAAACCTGGACTTTGGTCAGCCAGTTGGATGGAAGGGGTGCTCAGCAATTTGCGTCATTGCCTGGCGGAACCGGTGCAAAAAGCATAAAATTGACATTGGCTCTGGCACACGCCACTACGAGCGGCCGACTAACCACAACTGCGCCCACACTCTTCGGATACACCGACGACTTACACCACTACTATATCTATCTACGGTCTACAAGTACCGTGTTCTCCTCTCACTATTTACCAGACCCATGAGGTCGACAACAGACGCGTGAATTGCCTCTGGCTGCCTCATGTTTACCTTACTCATGGAGGTCAAACATGAATGGCATGGACGACAACGAAGACGAGACAGGTCTCTTCGACGATGACGATTTCGATAACTTGTCTGAATCTGCTCTCCAGGAGCTAGAGCAAAATGCCATCCTTTCAACGCAACGAGCGCAGCAGCAGGCTCGTGCCATTACAAACCACTTTCAACCTGCTCCGCAAAGCCCCGTCACTTTGCCACCAAATCGGCTGCTGGCTCAGGCGCCATTCAATGGTAGACATCATCTATTGAACCCTGTCATTCGAAAACCGGTTAATGAATTCCAACCGGGAGACGACAGTTTCGAATTGGTTGGAGATGAGGGTGTTCCTACTCCGGTTGAAGAAATTGAAGCGTTCCCTCTCCGTCGAATGCAACTCAGTGAGGCTCAAGGAGAACAATTTCGCCCACAACGATATGGCCAAGCCTACAATGGTGTCGGGCTCAAACAAAATTCTCAAAGTCATAGGCGGCCTTTTCCGGCCAGCCTGGGAGATGGCTGGTTTCCGGGCGTGCCGTCGAGATCCGATGAGATGCTGCGGGACGGCCTGTCACTGGAGAACATGAACGCCCTACAAGGAGATGATCGTGAAGCATTTCGTGATCATCGCATCGAGAATTTGATAAGAGAAAGAGATGAACTTACACGGGAGCTTCGAGAGACCAAGGATACGGTCATGATGCAAAAGGGGGAAATCTCAATCATACGAGCCAACTTTGAGAAGGAAACCAAAGTCTTCAATCGACAGGTTGGTGTTTTGAAAAAGTCAATGGAAGAAGAGGCGGCGAGACATACGGCTGCTCTTAACGCAATGAAGGAGAAAAATAATAACCTAGTCACCCGTTACCACTTTCTTCAGCAGGAACACAACCAAGAGCTTCAGGAAACCAAGAGTCTCCGACAACGCTTGAAGGACAGACCGCAAGCAGACAAGGATGCCAGTCCCGTGGGTACTCCGAAGCGTGGTATGGCCCGTTCTCTTCGAGATGGATTTGACGATGACGATATCATGGTTATGTCTCCATCGAAATCAGCTCGGCGTCCGAAACCAACTCCTCCAACCGCAGTAAATAAGAGAAAACGAAAGGCCGACGTTCCGAGTCCGGTGAAACCGCTGGTGCTCAGATCTTCGAACACACATCCTCCTGATCGGCCACCGTCGCCGCCACCACCAGCACAGACAGATGGACCGATGGTTCCCGTTATACGGAAGGACAAGCAGGCTGAACGCAGCCTTTCCTTCCTCCAATCTATTCTAGAATATCAGGTCAAGCAGACCAAAGAGCCGCTTGTCGAAGCCTTGGTTGGGTTTTCGTTTCCCACTAACCCGTCTAAGAAATTCTCCGCTATCCTGCTTGACGGGGTGGCGCACCTCAAAGGCGATCGCCTTGCTGGTGATCTACTGCAAATATTTATCAGCTTATGGTCCAGGTCCATGAAAGAGCAATACTACAAGCCGATCGCACTGCTAATTGAAATCGTCAGCCATATCATTGAACTTGAAATGTTGGTATTAGATTCTGGAACTATCTCCAGCCTTACACCTGTTCTCCAGACATGCGTGGCAATCAATGCTGAGAAACGCTTCGAGCACTCTCCTGTAAACCATTCAACGTTTGGCAAATTCCGTCAAACCCCTCAATCTGTATTGAAGAAAGAAGTCAATGGTACAGCCTGCATGGAACTTATGCTAACAGTAGCATACATCGTCTCAGATGACCCTGACCTCCTGACCCTCTTCTGGCGCCTCATGGACCCGGAATTCGTTCTAATGATGCTCAATGCCTGGCAACCTATCTCGGACATCACGCTCATGCTCCAACTGCTCGCCACGAGCATTTTCTCATCCACGTTTGGCTGCGTTTGTGTCGACGCACAACAAAACACAATAGAAAACTACATTATTAACCGTCTCTGTCATCTGCTGTGGGAAACGCCGAAAGTCGACGAGGGCCTCTGTCCCAACACAACCAAAGAGCTCTGCCAATTGCGAGTAGAAGTCATGGACCTACTCCTCAAAGTAGCCATCACTTCCACCCCACACCCGCACGACGGTCCCACTCATCACGGCAGCAAGCTCATAGCTCATCACACAGGTGCCATCGCCCGCGTCGTCCGCAGTCTCCATGACGAAGTCTCCGCCATGTACAACCTTCTATCCTCGCACGCTCTGCATGCCGAGCTCGTGAACAAAGGCATCCGCCTGCTCTACCATGTCCTAAAGCTCCACGGCTCCGAGATCAATCTCCAGGAGAAACTCTCCGTCATCAACGGTGGTGTACACAAGCATCGCGTCGTCCTCACGAGGCTCGCGTTCTCCGAGGGCTTCTACATCGATCGCCTGATCACAGACGACACCGTCGCCATGGCCACCAGTATGCTCGAGGAGAGCGTCACACCCGATGAAGCGGATGAATTGATCGAAGCATTTCCGGGGTTCAAAGGCCGAGGTGCCAGTGCCGCTGCCCCTACAGCGGTTAGCTTCGACGGGGGATTAAGGTGATATCAATATCTGAACGATCACAGTTGAGGGTTCATATCTTTTGAAGGATAAGGCAGACTCAGTCGTTGTAGAGCGACGGGTATTTTGAACTGAGTGAAATCTTAATGCATCGGTGGCGAGATTCCATTCTCTGTTGCCGCACTGGATAAGCAATGAAATGAAACGAAAAGGCAAAGACAGAACGTAAGCTTTGGGCCCCAACGATAAAATAATTATGTTCAATTTGTATTATCATTATCATCCCGATCGTTAAGAAAGGGTGTTCTGATCAGGCGACTTGTTGAATACATTGTGTTTCAATTCTGTACCATGTAACACCATTCAGTCTGGAACGAGTCAATCCAGAAGCGTACAGTCCAGAGCGGCTGCATGTAAATCCAAAATCGTTAAATGCTTCAATAGCACTCTTCCTTTCTGGTTGCATATCATGGCGTCTCGATGCGGCGAACATGTATCCGATACGGAAGTTCGCTCCGCTCACCATCCCTCGTCAGCCGGATAACGCTACCGTTGGATCTTGAGCTTCGAGAACTCATGGATGATCTCGACGAGGGCCTTGAGCGTATCGACTCTTGAAGTTCCCCTGAGCGAAAACCTGGTCTGGATGCGGCCGAGAATATGCGTGAAGTCGAGCCTTGCGTGGGTGTGGCGCGGGAACGGGGCGCTGTCGTCAGCGCAGTGCGCAAGGTGCGTACGTCTGCTTCGGAATCTTCTTCCGTGCCGTGACCGCGCTCGAAGGAGGAGAGGGAAGGGGCCGAGTCTTCTGAGACACGACGAGGAGGGGGCTTGTGATGTCGCACAGAGCCGGAGTCGGAGAAAGTCGAGTCGGCAGAGGATATTTCCATGTCTACATGCCGACGAGAGTAATGATCGTGCTGGTCCGTCGTGCTGGAGGTTTCGGAGTGTGATGTGTATGACGAGTCCTCTAGATCTAGCATCTCGACGTCCACCGGTGTCATGTTGCGGAGCAACTCGGCAAATAGCCGCATCAACGTTTGGAAGTCTTCTTCAGTAAGAGGTTCGGATGAGAAGCGTGCGTGTTCGTAAGCTGTGAGAAAGGCTGCTGTCAAGGACGTGTCTGGCACGACACCAATTTCAACGAGATGTCGTAGGTATGGTCTCATACCCATCGTCGCAGGCCTGGTGAGTTCATCGATTACTCTTGGATCCGGCATAGGCATTCCATCGGGACCAGGTTCAGCCAGTGGATCAACAGGGGCAAGGCTGACGGCCTTCGCTTCGACGAGATCGGCCAACTCGTCAATCACGGTGGCATACTCCAGATTGGGAAGATCCTTGGATGCTGGCGACGACCATCCTGGATGAGCTATCTTCCCCCATCTCGACTCGAGACTGTGGTCGCTGCTCGACTGTGATTTGGTGAAAGCCAGCATCCTCGCACCCGCGTTGACGGCGTCATGTTCAATCATCCGACTTCGTGGCCTGGATTGATAGGCGATCACGGCACTTCTCTCCAAACATTCTTGGATTAACTTGTGAATTCGTCTTCCTGGTAGGTCCTCCTGTTCAATAGGCATAAACGTCTTCGGTATCTCCTTAAGAATCGAACGATTCGTGTAGATTCGGGACGCATAGATGAGAATGGCAATTAAGGCGGTAATGACGTATGTGCCCGTGATCAAGAATATATCAAGCAGCCGACGCCGTTTGTAGGATTCGTAGAGAGCATCTGCAGGAGTTACGCAAATGAAGCTGATCTGGATTAAGAAGACTGCGGTGAATGAGGTGCTGTAGAAGATGCGGAAGAGAATCTGGCGCGCCCGTGCCCACTCCACCATGGCCACGACAGTCTCATCTTGGGAAGGAGGAGATCATATATCCGATGTTCTGATCATAGCAGTCGTACTGCAACAGTAGTCGAGTATCTGTATACTAGCATTGAATTGAGGGGCCCAGCAGGACAACCACCCGAGGAAGGCCCACACTCACTTCCACAGCACGTGATATCACGTGGTTCTGCCTACTTTCACTGGGCAAATGACGCAAGACAAACGTGGTGCATCTGACTGGTCTTTCCTTAGGCATTCCACTCCATCTCTCACTGAGACGCATCTCTGTGCGGTTTGTATGTCGCGGTAAGCTACTGCAATGGTCCAACTGTTCTGCCAAAGTGTCGAACAGACACGCCTGTCAACGGCACATGATACACGTTTACGACAATGCAGAATCGGGCAGATCGACTCTCCGACAGGAAATACGAGTACGTGGAAAGCCAATCAACCCCGTAGCTCGGTCTGGATTTAAAGCTGAGCTGGTTGTTGAAAGCATCTTGACGTCTCTGTCACAAGGGTTGTGAAGGAGGTTGGCCAGAATACTCATTTGAATTGGTGAACAGCTTACAAATCAACCGTCCGGGGCGGTGAATAGGTGGGATTTTTGTGCATTCCATACACTCAAGGAGTGGACAGAGACCGGTATGTACCCGACGCCTTCTCAAAACAAAATCATACTGTTCGCTCTCGATCAACACCGTTCTCTTTCTCGATCAACTTCAGGTCTCGACTCAATTGCCCATCATGCCTCCCATCACTCTTTACGACGCGGCGGTTGTCCCCGTCATCCGTGCTTTGAGGAATCTCTCGCATATCTTGAAGAAGGGAGAAACCTACGCCAATGACAAGGGGATCCCTCACTCGGAGCTCCTTGAAGCCAGTATAGCACCCGATATGAAGCCTCTCACCTTCCAAGTCCAGATCGCATCAGACTCCGCCAAATTTCTCGCTGTCCGTGTCGCTGGAGTCAACAACATGCCCATGGAAGACAACGAAAAGACGTTTGAAGAACTACAAACTCGCATTACCGCGACCATCAATTTTCTCGAGGCGGTCAAGAAGGAGGATTTCGATGGAAAAGAGGACAATGAAATTATGGTCAGAGACATCAAGTTCACGGGCTTGAGCTACGTCACTTCCTTTGCGCTGCCGAACTTCTATTTCCACGCTGTTACAGCCTATGACATTTTGAGGATGAAAGGTGTTGATATCGGGAAGAAGGACTACCTTCGCGGAGCCAACGAGTGGGGTAAGATGGAAAGAGAGTGAACAGACATCACGGCGGAAAGCCGAATCAGCAAAGCAATAATAGCCAAGTTCGAGATATTTCCTCAGTGATTGACATGTGATCCTTCTAGCTCGCACTGCAGCGCTCCTGATATTGGATATTCCCCATTTTATTATGACGAATGAGTCTGGAACTGCGTCTTCAGAGCGATGTACGATCTTTTCATCCTTGCGGCCGTGAGATTGAACAGTACCCTCTGGCGCTCGTCAGCCTTATCACGTGACAACGCGGAATATTCAGCCCAACATGCTTCTTCAGTCTCGATATTTTCCTCATCTCGCATACAGCACCTCTGCGGGGGATCAAGATCGCCTATGCTTGATGGCACCCATTACAAACCTGGACGGTTGATTAGTAGCCTCAAGGATCTATCCCAGGACGAGGTGTAGCAGCAAGGACACCCTGCGGAATCTCCAGGTTTCAGTTTTATCCGCAGCGAATATTGCAAGGCAATTCTAAAGTCCTTTTTTTCGAGTTCACATCTCCTTACTAAAGCCCGAGCTCAAAATGACTTTACCACAGGAAGCCTGCAGGACCGATATATCACTTCTCTAGCACTTCACACTTGCAAGCAACATCAAATGTCACAAGTGCTAGCATGGCACCCTCATGGTCAAATAGAAGGCCATCTCTTGCTTTGCTTATGACCTCTCGCAAGTGCTCCGACAAAAGTCTTGGGAGGTTTTGTTCGACCATCCCGGATTCGATGGCTGCTCTGCTTGGCCAGCGTGAGCATAAGCGAGCGGATCTCCAAATTCGAGAAGCTAAAGGTCAACGGGTGGAGGTACCGTTGGTCGGATGGTTACCAATACCGCCACAACGTGAAAAACGGGGCCGATCTCATTCCTTCTGTGTCTCAGCCAGTTGGATGGAGTGAATGCCTCTGCTTATGCTGCCCTGGTGTCTGGTATGTTGACGGTGTGCTAGGGATCTCTTCTAAATGAGGCAGTACGTTAGATAAGCCGAGACATTCGATGGTACCAGTGCCGGCGTTACAACCCCAGGATTCTTTCACCCCGTTACTGAAGTGGACAAGTCTTTCGCTTTGCGTCATGACCACTCCAGACTACATTGGGAAAGAGGCCTAATTTGACCAAAATCCTGGGCTGAGATGGCCCCTTCTGTTCTCACCCAGAGCCATGTTACCCTTAGTAATGAATCTCAACGGGGGCCTCGGGTCGATTGAATGTTGTTCCGCTGACAGTTGAAGTCTCAGCCGCTCCGGTCTCAAAAGTAAAAATAGTAAACCTCACTATGCTGCTGACAAGAAGACAGGAAGGTCTTCATAAACGGAACTTCAAGATTAGCTGCCGACTTTCACACAGCAATCCAAAATGCCTGCGCCCAAGAGAGATCGAAATATCCCCCCTGGAATCGAGGACGAAAGCAGACGAACTATCACCAACAAAAACACGGGCGAAACAGTCACATGGGACAAATACGGTTATGAAACGAAAGGAGAAAAGGCCATTGCCACTGCTGTCTGCCAACCTGGCGGCGGCCCCCCTCTTCACTACCACACATCATATGCGGAGCGATTTCAGCCAGTGGAAGGAGTGCTAGGTGTCATGTTGGGAGACAAAGAAGTCCATCTCCAACCGGGCGAGGCAGCCGATATCCCCATCGGAATGCACCATCGATTCTTCAACGACACCGACAAGGACGTCACCATGAAAGCCTGGGTTCTTCCAGCGCATGCCGGATTTGAGAGAAGTTTGTACATCCTTTTCGGACTCAATAACGATGGTCTGGCGGATCCCAAAACTGGAATGCCTCATAACATGTTACATACAGCCATCGTGGCGGACCTTGGCGATATGAGATTTCCTGGGTTTCAAGGTGGATTGATCAATTACTTCACCAAGATTTTGGCCTTGGTTGCAAGATGGCGTGGGGTGGAAGAGGAGTTGCTGCAAAAGTATTGGGATTAAAACTGGTCGATATGCTTCGTCCTAGTGCAAGGAGCCATAGGTTTCGGTGGCGACGGTAATTATGTAGGTCTGGAACGTTAATAGAGTATTTCTTCGCATACTTGACAATAATGTGTTCATCACTGATCTGGGTCTCCTATGCGATTGAGCTTTGCTGAACGGCTGGCAATATCAAATATGCCAAGATCTCACGGCGTGTTTGTTGTGCATTTCCCCAGAAATTGCCCGGACTTGAAACCCATTTGAATTCGCACCTTGGGGCGACCGGTCGAGTGGCATACGGCAGGGGACCCGGTAAGGGATTCGGAAATGACGTGACTTTCTCTTCTCTATAGCCACAGCTCCCTCAAGACCGACTCGTCATGGCTGAGAAAGCTCCTCCTTCCCTTGCGGCTGTTGCTGTTTCGTCTGTTATTCTCGGCCTCCTGGCAGGTTACTTTATCGGTCAAGGCTCCAGTATTGGGCTTTTCGGCGGCCCAAACAATCCGAGTGACGTCAAGAAAAGCTGGCCAAACAGTTACAATGTCAAAATTCATGCCGACTCAAGTGATGACCAGGCCGATGACGAGGACGAGGGTGACGAAGAAGAGGGAGACGGAAAGGAATTAAACGACTTCAAAGGGTCTACGGAGGAGGTGAAGCTCGTGTTAGCAGTGAGAACGGATCTTGGGATGGGTAAAGGTATGAATGTTACAGTCACATGTTGAAGCGTTCTTGACTGACCATTTCCTTCTGCAGGTAAGATCGCCGCTCAATGCTCTCATGCCACGCTCGCGTGCTACAAATACCTTCTCAATCATGCTCATTCGGCACCTTTACTCAAACGTTGGGAGTGGGGAGGTCAGCCTAAGATCGCAGTAAAGGTCGACAGCGAGGAAGAGTTGGAGACGCTGCAGGCACAAGCCATCAGCCTGGGGCTTTGTGCACAAGTCATTCACGACGCTGGGAGGACGCAGATTGCTGCCGGCAGTGCGACGGTACTGGGGGTACTCGGCCCCAAAAGCGTGGTCGATCAGGTTACTGGACAATTGAAGTTGTTGTGATCGAAGATCCGGCTCGATGAGACGGATACAAATCCTGCTCGACTAAAGCGAACATGTCTACTCTCCACAGAGAGATGCCAACGAAGATCTCTTGTCTCATCCCCGAGTCCTCGAACAGCTATTCATGCATTTGTCTCTGAGGTTTCCCGAGCTTTTCAATTCTGTGGTAAATGACACGACGACTCGAACGAAGAATTCCTAAATCTATTGAGCATCCTTCAAAGCCAGCTCCTCGCTTCTCTGTCCATAGATCCGTCGGTATTTGTTCAACAGTTCCAGAGATATCTTGGACCCGCCACAAAGAATAATGACAACCTTGGATTCCGGTCCAAAGCCTCTGAGGTATTTTCTCAGTCTCCCATCATATGCAAGAGCTATACTTGCGCCACATGCCGGCTCCACCAGAAATCTTTCGTCATCAAGGAGACGCCAACACGCCGCGCATGCCTCCGCGTCTTCGAGAATAATCGGTGTGACATTGGGTCTCTGAGCTTGTTGGAAGGCATTTTCCGCTACACGAATGGCGCCCAGAGATGTTGCCACTGACGTGATGCCTGAGAGTGTTACCAGTTCACCCTTCTGGATGGACTGTGCAAGGGAATCGGCGCCGAGTGTTTCCACCGGCATGACGGAGACCTCATCACCCCAGCCAACACGATCAAGTCCATTCATGATGCCCGAGAAGAGTCCTCCTCCACCCACGGAACACACTATGGCATCGGGCCTTTCGCCGTCCGGCATCTGGTCTTTAATCTCTTCCACCATACTCCCCGCACCCTCCCAGATTGCTGGGTGGTCAAAAGGGTGAATATAAATGCCCCTTTCACTACGTTCCTCTGCCTCGGGGATGATGACTTCTCTGAGATGCTTGTCTGCAAAGAACCAGCTGTCGCCATGGGAAATGACTTCACTTGCCCCGGCAGCCTTGAGTTTCTGGATCGTTCTCTCATCCGTGCTGGTTGGGACAATGACTGAGGACTTGTAGCCAAGCGATGTCGCCGCCGTGACACAGGCAAGTCCCGCATTTCCGCCTGAAGACGAATAAAAGTGAAGAGGCCTTTTATCAGAGGGACATTGTTTTCTGATGTTTTTCAGCATCAAATTCCCGACGCCGCGAGACTTGAAGGAAGAAGATGGTTGCAGATTTTCGAGCTTGAGAAATATTCGACTGTGAAGATAGAGGATCAGTGCCTGCTGAAAGCGCTTGCGGAACTATTTGTCGTACCATCCAGCGGCTTTGGAAAGAGCGCCCGACTCGATTAGTGGAGTCTCAACCCATGGCTGTTTGATGGAAGATGTTGCTTCCTGTGCGCAATCACTCTCCCTTTCAATCATGGTATGGGTTGCAGATTTGATCGCCAGTCCGAAAAGAGAAGTCTGCACAATGCAAAATCTGCGAGACAACAAATATACAGCAGGGTCGAAATTGCGTCGGGCCAAAGTTTTCTGCGGTTCAGAAAAGAATAGCCTATCAATAGAGAGGACTGAAAGAGGAACAGTCGTGACCCTTTTGTGCAAAGACCAGTGGGAACAGGACGGTCCGCGCCCTGTTACAATCTTAAGTACCTTCAACGAGCCGCCAGTGGTTCGAAGGGAAAAAAAGATTCATTTGGCGACGAGGCCTTGTGGGGCAATCGTCCAATCATGTCATTCCGAATATAGATGCGGGAATTCAATTCCCAAGAGCAAACTCGACATGCACTCGCATTTTCATATAGATATATCTACAGCATGTGGTTGTCTCCCCAGGCACCCCAGGTATGTACGAAAGGACGTCATCAATCGTCAGCTTGTTTAGCAACTCAACCTTCAGATTCTCTCGTAAGGCATAAATTTGATAAAAACAACCCAAACCCCATCTCTTTTGGATCACTATCAAGAATACAGTGTATCCAACTCGTCAGTCCTGTTTTACAGCTCTGGAATCGTATATCTAGGTACGTCCCCTCTTGGGACTTGCAGCTTCTGTTTCTGTTCCGAACTACAGTGTCCACGGTATGAATCCAGCGCGGTGCAAAGCTTTCGAACTCAGACATCTACTCTATGGTCGAGGATATCCTTAATTGCTCGCGTGGCTGCCCCCAAGTCATTGGAGTTGTCGAGCCCAATACTTTGACAGTCCTTCAACATGAAAAACTGTATTGTCCGGCCACCATAATTCCAAGCCAACGCACATATATTTCTACAAATATATGATCCATGGTCATCGAGAAGAATTGCAGTGCATCGAAATCAAAAGTGTTCCTCCCTCGCCCGGCGCGCTCTTTGTTAGATCCAGGTAACCATTCAGGGCGATGGTGCCGGCACTGGCATTTTGGTTTGTCGCTGCGAAGCGAGTTCCCTCTATTGCATGCGACATGAAAGTCAATGATCAGAAACGGAAAACGCAGCCTCCAATCCGGTATGACGAAACTGCGTCCAAAGTGGTCGTCTACAAAGAAGCCCCGTCGTATCAAGTTGATGACCGGTAAATGCTACCGCAGAGCATCCAAAAGCCGGATCAGGGGTGGTTCGAGGTAAGGGGAGTGGTGTTGCCAATCTGGACTCATCGAATGGGGTAGGGACGGAATTGAAGCAGATCCGCTTCATCGAAATAGCCAACCTCTTGTCGGGAGCGAGGGGATAATTTTCAATGCCCACTGATTTAAACCTGGGCCTCGTTACTCTTCCGAGGCCCACGAGACAGATCGCTCAGTTCTTGCAAAGAGGGGTCGTCTATCTCAGCAGAAGCACATGAGCGTGATATTATTTGGTGAGCTTGCTGCATCAATTCCTCTAGAGGATTCTCGCACTCGATGAAGATGTTTCGACTGTGCAGTGATTGTCGATATTACGGGTCATACGTACTGTTTGCAGCCATCTCGGAGCCTATCTCTTCGACAGGACGGTATAGAAGGGGGCGGGCGCAGGCAGTATTTGGGTTCAACATTCCAAGAACGGGCCCAAAGTGAAAGCTGGAATTCATGAGGCTCAATAAAACAATAAGACAATGCGCTGAAAACCTGGCAAGGCAACGGGTCAGCCAGCAACTATCCTATTCATGTAGTAGGTGAGATGATGGCGGTGATGTTCATAGCATTCTCTTGTTTTGCTCACCATGATCTTTTTCAACTTTTCGGTGAGAGTGGATCGGACACTGCCTAGTATGATAGATATCTCTGAATAGCAATGCTTGCAAAAGAGTTTGCCATCAAATCGTCCTGCAGAACCCCTAGGCGAGTGCTATGGTAGTATGAAGGAGACGCAAAGATTCCACAGCGAGAAGAGGCTTGAATGCTTATTTTCACATTGCGCAGGGTAGGCCGATACCTTTCGAGAAGGAAATACCGCTTCCTGGCGGCATAACAGTGGGCAATGGGCGGTGGGTCGGCTTGACCAAAGTCATCTGGATCACCAATCTGGTGGGCCGGAAAAAAAAAAAAAAATTTTGCATCATTGAGCCGATGTTCGGCAGAGGCTCCCCGCAAGGTCCTGCAGCTCCCCCTCCGCAGACCACAGGCGAATCGCCGTCTTTGAATTTTGACTCATTATTTTCTGCAAGTCCATATTTCTTTGACTCCAGTTTCACCGCTTGTGGCCCTTTTTTCGTTTCTTCCTCTTTCTTCTCGGTGGTGATTCTCTCAAGTAGACCCTGGCCTGTTCCTCACGCGCTCTCTTCCCACACATAACTACATCGCTTCACCGTTAATATGTCTGTCTCAGCCGACGAGGTCGAGACCAGCGGGGTCATCAATGGCGAAATCAATGGAGTCAATGGCCATTCTAACGGTATCAATGGAAACGCCAGTGTGTGATACTGCTCCTTATTCCTCGATAACCTTCTAAGCGTACTCTAGGCCACCCAGGTTACACTGGTATCGACACCAGACCTACCCCCGCTCCTCAAGCCAGAAACCCTTACATGCCTGTGGGAGACTTCCTAAGCAACATCGGTCGATTTAAGATCATTGAAAGCACGTTACGAGAAGGCGAACAGTATGACACCAGCATGTGTCCCGGAACGAAAACCGGACTCACTGACTTGTGTTCGTAGATTTGCAAACGCCTACTTTGACACCGCAAAGAAGATTGAAATCGCCAAGGCTCTTGATGAGTTCGGCGCGGACTATATTGAACTCACCAGTCCCGCCGCCTCTGAACAATCTCGCAAGGATTGTGAAGCTATTTGCAAGCTAGGCTTGAAGTCCAAGATCCTCACCCACATCAGATGTCACATGGAGGATGCGAGAATAGCCATTGAAACCGGTGTCGACGGGGTGGATGTTGTGATTGGTACATCTTCTTTCCTAAGGGAACATTCCCACGGAAAGGACATGACCTATATCAAGAACACCGCCATCGAGGTTATCCAATATGTCAAATCCAAGGGGATCGAGATCCGATTCTCCAGCGAAGACTCCTTCCGATCAGATTTGGTCGACCTTCTGTCCCTCTACCAAGCCGTTGATAAAGTTGGTGTGAACCGAGTCGGTATTGCCGATACCGTTGGGTGTGCTTCTCCCAGACAAGTCTATGACCTGGTCCGAACTCTCCGTGGTGTGGTTAGCTGCGATATTGAAATTCATCTCCACAACGATACTGGATGTGCGATTGCAAATGCCTACTGCGCTCTCGAGGCCGGTGCTACCCATGTCGACACCTCCGTTCTCGGAATTGGCGAGCGAAATGGGATTACAACCCTGGGGGGCCTTATGGCTCGAATGATCACTGCCGACCGAGATTATGTGAAGAGCAAGTATAAGCTTGAAAAGATCAAGGACATTGAAGAATTGGTTGCTGAAGCCGTTGCCGTCAACATCCCCTTCAACAACCCCATCACCGGTTTCTGCGCTTTTACCCACAAAGCCGGGATCCATGCCAAGGCAATTCTGGCAAACCCAAGCACATACGAAATCATCGACCCTGCAGATTTCGGTATGGGCAGGTATATTCATTTTGCTTCTCGGTTGACTGGCTGGAATGCCATCAAGTCACGAGCACAGCAACTCAAGATTCAAATGACCGATGCGCAATACAAAGAAGTCACGGCAGCTATCAAGAGACTGGCCGATATCCGACCCATTGCCATTGATGATGCTGATTCCATCATTCATGCTTATCATCGTAACGTTATGCTCGGAAAGACGAACCCCGGGAATGAGGTTGAATTGCCCAATATGACCGAGAAGGAGAAAAAGCTGCTTGCTGAAAGGCAACAAGAAGAAAGCTCCGTCCCCGAAAAGAGACGACTTGGAGAGACCGTTGATGAGAAAATCTCGACAGAGCAAGTCGTCAAGAAGCTTAGAACAAACGGTATCGCAGCATGAATAGCCGGTCATACGGGGACATAACGCATGTGACGGTGTTTTTAATGATACCAAGGCCTTTGGATTTCCAAAATGAAAGCAGCTTTGGCGTCAGGAAGGCATGAACTTTATCCCAGCTGTTCTGTACATAGTAACAAGAGATCTCGAGCTGGGGTTGACCGGGAAGAAAAGAAGAAAAAAGTGAATATATTTTCCGATTGGGAATGATATATAATATCTCTCGCGAAATGAGTCAGTCTTCGCCCATACTTTAAGCAAGGGCTGCGAGGGACACGGCGAAGGTACAGAGCAGGGCTGTCGAAACGAAATACGAGGCGAAGCGGATCTTCCTTTTTAACCCCTGCCACGCGCACTGGCGAATGGTCCACGTCAATTGTCATTCGCGCCGTGGCTGCGGAGAAAGCCACATGAAATCGACCTGAATTCCCATCATAAATTTCATCACCATCCCTCCACATTCCTTGACCCCGTTCTATGTCTTTTCGATAGCACTGACCTTAGGCCCCATCATGGGCTCTTCTCCTCTTCCTGTTAGCTTGCAGAGCAAGTTCCAGAGACCTCAGTCATGGTCCCGATTGAGAGACTACCGAGGCAATTTTGAGATGTATGTCCGCCCTATTTCTTCCTGCTACCTGTTTTCTGCGCCTCTTATGTATAAAATCTAAGAATGCAACAGACTTCGGAACATGGTCTTCATCCTATTTGCCCTCCGTATCCTGCGCCGGTCATTCTACTTCCTACGAGGCCATGGCGTGGTCGGCTCCCTTGTCCTCTTCTACCACCAAGCCAGCAAAACGGCATACAAAATCTTCCTCAACCTTCCTGGTGTGAAATCAAAAGTAGCGAAGCAGCTAGCAAGTGCTAGGAAGGACATGGAGGATAAGCTGGCACCCACAGGACTCGAGATAAACCGATTTCTTCATCTCCCCAAAGAGCCGTGGACCAGCGAACAATTACGAACTGAGCTCGAGACTCTTTCGGCCATGAAACGAACACGTTGGGAAGAAGGAAAGGTCTCGGGTGCTGTCTACCACGGCGAACAGTCCCTGCTAGACGTTCAAAGTGAAGCAATGAAATTATTTAGTGTGGCCAACCCCATTCACGCGGACGTGTTCCCTGCGGTACGGAAGATGGAAGCCGAAATTGTCGCGATGGTCCTGGCCATGTTCAATGCACCTGAGTCTGGGGCTGGAGCTACAACGTCAGGAGGGACGGAGTCGATTTTGATGGCATGTCTCTCAGCCCGACAAAAGGGATATGCTGAAAGAAGAATTACCGAGCCCGAAATGATCATTCCAAGTACTGCTCATGCTGCATTCCACAAAGCAGCCAGCTACTTCAAGATCAAACTGCATACCGTCGCCTGCCCCGATCCAGACTACATGGTCGATATCAACCGGGTAAGGAGGCTGATCAACCCCAACACTGTTCTACTGGTTGGCTCGGCCCCCAACTACCCTCACGGCATTGTCGACAACATTCCAGCATTATCCAAACTGGCAGTCTCCTACAAGATCCCTTTACATGTGGACTGCTGTCTGGGCTCTTTCATTATGCCCTGCCTCTCGAAAGCCGGATTTCCCTCTCCATGGGCTGATGAAGGTGGTTTCGATTTCCGCCTGCCCGGCGTCACCTCAATCAGCGTGGACACGCACAAATACGGCTTCGCTCCCAAAGGCAACAGTTGCATTCTCTACCGCAACCACCAACTCAGAGAGTACCAATACTTTATTTGCCCAGAATGGCCTGGCGGCGTGTACGGATCGCCGAGTATAGCAGGATCACGGCCGGGTGCACTCATCGCAGGATGCTGGGCAAGCATGATGGCCCTAGGTGAGAAAGGCTATGTGGACGCCACACACAAGATCGTCAGCACAAAATTAACGATCGAGAACGCGATCAAAGAGCACCCCATCCTCAGAGAAACACTGGGCATCCTCGGCCGTCCGCCCGTCAGCGTCGTGGCATTCAAGTCTATTGATCCGGCCATCTCGGTCTACGACGTCGCCGATGCAATGTCCAAGCGGCAATGGCACTTGAATTCTCTGCAGGATCCGCCTGGCGTGCACGTCGCGGTCACTTTGCCCATGACTCGCCCCGGGGTTGTGGACGGATTGATCGACGATCTCGTCGCGGTGGTCAAGGAGGAAAAAGAGAGAGTCGTCGAACGGGTCAAGGCTGGGGGACCGGCCGTCGAGAGAGGAAAAGGATCGAGCGCACAGTTGTACGGCGTTGCGGGCAGTTTGCCGGATAAGAGCATCGTTGAGAAGATGGTAGTTGCGTATTTGGATACCCTTTATAAGGCGTAATTTGGGACTGGATGAGTTATGGTGGTGGCTATGAGTATATTGCCGAAATCCATTCAGCGGCAGCAGGAGATGGGAGATGCATTGTCGCGGAAGGACTCTCCTTTCATTGTCTTTGCCGCTTCAACCGGTTTGTTGCAGTCGTTGCAAGCATACAATCATACGAGCAAGCAAGAAATCAGCCGTGGTGGTTATCGGTATCGGCACCCAGCCCCTGACTTTCTCTGAATACTTACCTACCTAGGTACAGAAATATATATTACTCTGCCTCGTTCGTGATGTCTACAAGAACTTGGATCTTCACCAACCGAACTTCGAATAGATTGACGATTCATTCTCTGAATAAATATTACCATAACAATAAACTAATAACGTTTGTCAATAAGTCGCAAAGTACATCGTGGTCACCATTCAGCCTTAGCCCATGCCCGTCAGCAGCAATACCTGAACCTTACTAGTAGCGCCATATTTTCCTGTCAGGAGAATAGAATAAATAATAGCAGTCGAGACAAGGCAAATAAAACGATCGTCCATCCCGTAGGTAGTTGACAATACTAGTAATATGATGTTCTGTGCACGGTGCTATGAGCGCGAAGATCGAACCGGTGCATCACTTCATTATCATCACTGTTGTGGTTTCCACATGTCTACGGGCGAGGTGGCCGTGGCGGCCATGCCTTTACCGTTCTGTACAAGTCTTTATTAGAAAGGTTGCGTCACAGTATAGGAGAACAGAGGAAGAACAAATCAAAACGAAAACTTGATAAAAAACGAACCTCCCTCCCTTACGTAGCACGGACCGGGCGGTGGCAATGAGGGTAGCTTCGTGGAAGAGGGGAGAACGGAAAGGCAGGACTTACACTCGAATCCATCTCATTACTACTAACCTGCGACCCTCTCCATTCCCCAGCATTGTTGTTTGGGGAGGGCAGTTCCTGCACCGCTGTTGTCGTGGTCGCTGCGTCGGAGTACGCGGTGGAAGATGCGACTTCTGCACGCGGCAGGGCGGGGGAAGAGTAGACTTGATAGCCTCCCTGCTGTGGAGGAGGAGCAGCACCGTAGTCGACTTGGGACATGACTGGATAAGGCCCTGGGTGGTAGCCTGCTATCGGGCCTGGGGCCGGGTAGGTTCCTCCATGTGCTGGGCTTGGGTACATTGCTGCACTGCCTCCTGGGGCTGGGTACATTACAGGTGCACTAGGAGGAGCGGGTTGATGATAGTTTTGCGGTGGTGGAAGAGCAGCTGTTTGAGGAGCGGACTGTCCTCGACGTTTCCTTCGGCGGAAGAAGAGGAACATGCCCAACGCGATGAGAAGGAGGCCGCCAACGCCACCGACAACGCCGCCGACAATTGCACCGATGGGGGTGCCGTCTCCGTCATCTGGTGGTGGCGTTGGAGAGTCTACAGGAGGACCGCCGGTGCACAGCGAGGTAGGGAAGGCGCCTCCCTGATTGGCGAAGTCTTGTCGCACAGCTTCGGCCAGACGGAATTCTTTCGCCTCGACGTCCATGACGAGATAGTTCATGGTCAGGAATGGCATGCCCCAGGTAGCGAGGTAATTGTATTCGGTGTCGAGATTCGTGTAGTTGACGATCAAGGCCCGCTTGTATGTTTCGTTGTAGGTCGTGTAGTTGCCCATGCTATCGTAGTATCGTGGAAAAGTAAAGAGTTCTGACGCAGGTATTGAGGACTTATAGCCGTCTTTGACAGAGACGGTGAGGTTTCCATTGGGGGTACTGGAGGCAAGATACGTAAGTCTGTCAAAGGTAGGATCATACACGCCGTCGGTGACTTGGGCAAAGGATTCCCAGAGCTCCTGCGGCATCTGGAGTGTTTCGGACCATGGGTTTAGTGATACTTGCAGTGCCGATACGGAGCCGTTGAATAAAGAAATGGATCCGGAGTCTGTCTCCCAGCTCAAATCCTCGATTTGAAGGCAAGTGTAGCATCCGTCCAGACTGGGAAAAGATGTGAATTCACCGGTCACTCGGGCCGTGTCGTAGCCACCAACGACGAGGAGACCGTCGATAGGTTGGTCATAGGCGCGACTACCGGGCCATAGTCCCCAGGACCTGATCGGTGCTGCATTGCTGTCGATGACGGCCTGTAGAAATGGGGATTCGCGACCTATGCCGAGGGAGTTTCCGACCACTATACCATCAATGGTTCAGTATTCCGTACACGCATGGGTGAAGAATGGGTAGAAGTGCTTACTGTCGCCTGCAACAGCATAGGTGGCGAAGGGCAATCCCCACGCCATGGTGTCGTTCGAGCCGAATGTGAAGACGTCATTCCAAAGGTTGTAGGTTGAGTAGCTGGAGTCTTCAGCCAGGGTGCCATTCCAGGTTGACTGATCCGACTCGACTGAAGTGGTCGACCGAGACGGATCGTAAGTTCCTCCCAACTGGGCGAGACAGTCATAGTCCACAGAAGAGGTACATTCGTCCTCACTAGCAACCACGGTGAGGTCTGAAATTGATGGCCAGATGGAGAACCTCTGGAGGGGTAGTCCTATGCCCATTTCTACGCCCCATGCTGGAGCAGCCTGGCCATCAGAGCTGACGTTGTTATTGCTGATGGCCAGGAGGAGAGGTTCTGCGGAGTTTTGACATGTGGGAAGGGACATCTTCTATGGTTGACGAAGGCGTTCAGAGAACGATGATGATGATGGTACACCAACCCTGGGTTTGTAAACACGAGAGCGACTCATACAGCGCCTTTATCCTTTGGCGTCATACGAACAAAGTAGATCACTTCGTTTCCAAAGCAATAGAAAAATAAAAAAGGGCAGGCTGAAACGGTGAGGGCCCAGCAAACTCTGCTCGCTATAAGAGAGAACGAACTGCGGCTGATCGGGAAATACTTTCCCTCCTTCTGGGCTGAACTCGGATTCTGCTCTGGAACCAAGGGAGAGAGAAACGATAGTATGGTGGGGTCCTGAATAAAGATAGACTTGTACCAGGGGAGAATCTCAGCGACGCCACGATTGAAAGTTCCGCGGACCACAGGCGGCGAAGCCTGCACTGGTCCCATGGATTTAGCCCCCAGACAAGACCACTAGAAGTCCAAACAACACGAGGTTGAACGGAGAGGGTGAAGGAGGACGAGATGGGAATGAACCCGCTTTGAGTCAATAGAGAGTTGTCAGAAACATCCCAGCTTACCCAGATCGGTTTTTGTGTAGCAGCGCAGCCTCAAAGTCACCGGGACTTCTTTCTGAGGAAGTGGGAACATTTGTGGCATCAGGCTGAGGAGAAAGCTCACAGGGTAAGAAGCCAAACAAGGCAGACAAGGAGGAGCGGTAACTCGTGATCGAGGGTCTTGTCGGGAAAAAATGGCGCCATTAGCGTGCAAAAAAGAAAATAGGTGGTCCAGACAAGAGTGAAGGAGAGGTCTAGACTCCAAGAGCGCGCCAGCGGTGAGTTCGTATGGCAGATAGCTAGGCCCAATATCCCCGTTTTCAAATTTCGAAAGACCCTCTTGGAGGATCTTGGAAGTGTGTCTTGGAATCGCTTGGCTACAGAGGCTAAATTCCAATCGAGTCTGTCCCCTTTCGCTTCTGTTACGTTTGTGTATTTCGTCGTCGGAAGCCACAATTTTCGGGTCGCCAATCACATATTGTGCGAGAGCTGGAGAGTTCCAGATTCGGTTGAGAGAAACTCCACTCATATGGAGCAGACGTCACGACGTTTCCGTCACAGACTTGGGAGAGAAAGACGGACAAATAATTCCAGGAGTGAGGCTGAAATTTGAGATGAAGTGCCTTTACGGTGGAGTTTTGACGCTAAGCCGTATGCTGAATGATCCGCCGCATCAACTGTTTCCCACGCTCCCCCTTATTATTCATCCTTCTATTTCTTTTCATCACTTTCGGAAACCGAGATCAAAGTATTCTCCAACTCTGCGACGAGTAAGTCCATCATGTATCAGCTATATATACATCGCCGTGGTACGAGACAAACTCCGCAACTTTTGGAATGGGATCAACTCTTGTATATGCAGCTCTCCCTGTTCTATGGCGAGAACAACTTGTGCAAGGTATCGAGCGGGAAAGTCGACGCCAGTTTCTCTTTGTGTTGCTTGTGACATCTTCATTTCCATTTGTGGGGGTCATAAGCGTATTAAACACTGCAGACTGTGATGTGGGAAGTCGAGGCAGCAGCAATGTCCCCCGTCCATTCCATATATTCACCAGCTCCGACCAAGTTGGATTCCAGGATCAGTATCTTGAATAATGAGGGATTTTTGAGATGAATGTCGCAAAGCAAAGCAAATGACAATGGCTTCTTTCCTTGGTAAGGTGAAAATCCCCCCGAGCAATTAGCTCGACTCCCGCAACAAGAAGACCTCGATCAATCACAGCCATTGGAGTTTGCCCTATGAGGTACTGTAACGGATCCACGGTTTAACAAAATGCTGGGTGCCCATCGAAATCCATCCGCCCTCAAACGAGGGACATTCTGCCCAAAAGTACGCCAGCATGAATCTCTCCGAGACAAGATCAGACAGTCTGTATCTCCTGATCGTCTGGTACTGATAGAACTTGACCCAGGTCAGACCCCCAAAAGAATCGAGCCACATACTGCAGCGTCCAACAATCTTGATGTGGACCGACATTGAAGTTGTTCCCCCCCCCTCAAAGTCCATCGAACTATATTCCTCACGACATGTGATCATATTTCGTATGTTAATCACCGAGCTCACCATATTCTCAGCACGCCTCCCCCCCCCCCCCCCCCCCCCCCCCCCCAAATTAATCGAGACCGGTCACAGATGTTGAGATCTGCATTACACATGGAATCGTCCGGTGCAGCGTACCTTACCGGTTTGTCAGCGAATTGGAAGATAATATTTCCTCTCAACGCGGCCTCTTACATGTCCAAAGTCGTGTCATCCACTTACTATAGGAGATCTGAAGCAACACTTCATCTGGGGGTGCATGGTAGGTTTGTTTGACAAGGGCTCTTTTGACAGAGCAAGACCGTGAATTGCAGATGAATATACGGGTGCATGCACATAACCGCTATGTTAAGGGTTCCTTGATGGGAACACACAGCGTATCGATCCAAAACAGTGTATGTTGGTCGACCTCTTGTGGCTGAAGCATATCGACAAATCGACTTCAATTGACCGATTCGCAGAGCATTACTGGTTTCGTTACCACAGCCATCACCCCAAACATGAGAAATAGCCACATACTTTATTTCAGGCTCATACCGCAGGATTTGTATTCTGTCTGCTTGGAATTTCACCAAAGGGTATCCATCATCCACAAATGGTCGCGCCATCCTGCTCCCGAAAATGAAAATGCGCTCGCAGCGACATTTTGGTCGCTTGTGGTCGCAGTTCTACCCTGACACACATACAATGCATGGTAATGAGCAGAACCTAGTATATTCCCTTTGTAGTGTTCGAAGCGAGACGAACACTTGCGTGGCATTGTGTCATGTGCTGGACCCGTCCCGATGTTAAGGAAGGGACCGGCATAAATCATGCCCTCGACAGCTATGTCGCCCACACAGCGGATCAAGTGGGACACCAACCAAAATCGTCGATCAACTTTCCTCTCCTCTCCAATGCTGCCGCCGTAAATCAGGCTTCGAACTAGCATCGAAAGAGCGAGATGAGCCGATACAGGCACTAAATAGCCACGGCGCGCCTCCCGTGTGCGGTCATTACCATCAAGAGTCCACGCCGCTTCACGCAGGCATTCAGAGAGATGAGTGGCCCAGGTTCTATCCGCTTGTATGCCAACCAACTTGTTGATAAATTCTTCGAAGAGATTGCGGACTATGAGAACCTTCGTTGTGACTACACTGCCGTTCGGACTGGACTGACAGCCGTCGCCGTTCCAGAGACCTCCTGTCTCGATGCAGGCCTCCTCAAGATCTTCTGCAAACCCCCAAAGAGAATCCAAGTCTGGATAAAAGGACCAAAGATAGATTTGGTGAGCCACCCTCTTGTATTCAAGCTGGACCCAGGGAGCTATCTTGGAGATCGATCTGAGAATACTTATTCCAATCCTCGCATACCCATAAGAGGCCCCCTTTTCGAAGGAGCTGGTATATTCCAGCCTTGTCGTCCATCATAACCTTGAAACTTTGTCGAAGTCAGGGTCGCTCAGGTCAGGAACGAGTTCATGAGATATGGCATTGCCTGGCAAAATTCATGATATCCCCATCTTTCACTTGACGCCTTCCACATGATGACGAATTTGCAACAGCCGAGGAAATACAGGGCAATAGCAGTAAGTGGGCTGATGTCAAGCCTAATCCGATCCGAAAGGAATGGCCGGCTGACGCTTAGGCACGTTGAACAAAACTACCATTGCTGCATGATGAAGTGGTCGAATGAAACAATTGCGGCTGAGCGCTGCGCCCTGCTCCAGTGCGATTCCAGACTTTTACCCCAAAATCACATTGATCTGTTCCATAGCAAGGCTACTACTCGACTTCAACCCTTCTGCGGTACTTACTCTCATATCCTTTTGCCTTCTTCAACCGGCCACTTTGCACTACCAGATTCCAGTCCCACAAGGACAGTTGTAAATTCTGCCCAATCAGCAAGCGAAAAGGCAGCATCTCGTTTCGTTAGCCCGCTCGTTTAATTTCAGCTCGCGATCCGTCTCCATCTTCTTCCTTGGTTCCTATCTCTCTTGAACATATTCTAAGCTCACTATTCTTCCGGTCAAACGGAAAAGGGAAGAATACCCCCAGATTTTTTTTCGTTTTTCGCTCGGCGGACTCGCAAAACACCCCATTAGCGACCTTCCTATCGAAGGTAGCGGGCCGAGTAGCTGCTTCACATGGCCTCTGCCACTACCACCACCACCACCATCGCCTCTATGCCATCCCATCATCACCAGCAGCAGCAATGTCAGCAGCAAAGCTTATACTTGTCCACCGGACATTCTTCCTCGAGGCGCAGCAGAGCCTCAAAGAGACTAAAGTCCACTGGGAAAAAATCCAGCGTGAGGTCATACAGTAACACGGAATGGGAAGCGAATCGCGCGATCATTAATCAGTGGTATGCGGTGGATCGGCTGCCCATGGCCGACATGTTGCAGCGTCTACGTGGGATAGGCTTTGAGGTCAAGTAAGTACATTTGCCGTTTTTATATTCCCCGTTTGGGCCTTTCTTTCTTGCCACATAGAAAGGCAAAGGACAAAGTTATCATGACTCGCGTTGATCTAAATTCAGCCTCAACAATCTCCAGTCACATTTTGGCAGATTTTGGTCAAGCAGAGGCGAATTCTATAAAATTGCTCATCCGTCCTCTGCACTTCCGTATCATTTGCCGTCACTTTATCAAAAGTGCCACACCTGACTTCTGCACATACACAACCTCCTCCTACATAGCGGGCTCTAACAGTCCCTCTTTCATAGTGCGCGTATGCTTCACACTCGCATCCGACGCTGGAAACTAGGCCGCAACCACAAATTCCCTGAAATGCGAACGGCAGCACTGCTTCTGGCCGCACATCAAGAGGAACAGCGTCAACGCAACGAAGATCGTACGTCCTTTCTCTCCAGCCCCACGTCCACTGGCAACACGCGATCAAGAAATATGAGGAGGCCGACACCGCCAAGTTTCATTATCCGTGGCGAAATTGTCCGGTACGCGGAGTTCATGCGGTATTTCAAGCGTAAGAAGATCAACGATCCTCTTAGTTGGGCCAAAGAAGAGCAACAGAAGCAAGAGGACAATGAATTCGTCATGAGCGAAGATGTTGAGATCCTTACTAGCACTGACACTGGCACTCCAGAGTCGGATTCAGGAGAAAACGATGAGAGTCGAGATACTCTGGACGGAGGACGTGAGGCTGAGGGTTTGATCCAAGTTGAACAACCAATACCACAGGCCCAAGATTTGGATATTGACCATAATCACTCTGTGACCCAAGTCGATTTATCTCAAGTACCCTTGACGGCAGAAACACAAGACCTCCACCAGCCCGAAAGCTACAGTACTAGCAACCAAGATTGTTGGTCGTCGTCATTTATCTTGCCGGCCTCAGAGCAATATCAGGACACGGTCAGACAACGCACCGCGCATCAGATGTCAATGCCAGCATTCTTCCGACCTCAGACCTATCGCGCCCTCGAGCATCTCACCCATAGCATGACCGTATACATAACTTCATACATGACCTCAGAGCGGGCGAGGACACAATGTGAGCCAGCGGTACATGCGCTGACAGTACACGCGATATTCGCATCCAGAATGCAAGACGGCGTCGCATTGCTGGCCAATGTGTCGACGCGACCAAAAGCAATACCACATCCAAGGCGTCACGAACAGGGCAAGTCACCCGTGCCAAAGCCCGATCCGAATGCCAAAAAGGCATTCGATAGTTTCCGAAACGGCTTCGAATTAATTCGTTCGATACTGGAGAATGATCACCCAATGAGTCTGGCGCTAATCCTGAGCATCGCGTGTGAATTGGCAGGTCATGCCTCAAAACAATCTTCTTATGTCGTCAGCCAAAATCAGGACCGTGAACATGAGCAAGGACAGGGCCAGGGCATTTACACAGCAGTTCTTGTCCAACTCCTCCAATACATACGAGATATGGCCTCACTACTCACGGTCCTAGGCCCATCCCACGCGCTGACGAGCATATTTACCGTTCTCGCCCAGGTATGCCAAAAGCAGATGATCATAGAGGACCCTGGCACTTTCCAACTTGCGAACCTGATCCACACCATCCTCTACATTGCCATCGCTCGTCTCTCCGCTGGCCCCGAGGGCTTCTTTGACTGGAAACTCTTATACCTCCGCGAAAGGCTCTGCGACAGCCTCTACCACAGCGGAGCTGCCTTCATCCACGAACGCATGGCGCAACGCGCATCTTTACTCCGTGACCAAGAACACAAGTACGGTCTGACGGCGCGGAATGTCCTTTGGACGCTCACGAATGTCGCGGACGATGCGTTGGGTGCTGGTGACGTGGATGTCGCGGTACATCGGTTCCACATCACGCTGCAGAGGGCTGAGAGGCTGAGTGATTATGGAAGGGCGAAGACGAGGTTCGCGGCACTCGAAGGATTGGGGAGGTGCTTTCTTCTCAAGGCTGAGCAACAAATGCAAATCGAAGCAGAGGTGGAAGCCGAGTCAGAGGAGAATACAAGGCTGCGAGCGCTCGGGGATGCTAGTGCAGAAGAGAATACGCTTTCAGAAAAGCTGCACGATGTTTCGAGTCGGGTCGTCAATCCGTCTTCTTCCTCTGCTTTTGCGTCAAGAGGTGCCTGCTGCTTATGTTCATGCCACCATTCCTCGACCTCGACCACGACCCCGCAAACCCACCATCTATCAGCCAGAAACAATATCGACACCGGTACCGGCTCCGAGACAAACAGCACATCCGACACAGGAACGTCCACGCCCTCCACGTCCACGTCATCCTCGAGACCCCAATCACATAATCCGAATCAACAGCAACGACAAAGCGAATATTACCTCCGTGAAGCACTGAGATACTTCTCTGCCGCGGAACACGAGGCGCGCGTATGGTTTGATAGCACAAGTCGAAGGATAGCGAGGGTGAGAAGGCATATCGCCGAGGTACGCGAGATGCTTGGGTATGTTGATCAAGACCGCGAGGACGACGATGAAGCTGGCAAGGGGGATGACATCGTTGCTGCTGAGACTGCAGTGACTGAGACTGGGGCCGGGACTGGAGAGTACTTGGGCCCAGATCTCTCCTTCCATCCGCTGGGTCAGATCTCCACGACGATGACGATCAGGACGGGACTCTAATTGACAATCCAGTCTGACCTTGTCTGATAATTGTCAATTAAACAGTCGAAGCAAGCACGCAAGCGTGCAATGCAGAAATTCACGGCCGGAATGAAATACCTTTTACCTGAGGGGCGGAGATGGAAGATACCCCGATGAAGATCAATCCTTCGTCCTGGAGGCTTTCTTTTCATTGCCTGTGCCGAGCACCATCGTCCTTAGATCCAGAATACCCGGTAGCAACATAGATATGAAATGTCATCCTTCATGTATGAGACGAAATCAGTTGTGTGATTCTCGAGTCCGAAGATGAGTTCTGATCGTGATCCGATTTGATGTCTGCCTGCGTAGTGTCACAATCGATACTTTCTTGGGAGTATGTCAAGCCGTATGAGTGTCTCTTTTCCTCTGCGTCATGTTCAACTCCACTCCAGCTCTGAAAATACACGCTGCATGCATATTTCCACGTCCTTGCTTCATACCCCTGGGTCCCCTGTCTGTCTTGCACCATCATCTCCATGACATAAAAATCAAGATCCTAAAAAAAGACTTATTTCCCATTTTCCCTTCCAGAACTCTAAGCTTGTTGATTGGTCAGGTCATCCCATTTAAAATAGAACAAGTCGCACAGTCAAGGTCTGTTCGCTCCGTAAAACGCCCGGGGCTCTTCGGTTTCGCCATTGCCATGCCACGCATTGAATACTGGATAAAGCATAATATTGACATCGGTCAGAGAAGGACAAAACAACAAAAGAGTGAAGAGTCAGGACAAAGAAGCATGTATCAGCCGAAAGTCATGGCGTTTTACATGATAATGGAAGGCACTTGAGATCGAAGTTAGTATGCCGTGTTGGAATTGGGCGGAACCAACTCACCCTCCACATTGGCTTTGATGCTCTTGTGAGGCAAAACACTTCCACCATTGACATAGATCTCGTCACCAATCGAGACATCATCACCGAGAACGGTGACGTTTTCGAGACGGGCCCATCGGCCGACTGTTGATCTCCAGCCTGAAGATGAATCAGCATGAGGAATCCTCTTGCGACCCCAGAATTTCAACTCACCGACAATGGTCGACTTGACCCAAGCATGGTCCTTGACCTTGCTATCCTCCAACAACACACATCTTTGCAGTCTGACACCGTCACCAACAACGCAACCGGGTCCAATAGTGACATTCGGTCCAATACGGCAGTTCTGGCCAATCTTGGCTGTCGGGTCGACCATGACGTTTCCGCCGTAGACGTACGGTTCGGAAGGAGACACGAGAGCCTTGGGATTGTGTTTGGCCAGGGATGAAAGATACAAGCAGGTTCCACTCAAGAAATCCTTGGGCTGTCCCACATCCATCCAGAAACCCTCGAGGTCGAAGGAGTGAAGTTGGCCGTCTCTGCAAATGGCCGGGAAAGTCTCTTGTTCGATAGAAGTTGGACGGAGTTCAATTCGGTCGAGAATGGAAGGGTTGAAAATGTAGATACCGGCGTTGATGCGGTTGCCGACGAATTCGACGGGTTTCTCGACGAAACGATCAATTCGGGATGGATGATTGGGCTTGTGTACGATGACACCGTATTTGCTCGGTTCTTCGACTTTGGTGACCACAATCGTACCCTCATCGCCGTGAGAGGCGTGAAAGTCAGCCAATTGCTTAAAGGGGTATTCGCAGATGACATCCGAGTTGAGGACAAAGAAAGGCTTGTCGTCCTTGCCGAGGATCTTTTCTGCAAGTTTCAGGGGACCTGCGGTTCCCAGGGGCTCAGACTCGACGGAGAACGTGATGTTGACATTGTACATTTCCTCATACTTCTTCAATGCCCCGGTCATGACATCGGGTCGATAGTTGACGGCAAGGACGATATCTGTGACACCGGCTGCGGCAAGAGCTTCGACCTGGTGGAGGATCATGGGTCGATTGGCAAACTCGACAAGGGGTTTAGGGAGAGTGAGAGTGAGAGGTCGAAGTCTGGTGCCGAAGCCGCCAACGCTGAGGGGTGATTAGTCGAGGAGAGAAAGGAGAGGGCGTTGGGACATACAGAATGAGTGCTATCAAGGATACGTTAGCATGGTTGAATGGAGAATCGGGGTCTGCATGGACCTACCCTTCATCTTGTGCTGAAAAGGGCGGACAAGGAGTGTACGACAGGGTCAATGGGTAGTTCAGCAGCTGTTAATCCGGGCAGATCAAGAACGAACGTAATGTAGTTCAAGGACTACGACTAGTCAGCTATTGGAAGCTAAGTGGTTCAGAGAAAGAGAAGGCGGAGAGGGCAGGGAGATGAGTGTGATATATTTTCAGGTGAGCTCTATCCAGTACGGAAGGAAAAATATCGTGACAGTAAAGAACAGAGTGTCATGCGGCGTGCCCAGTGACATGAACCAGTTTTTGGTCGGGCACCGTTAAATTACTACAGAATTATCCTCAACTAGCTATCGATAACGTGGCGGGTGCTAGATGTTCATGCCACTTTGGGCGCATTCAAAGGGATGTGTGAATCGGTGAAATAAAATTCTCCCCTTTTTTTGGGCCACCAATCCACAACAAACAGCAAACGGTAAACGGCACACGCAGATACCCACCCTCCCGCCATTGGTGCGCATTTGCTGGAATTGTGATTGTGAGGTGCTTCGTTTCTAGGAGATTGAGATCTTGTCTTCCCCCCAATTTCGGCGCCCTGAGTTGCGTCGCTTTGAGTACGCCATCGACGAGGCTATACCGAATCCTACGATACCCATCCTCTGCCAGCATCCAGAACCCAGAGTGCCATCCATTCAATGACAAGTCATGTTTCAGGAGTTGAGAGTCTGCTTTGTGGGTTCCAGGTCACGAGGCCTACACAGCCACACTCACCTCCCCTTTCTCACTCTCCCCATTTTTATTATTAGGGACAGGACTCGTCATAAGATGTCATCATTGTCTCTGATAATGTTCCAGGGAAGAAAAAGCCTCGTTGTAGCAGAACAGTTGGATTGACTATCAAAACAAAACCTGCCAGCGCTGTCATGTCTCGTGTCGTGACCATCTCGGTAATAGAGGTGACTACAATACAAGGGGGTGCTGAGGTGTTTGGGGGGCCGCATGTGTGGGTGTCTTTCTCTCTTTCTTCATTCTTCCCTCCATCCCGGGTATTATTACATCCTCCACTTCAGCTCTTCCGTCCTTTTTCTTTTCTTCTCCCATCACGGTCACAAATTCAAATCCAAGCACTTCAAATCATTGGGTATCGTCGGGTAGAAATCCGTGGTCGCGTCTTCCGCCTCCACCTCTCCGCCGCCCCTTTCCTCCGGCTCCCGGACCATCTCGATCCCCCACAAATTCCATCAGCCAGTCCCGGACCTTTTTGACCTTCAATATCTGGGGGTCTTTGCCCGTTGCCGTTCTGAGATTCGACACTGAATAAATTCCCCCCAGGTCGTCGTCATCCACTTTCTTGCGGAATAAAAGATCAATCTTGGTCACATCGCCCTTCAGACTTTGGCCGTGAACTTTGCCCCGGAAGGAACTCAATGCCACATTTTGCAGCAACACCACATCTCGCGGTCGCATGTGTCGTAGGTTTCTCCTCAAAACACTTCGCGATCCTTCCGGGTTGGCGTTGGCACCGTCCTTCCAATTCACTCGCATCTCTCGGGGAAGCCACATACTAAGGCCGAATCCAGTTTTGGTGTCGTCACCGACCACCATTTCCACCAGCTCCGTTTCTCGCGGCTTTCCGTACTTGATCCCTGTCATTACCGTCCGCGGCGGCGCGATTGACAGAATGCCCACAATTAGATTCACCGTCATGGTTTGCGGCTCGATGGAAGATAGGTAACGCGCATTGGGAATGTCTTCGAGATCGCTCAGATGTTTCGGTCGCGGGGCTTGGCTCAGTCGTCTTTGTGAGGGCGTCCGAATGATGCCTCCGCCCGTGCTGGGAGTCTGGGGCAACATTTCCTCGGTACTTTCGTAGGTCGGGGTGCCGGGTGTGTAGTCTGAAAATGCGGACAACTGCGATGACGGAATAGCCTCATGAATGGCGAATGAGTGATCGTAATACTCCGAAAGAGTCTCTGAAATGGTCTCGGCCGAACCGCCGGAGCGCTGGGATTCGTCGCCGCTGGCATCGCTGCCTGGAGTGTGAGGCCCGACAAATTCATCGGCAGAGAAAAACTCGGCGCCACTACGATCAACGTCTTCCGTAGGCGGGCGTGCATCGATATTGAGCTTGGGGAGTACGGGACGCATTTGAAGTTTCTGCGTCGTGATTTGTCTCCATGGAGGACCGAGAACTTTGGATGAAGGAGATGTCGGGGAAGTGAGAGGCTCGACGTGGGTGGAATCTGGTAAAAGAGATTTTTCGCTCCAGTCGAGCTTTGTCGGCTCTGGGGCACCTGTCAAAATGATCATCCGGGTCATGAACGTGACTAGTCACTCGTGGTGGTGATTAAGACTTGTAGCCGCAACGCCGAGCCAGCTCTTGGAGGGGAAAAAAGGGTTCTACTGATTTGCCCTCTATGTTTAATCAAACCCCAGGCATCGGACCCAGCCTTGAGGTTTGAATTCCAGTTCAGGCACCCTAGACAATCGCGGGTAAACGAAACCCAAAGAGTTTCACGAACTCCAAGAAACAGAGAAGAGGATCAATGTAGATGCGGGCGGATGTGGCGGGAATGATGGGTAGATATTTGGACGATTTCGTGAGTCGACAAGTTGCATTGCCCGGCTGGCCTGGCTGGCGCTAGGATGGTCAGAATCTCCCATCAAAGTAGGACTCTAGTTGACTAGAGGCCAGATGATGATGATGCTGAGGTCAAATGTGGAAAGAGGATGAAAGGGCGGCAGGGCCGATTGGTGTGAAAGTCGGTGACAAGAACAGAGAGAGAGCGCTCATCAGGGCTTGTCCTCCTGATCAAGTCATTTGCATTACGTGCATTGCATTGGTTCATAAACCAACTCTTGGGGAGAGTTGAGAAAGGCATCCATTGTCGGAGAAAAAACAGTTGGGGCAAGCCATGCCTGTACGGGCCTAGTCGAAGTAATTCCCCCACAAATTCAGGTACCCAGGTGCGTTTTGCGGCGCGGCTCTCCAGGCAACAAAGGAAAAATGGCAAAAATTCAAAAACACAGTCATCGCCTTGTGAACACAGTGTTCCTATCGCTTTGCCCCAGCTCTGCTTTACACAATCCACCTATCACTGCTCTCGTATATCTCAATCCCGGCACCAAAGGCCCCTCCCAGTGCCCGCTTAACCGTCGGTACTCCATTAGTGACATCTCCATATGGTACTGACGGATAGTCGCCAAAGCAGCTGTACTCATAGCGCGCGGTTTCTAGAAGACCACTCCAGACTTTCATTACGGTTGACAACTCGCACCAGCCGTCATCTCTTTGTTCGCAAGATGGATAGCTCTTGTGCAATGGCACTGTGCGTTGGTTGATCATTAGGTGTGCGTATGTTGTAGCACTTCCACTGCCATAATAGTCGGACGTCGTGGCATTGGTGCTGGTCGGTCGAGCCGCCTTGACCGGGTGAGGTGCACGGATGATTTCCCACACCTTTTCATAGGGCCAAAAGTCAGCAACGGCAACACAGATCTCATTTCACTTACCATCCGTGCTCCAAATGGGGTCACGTGAGATACAATCAATTGCTGGTTTGCGGGAGGACCCGTCGATGGTAGCGGCTGTGCAAACTGCTTCAAACCAAATGCTGTAATGATCGACATGATGTTGGTATCATGAGAGAAATCAAAATACAAGGTTTGATTGAGAGGGAACGTCGAGCTCATCTCGTCCAGTGTTGTGTTGACATTCGTCGACCCTGGCGGCAAATCATACAAATGGCCCGACAGACGAGCATACAATTCCTCGACATAACCGATGCCGACTCCTCGTCCTGTGGGAGATCCGAACCCATTGTTGCCGTTGAACTGGAGGTCGATGCTGTATTCAAATCCCTGCCATTCCTCGAAAGTGAAGAGATCGCACCATTGAGAGTAGCCCTAAGTCGCTCAGTTAGCTACGATCAGCACATCGACACGAAAGCGCGTATGACATACCAACGCCACTTCCTCATACGGACAGAGAGTTTGCGCATTGTATGTGTCGGCCACGGTCCAATTATATCCACCCGCCAGAGCCTTGAGTCGCTTGGTTGCATCAGCGAGGTAAATGTTCTCCCACACCAAAGACGCATTATTTCCACCTGTAGATTGCCACGAGTTGCTGTTATTACATTGGTAGTAACCCGCCAATGAGTTGTTGAACCCGTTCTGTTCGAGAATCGGTTCCAAGGTGGCGTTGTGCGTCCACTCGAGTCCAAAGAATCCCGCCATGAAATACTCGGCGGACTTGAGCATTCGATCCTGGGTGGTCGTTCGAGCAATGATCTTGGTCGACGTATTGTAGAGGGCGCCTGAAAAATGTCAATCCTGTTCATGTCCCATTGGATGCAAGTGGAATCCCGGCTCTCAACACCCGACGCTCACCATAATTGTAATAAAAGAGGACGCCGGAATCAAACATCTCCTGTCGTCCACGAGCCACTAGAATCTCCGCGCCGAGCTGGTATTTCCAGGAGTTCAGGAAACTCAGCTCTCCCGACCATTTTGCCGTCCCGTTCGCCGTAATGTTATGAAGTTTACTGCCGAAAGACGCAACCGAAGATGTTCCTGTAGGGTATCGAGCTCCATGACGGTGGAGTAAATTCACGATTGAGATGTTCGCCCCCGGCGGCAGCGGATACTCGTTGGCACCGAAGCCATTCGGGTTGGGGAAATAAGAACTCAATTGACCATGAAGTTGGAAGATACTTGCATTCTTCGTGTTGCCTGAGATAGGGACGTTGGTCTCGAGTGGCGCATTTGCAACAAAAGAAGCTTCCTGGCCAAATGGAGCAGGATTGGTCTGCGCCAGGAAAGGTGCAATCAGGCCGGTGGTGGTTGGGCCGGCAAAGATCTGAGGAGTAGTCTGGAAATAGTCTGGAACAGTCGCGGTGGGAGTCTCGTGCCTCAGATCCAGGACAGCTGCACCCGTCAACCCAACAAAGAAAACAAGAATCTTGGAGTCCAGCATGATATCTGGCTAAGGCCAATCTGCAATGCTAAGCTAAGGGAAGCAGATGAGGGGAGGGTGCTTTTTTTATTGGGCTCTCTCACAACGCGGGTACCTCAGGTGGGACGGCAAGCGGTACTTGTAGTTGTGTGCTTTAGGGTAACTCCAGCTTGAGCTCCAGCTACTTACCTGCAGGACCGACGCCATCTGCATTTATGATTCATCCTTCGCCGATAGAGATCGAATGATGCAAGGGTGGTACAACGCAAAACTCGCCTGTGCCCTGAGTGGTCCTATTGTATACTGCGGGGAGGGAGCGGACGGCTTCACACTGTTTGTTAAGCAGCTTGTCCTCATGGTGGGAGGCAGAGAAGAAAAAACAGCATCACTACCAAGAACGGTCAAGCTCCACCAAGCTCCTCAAGCTCTTCATCGGTTTTGTCAATCCGTAAGCTTCGGGTGCTTGTCAATGTCCTGAAATGCCCATCATGCAGGAACACGGCAGCAGAGAGACTCGAGACATGAGGGAACGTGAAAGAGTCCGTCCAGTTGATTGGTAAAGAAGCGTTCCTTTTGCTTCCTTGGCATCCTTGGTTTTGCGGGTACAAAGCGACCAGGTGACAAGAAGTGTAGCTCTGTTTGACTCCAATTGTCCCTGTAGATGATGAACTAGATACTAACCGACTAGGCCAAAGCATTCCTCCCAGAACCCGGTTACCAGAAAACCGATCTAGCTCTACTTCTTCCCGATTGACTGCTGCTCAGCTCCCAGTCATAGCCATGTTCGCCCAGGCTCCGTTCATGCATCGCTAAATGACTTTACATCAGGCTTCCGATCTACCCTGTTCATGCCACTTGTAATATTCCCTCCATCAGGTACGCTCCTCGGAAAGTATCAGTCATCAAACTTGAATCCCTTTCCACCACTGATATCGATGGCTCCACCACGATAGCTCCCACGTTTTTTCTTGTTCTTTTCTTTGGTAAATCCTTTGCCCCTAGTCACGGAAAGGTCTTTGTACGCACGATCAGCGTATCCATAACTCCGATAAGCATTACTGATGTGGCTGTCTGCAATGGCCTGGGCTGACAATTGTGCTAAAGGTGTGGGCTTCGCCCCAACATGTTTCTTTTTCATCGCAGGGGTCTTGGTGTGTTTGGTCGCAGGCTCGACTTTTTCATCTGCCACGTCTTCCGAATCAGATGATTTTGCAGCCTCGAGGTTGTCTCCGACAACAGTCCCAGACGAATCCGAGGGTGCTTCGGATTCCGCATCCATCTTCGTTCCATTGACAGGCGGATCGTCGACATCGCTCTCCTCTTCCTCCTCTTCGGATTCAGATGATGCTGTTGTTGCATTTTCATCGGATTCTTCTTGTGAATCTGAGGCCGACCCCTCGCTCGAAGCAATATCATTCATTACCGCACCTTCAGCGATCCTTGCTCGTTTTGCCCGTCGATCATCGTCTGGGGAGTCGGAATCAGAATCGGAAGAAGATGACTCTGATGAACTGGATTCTGCTTTTCGCTTGAGAGTGTTCTTCACAGCTGGCTCATGCGCAAGAGCCTGTTTTCCTGGCTTCGTAAAAGGCTCCTCCACTCCGTCCTCCTCTTCATCGTCCGCATCGCTGTCGGAGGACGAAGAAGATGGAGAAAGAGATCTCCTCTTGCTCTTGTTCCTTTTCGATTTGGAAACTGTCACCTCCTCTTCAGATTCAGATGAATCGTCACTGCTAGTGTCTTCATCCCTGACTGCGTTGCTGCTGGATTCTCCCTCAGACGACGTGACATCGCTTTCAGAATCGAGATCCGGTGAGCTGGCTCCATTCTGTTTCCAGCTCTCAACGATCATTTGAAGACTCACTCCTTCCTGCACACTTTCTGGAGTGGACCACCCAAACTTATCTTGTAGTCTCTGCAATTCTCTTGTGAAAGCCTTTTTTGTATGTTCCAAGCCATTGTCAGTAAGAAATGACAGCACCAGCGCAAGAAGCTGTGGTGAAGGCCCCGTGCCGCTACCTTGAGATCCCTTGTTCTTGGCCGTCATCTTCGATAGAGGTGAGGATTATCGAACACGCGAGCACGTTGTGCCGCCCTGAAAAGGAGGATTGAATTTGTTCGACAAATTCTCTTCCAGGATCAAGACTGCATCTCAGGGCCAAAAGTAGATTGCAGCCGATAAAGAGAGGTGCGGCCGAGGCCGGTGACAGTCGCACCTTGTAGATAAAGTGCGAGCCAGAAAAAAATTAAAATTTCTCCAACTTTGGATTGCGGGCGGTGAAAGGGAATGGCTCCACCGGTCCACGCTTGCTCGGGTTCGTGAGCGCTACGGTGGAGTGACAGAGGTACACTACGGAGGACCACAACTCGAGCCCATGAAGAGCGTCCTGTGATTGTGAATGTATTTCCACGTATGGAATATTGAGTATGACTAGAATGTCTCATCTTCAATGTTTGTGGTCTTTCGTACAACGCTGGGACTGGTAGCCTCATCGTCAAATCCCTGAGTTTCAAGTTCGCGGCTGAAATCTATTTCCCCATCGTCGTAATCCATCCCGGCATTTGTCAAGATATCCTCCACAATTCGTTTCGAGGCTTCTCTGGCTGTTTGACTCTGGTAGTTAGCCTTTAATAATATTTGATGGTGGGTAAGAGAATTGGATGAATCGTTCCTGGCGTACCTGGTGTCTTCAAAAGACGGTTCTGAGGAACGTGAAACTGCATTGTTTTGGGAGGACTTTGATCATACGCGATGTCGTCGTCCAGATCATCATCAATGTCCCAAACTCCAGGCGTGCGTGTAGGGGGCTTCGTTGTCTTGTCACGGGCAGGAGTCAATACACTGACTCCCGGGATGCGTGTTTTGCGTTCGGGAGATGAGAATATCTCAGGGTGTAACACCGGCGGAGCTACTTCGGGACTGGAAGATAGAGTCGGATCAAGAACAACAGTTCGAGTCCGCCGTGCCGTCATTGGGGTTGCTTGTACTCGATAGTTCCGATCCAGAACTCGGTGTAGAAGAGGGTCGGTTTTGGTGCGTGTCGTGAAAGGACGAGGAATCGATGTAGGTTGAGGTGGTAAAAATGGGGATGAGTGCGGCGTAGTTGATGAAGTATCAGCGTGAAAGGCTGGCTTTCCGGGCGTTTCAGGCAAAGTTGCTCCGGAAGTCAGTGATGTGGCATTGACGGTGGTGTTATTGACCTCTTGTCGAAGGGCTTCATAGGGTGATGGATAGTCCGCAAAGGAAGCCTGCCGGGCTTTCTGCTTCCCAGACGGTCGCGGAGTACTTTGTGACAGCGATTCTGTAAGGTTTGACAATTCAAGGTCCTGTATTGAATCTGTAGAGATGTGCTGCGCAGAGGGTGTCTCGTAAGATTCTGAGTTTTCTAGAGTGGTTTGGGTTGTAGTATTGGAGTCCTCAGTGACCGTAATATCCGTATTTTCGCATTGAGAGGGTTGTTCCTCATAGCCTGATAAGGACACGTTGGCGCTGGACTCGAAAAATTGTTTCCAAAACTGTACATATTTCAGTCCTTCGCGTCTCAGACAATTGACAATATTCTCACTCTCGACCCCTCCCATACATCCTTCGAATGAGCGGTGTATTGTTCCACAACCGGTAGAATGCTCGAGGTGACAATTCGGTGGGCACGACTGAAGTTGTGATCGATTTCTATTGAAAATCAGACTTGGAAAACCAAGGGAAAGGGTAATGAATCACGCGTACCTTGCAATGTTAGTGTGATTGATTGCTCGAGTTTCTCTAGTTCTTCGGTCAAGGTAAGGGTTCTAGGCTGAATAGCCGTGCTTGCGCGAGACATGTTTATGAACGGTGGTCGCAGACAGTGATTTCTTCGGCGCAGGGTGAGTGAGTCCAAGACGGAACACAAGCCTGTCTTGGGTACGAAGTATACAAAAATCAACGCGTCCCATAAGGAACCAATGGTAGGGGGTTGCTTCGCTTCTGGAAAAGAGCCACGGTGCGGGGGGAGAGTTTTGCGATCAAGGAGCCGGAGTGGCGTGTGTGGCGCAGCCACTCCTCTTCCTCCGGTCTCTCACTAAAGGGCTCTCATGATAGTGATATCAGGCTGACGCTTTTTCACAACTCTGCCTGGTCTCGAAGACCGCCGCACGCTTCTGTCGCAGGTGTCTTCCGACGGACCTTTGTTCAAAGCAATTATATCCCTTCCCTACCCAGCATCATCGTCAAAATGCCTGCTCCACTCGCTCGAGGTAAGTGCTCCTGTGCCTCATTGACAGCTGCCCCCTTACGTATCCCCGCCCACTTTTCGGGGCCCTCTCGCAGACACTAGCGATTCGAAGAACGTCGCTCCAAGTTACACTGGCTTTCATTCTTTGCGAGTACTGATATTGACTCCTCCGGTAGGAATAATCATCACGGTCAGCGTGCTGGTAGCGGCAAGTTTGGCCGCCTATGAGAACCCTCAAGTGCGAGCATGGATCGATCGAACCAGACGCAAGATTGCTATGGGCCTTCACTCACTCGGCGACGAAATCCACCCAAAACCACGACCTCGCCGTACGTCGACCGATGTCTCAATGCGCGAGGAGAAAGGTGAAATGGCGGAAGCCCGGAGACAGCGAGCGATCGCTGAGATCATGGAACGTGGTCGCATCATAGAAGAAAGAAGAAAGAGGAGGAAAGTCGTCAGTCCTGATCAAGCCCCTATACCGAGTTTTGATACAATGGTGGACGAAAATGGGGTGCTGTTGAAGCCCTTAGAAGACCATCAGCCCACACCAATGGCAAGCACATCTGGTATCGACGCTCTGGCTCAATCCGGGACCCTGCGCCAGAGGACAGGGGGATCGAAATCAGAGGCCACTCCTTCAGCCCTGTGTGAGTCTGTGGACGCTTCTCTTCCTTTGAGACACTTGCCGCAAACGCCTGTGAATCACGCTGAGCAGAACAATCCATTTGAATCGAGGTACGAGCGGGAAATGCGTGACGCTTGGCATATCCCTCTCTCAGAACGACACATCGAGATTCCATCAAGCCATGCATCTGAAAGCCTGATTGAGCTTACACCGACTACTGAGGACGCCCCTGACCCTGATTTCTCCATCCCGTCCGCCGAATATCTTCACCACCCACTGGAACGGACAGAATATTTTTCTGCTGCGGCGTCAAACTCCACACACACCTTGTCAAACCACGAGTTACACACTTCTCTTCCGGTCCAGAGTACATATCCGAATCTCCCTGGAGCGGTTCCGGATCAATCTTCTCCCAACAGCCACACTCCCGCCTCGACTACCCCTAGCATCAATGCGAGTGTTGGTGATATTCATGCAAGCGAAGCGGAAGGAAGCGCCGATGATTTCCTGAGTGAAATAGGAGACGGTATTCGTACACCTGCAAGTTCTTGGACTGAAGTTGATAGTACAGCCAGTGGCGATTTCAACTTGTAAATGCGCATCTTGAAAAACCTGGACATTGATTTCATGTATATTCAAGAAGCTGGTCCACACATAGACTATGTTAATGAGGCCCCTTTTGGCACCTGATATTGGAGCCTTCAAGGTGGATTTCATCATCAACCCCCTTTACGTTCGCAAAGCTAGGAGCGGTCAGCATTTTGTTCCTGGACAAAGTAATTCCAGATTTGGAGTCATATCAACACCTGTTTGGAATCAATCGTTTATGTAAGTATTTCCATGGCCCGAAAGTTTTCGATCATAAGCGTTTCTCTTGACGTCGACCGCAGGCTGCAAGCTGCCGTAAATGAAGCAGAGTACACAGTACCATACTGTAGCTTTGAGGATGCTGTTGGTTTACTGACCTGTCCTTCAATGGCGACCACCGACCCTCCTTCTACAATTTTGTTCTGGGTACGATTTTCGTTGTTGACGGATCCGTCTCACTTCCGAATCGAGCCGTTTCTTTTCCATTCCCAGTCATTCCCAACGCCTTCACAGGGATTTGCTCTTTGACTGCCCTATATCTGCATTAAAAATGGCCATCATTCACTGATTCCAGGGCATTCTCGATCCTCAACCAACTTTTCACACGCTGGCACTGTCTTCGTCATTGTGGGTATCACTCTACTTGATCAACAGACTCCCGTCTCCCCGTTGGTCTCAAAACCTTTCTCTGTGTTGTTGCAGAACCAACACGCTGCCCTTGTTGGGTCGGAGTCAATTGATATTACAAGTACCAAAGGATTCTGTAACATGCTCATCAAACGCTATGAGACGGGCCCGTGGTCCATACCTGATGTGAGATATTTCTTCCTTGGAGCTGCGATCTCTGCTAATGTATCAGATCGTGTGTGTTTCTGTCATTGGACCTCTGGTATGAACCGCTTTCTTGGAGTCTTTTCTATGGGTCGCAGCTTTTCGGTACTGCCTTGGAAAGGTCTACCTAAAACAGATCACTGGTCACAAAAAGTCCTGGCAGCGTTTATGATAGTGGCTTTCATTGCTCTTAGGTATGTCTCCCAACTCCCTATCCGATGCAGGGGTATATTCCTGCCTGCCATGATCACGACACTGCCGTTACCGAGCCGAATCATACAATATTTCCTCGCCAATTAGTCGCCTTTTACACCTTTGCAGCCATGCTTATTGTGCCTTGGCTGTTTTGTGTTTGTCGCATTGTCATCATACCGCTCGGAACGTAGGAAGTTGATCAAGTACCCTCTTGATGAATGGACTGCTCCCAAGGTAGTTGTGGTTATGCCAGTCTATAAAGAGCCACCTGACTCATTATGGACAGCATTGGGCTTTGTGGTGGAGTGCGATTAACCGGCTGCTTGCATACACGTCTTTGTGTTATTTGATGGTGACAGCATCATTGACCTCTCTCTGAAGATAATTGATCGACTGGGCATCCTGGTGACCCTGAGGTATTTTCCGAAGTCTATCGATGTAGCCTACAGTAGAGCAACAGTCGCTGTTTCAAGATTCCCTCATAGCGGAAAGCGACACTGTCAGAAGGAAACTTGCCTTCTTCTCAACAGATATTCAAGAGATACCTACGACAAAAAGATGATCTTTTCAAGACATGGAATTATGTTCATGGCCAGCTGTTGGAGAGGTCCATTGAATCGGGCTACGGTGCTATTACCTGCCTCTCAGGAGCCTTAATTCCGAAATATGGCCAGGTTCTATTTTTCTGACCAAGCGGATCATGCAAAGATGCACCTTGGAGAAAACTGCTGGCACACCCATCTATTCATGCTTGGATCAAAGCATCGCTATCAGATCCAACTGAGCACTAGCGCCTTTTGCAAGATCGAGGCAATTCGGACCTTCCGCTCACTTCCCAAGCAGCAGCGTCGATGGTTTCTGGGATTTATTACCAATGAGGTCTGCATGATGACTGATGGCTTTCTGGAAGAAACATCCATTCCTTTGTCTCCTTCGGTTTATGACCATCACTGTAAGGACAACAGCGAGTTACATTGACCGATTGCCTTGGGAAGAGAAGGAATTCGCCGAGTCTTTCAGTCATCAATGTAGGTATATATCTGCGCCGCGGGAACATGACTCTCTTGATATGAGTGATTCACAGGGAATATCGGTTCATACCCCACAACGAGTAGACAGTATTTCTGGTGACGATCTCCGACAGAGCATGCAAGGTCCCAGCCATAGCATCTGTCCCGGATTGAATGACATGTCCAGGGACAACAAATTACGGAGCAAGGGAAAGGTACCATCCGCGTGAAGCGTGGCAATGATCGTTCATCTCAGAAGCACCGAGACTTGAGTATGTTTGGAGGGTTAAGAGGAACGTCAGCATTAACAGGATCGGCAGACCTGGGTTGAGCCGTCAAAGCACCTTGGTGAAATCGCTGCCTGACGACGCTCCACCGATGGTAGGGTTCATATGGACATTTGAAGCTCACTGGGGAGGATCAGTCCACTGACAGCGATTCTTGTGGAGGAGAATCTCGCAGGTTTGCACGCAGGGCAAAACGTGGCAGAGACAAGCAATGGTAACGAGGCTGAGCGAGTTGGAAGTAAGGCATCGAGGCGGAATCGACTGCGGAAAAGAAGTCCTGGCTCGGCCAACACGGTCGAGATTGGGTAGAACGCAGTTGAGAGCCTTTGCATCATCATCACCATGTCTATATTGGGGGTCCTTATTATAGTGTGACAATAGAGAACTTGTCGACGATTCGCACAAGTTCAAGTTGTCAGTCTCTTTCAGGGTTTTTGCGCCTGGTGGATAATACGATGCGGGGATGGAAATGAGGTCAGCGAGGTCTTGCGCGTTGCTGTCCTTTTGTGATTTGATCGATCCACAGGAAGAGACGTGTGAAGTAGTGATTGTAGAATGGACGAACAGGTTGTGCCTGCGCCCGCCTGCACCTGTGCCTGATGATGAGTCCAGCATGCTGTTCAGGTGGGATGTGGTTCAGTGTGGCCAGTGCCGTGCCCAACACAAAGAGGAGCCAAGACAGGCCTTACTTGAACCTTCTGGAAGTCACCATTCGAAGTGAAAAGTTGGAGGAGAGCAGAGCGTGAGGTGAGGCCCAGGCCACATTCAGCCCGATCAACTTTTTTGGAGAGGACGCATTCTCAAATTTTGTCCTTCCCCAGACCTGTCTGTGTCTATTGTTGAAGAGCCCCGTTTGTCGACTTCGCGCACAGCTGAGTCTCATCTCAGCCCGTTGCATCCTGTTGGCTTTTTAGCTTTTCGCCTCCCCCCTTGCGAATCTAATCAGTCCGCCTTGAAACCCTTTTTCCTAGACCTTTACAACACAACGATCCGTCGCCATGAGCGTTGTTGGAATAGACTTCGGTGCGCAGAGCACCAAGATCGGTGTTGCGCGCAACAAAGGCATAGACATTGTGAGTAACACCATCCCCATCAGGCCCATCTAGTTTGCTAACGCAGAACAGATCACAAATGAGACTTCCAACCGATCTACACCGTAAGTCTCATCGCACAGCCTTATATAAGTTTTTACAGCTTGACTGACTGCTTACAGATCCCTCGTCGGCTTCGGTCCTAAGAGTAGATACCTAGGCGAGGCTGCCAAAACGCAGGAGATCTCAAATCTCAAAAATACCATCTCTTCATTGAAACGCCTCGCAGGCCGATCTATCAACGATCCGGAGGTTGCAATCGAGCAGCAATACGTCACAGCTCCTCTCGTCGATGTCAATGGCCAGGTCGGCGCCGAGGTCACATACCGGGGGGAGAAACAAAAGTTTACAGCGGTTCAGCTGATTGCAATGTACCTGGGTAAAATCAGGGACACCGCTGGGAAGGAGTTGAAACTTCCAGTCTCCGACGTGGTGATTAGTTGCCCACCGTGGTTCACCGACGGCCAGAGAAGAGCAATGCTAGATGCCGCAGAGATTGCTGGCTTGAAGCTCCTGCGACTGATCAATGACAATACTGCGATTGCACTGGGGTACGGCATTACAAAGTCAGACCTCCCCGAGGGCGACGCGAAACCTCGTCGGATATGCTTTGTAGATATTGGATACAGTGACTACACCTGTTCCATCGTCGAATTCCGCAAGGGTGAACTTGCAGTCAAAGCCACGGCCTATGACCGACATTTTGGTGGACGAAACTTTGACAAAGCCCTGGTGGACCACTTTGCAGTCGAATTCAAGGAGAAATTCAAGGTTGATATCACAACCAACGCAAAGGCCACAACCCGTGTCGCTGCGGCTGCCGAAAAACTCAAGAAGATCCTCTCCGCCAACGCCCAAGCTCCCCTCAGCATCGAGTCGCTCATGGATGACAAAGATGTGCGAGCCATGCTGAAACGTGAGGAGCTCGAAGAGCTTGTGAAGCCTCTTCTTGACCGCCTCACGGTCCCTCTCGAACAGGCACTCGCAGAAGCCAAATTGAAGCCCGAGGATGTCGATGCTATTGAGATGGTGGGTGGCTGCACTCGTGTTCCAGCCATCAAGGATAGGATCAGCAAGTTCTTCGGCAAGCCACTCTCTTACACCCTCAACCAAGATGAAGCGGTGGCGCGCGGCTGTGCTTTCAGTTGCGCCATTCTCTCACCAGTCTTCCGAGTTCGCGACTTCTCTGTTCACGACATTGTCACATATCCGATCGAATTCACATGGGAACAGTCCCCAGATATTCCTGATGAAGACACCAGCCTGACTGTCTTCAACAAGGGGAACGTCATGCCATCCACCAAGATTCTTACTTTCTATCGAAAACAACCTTTCGACTTGGAAGCTAGGTACGCCAAACCGGAAATGCTTCCCGGTAAGGTCAATCCCTGGATCGGACGCTTCTCGGTCAAGGGAGTCAAGGCCGATGAGAAGGATGATTTCATGGTTTGCAAGCTGAAGGCACGACTGAACTTGCATGGAATTCTCAACCTCGAGAGCGGCTACTATGTTGAAGATGTCGAAGTTGAAGAGCCCGAACCAGAACCTAAAAAGGATGCCGATGCCATGGACACCGATCAAGCAAATGGTTCTGCAGAGCCCAAGCCCAAGATGCGCAAAGTCAAGAAACAGGTGCGCAAAGGAGAATTGCAGCTCGTTTCAGGAACATCGTCCATGGATGAGTCAGCCAAAACTGCCGCAGGCGAACTCGAGAATGCGATGTACATGGAGGACAAGCTCGTGACTGATACGGAAGACAAGAAGAACGAGCTGGAAGCATACATCTACGAACTCCGTGGTAAGATCGACGACCTTTACTCCGAATTTGCCAGCCAAGAAGATAAGGATAAGATCAAAGACAAGCTGGAAAAGACCGAGGTAAGCGATATCATGACGGATGAAATAGGTTGTTGACTGACACATTGCAGGACTGGTTGTATGACGAAGGAGATGATGCCACGAAAGCACAGTATGTGGCCAAGATGGATGAGATCCGATTCGTCGCAGGTCCTGTGATCCAACGATACCAAGATAAGATCGAGGCGGAGCGTCAAGCACTCCTCAAAGCCCAAGAGGAGGAAGAGGCAAGAAAGAAGGCTGAGCTTGAGGCCAAGAAGAAAGCCGAAGAAGAAGCCAAGAAGAAAACCGAAGAAGAGGCCAAGAAGGCAGCACAGCCAGCAAACGAAGATACCGAAATGAAAGATGCGGATGGTGAGGCCGTCAAACCTGATAGTGTGGAGGAGAAGTAGAGCCGGGCCGGAATAGTGGCAGGATTGGCCAGGAGCGAAATGGGATCATCATAGATGAATTGAAGGACTCATCTATGAGCAAAACAAACAGCCTTAATGGATCGACGTGTCATGCATAGCGAAATGGAAACAAACTTTTTCGGGGCGTCGAGGAGGCAGACTTTAGATAACATACAATGTCTCATTTCCTTTGGGTGGTCTCGGGTTGGGATTGAACCTTGACCGTAGATGAAAGCAAATAGACCGCTAGGAAATGATATTCTATTCAACTACGGTCTGGAATCTGGGAGTGCTTTACCGAGGGATAGCCATTGTCAGAAGCTCCCCAGTCACTGTTATAGCACGTACGAATGAGGGTGGGAAAGGCTGACCCATTCCGAGATTTTGTTTGATGATCAGGTTCCGGTGGAAGGATGACAAAATCATAAAGCAGCGAGGATAGGAGGCGAGGAAAACTCGGCCGGGACTGGTGAGAGACTTGGGTATAGAAATTATCAACTTCACGCAGATGCCGAGGTAAAATCGCCCAAAGCGGATGACATAAAGATTCCCTCCTGCTGCTTTTCTGATTATTCCTTTCTCTATAGCCGTTTTCTTCCCCTTCCTCCTCTGCGCTCGACTTTCCTTCCATTTTCTCACAATCTTGAGACTTGTTCAAAATGGCCACCCAAAGACTCGGTTCCATCTTCTCCCACCTGTCCCCCGCCAAGACTGGTGTTTCTGCCATGTAAGTGGAATGCTGTGCTTCGACCGGCTACTCAGTATGCTGACACTGTTGTCTGCCAGCACTCAGAAGAACCCCGATGATATCGTTATTACCCTCGCTATCCGAACACCTCTCGCAAAGGGCAAGAAGGGTGGTTTCAAGGACACCGATTTGGACTTCATCGTCTACGCTTTGCTGAAGCAGGTGATTGAAAAGAGCAGGATTGACCCCTCGCTCGTCGAAGATATCTGTTTGGGCAATGTGAGAGACATGGTCAACAGGAGAACGAAATATCGTTTGCTGATGGGGTGTTTCCGCAGGTCGGCGATCCAAGAGCCGCGTACAAAGTGCGAGCCGCTATGCTCGCAGCTGGTTTTCCCCACACCGCAGCCGCCAGCAGTGTTAACCGATTCTGTTCGAGTGGCCTGAAAGCTGTTCAAGATATCGCCAACCAAATCTCCAACGGCAGCATTGACATCGGCGTGGCAATGGGTGGTGAGAGCATGACCAATAACCGTGGAGATGATACTCCCTTTTCACCTGAGATCATGGCCAACCAAGAGTCTGCCGACTGCACACAACCGATGATTCAAACTTCAGAAAATGTTGGAAATGACTTCAATATCTCAAGAAGAATGCAAGATGAATATGCCGTCGAATCCTTTAGAAGAGCCGAGGTCGCCCAAAAGGCAGGCTGGTTTGAGGATGAGATTGTTCCCATCACCACCAAGATCAAGGACCCCAAGACTGGAGAGTTGACCGAAATTACCCTTACTAAGGATGAAGGTCCAAGATATGGAACCACTCTGGAGAGTTTGTTGAAGATCAGACCGGCCATGCCACAATTTGGTGACAAGACTAGCGGTGGTAATGCCAGTCAAGTTACAGATGGAGGTTTGTATTACCCATTTGAATGGGAGAATCGACCCTGACTCGGAGTAGCCGCTGCGATCCTCCTCATGAAGCGCTCCAAAGCCATTGAATTAGGCCAACCCATCATGGCCAAATTCTGCGGCGCCACCGTGGCCGGCGTCCCTCCCCGTATCATGGGTATCGGTCCTTCCGCCGCCATCCCCAAACTCCTGGCCAAATTCCGGCTCACCAAAGAGGACATTGACATTTTTGAGATCAATGAGGCCTTTGCATCAATGGCCGTCTACTGCCTGAATGTCCTCGGCCTTGACCACGCCAAAATGAACCCTCGTGGTGGTGCTATTGCACTTGGACACCCTCTCGGAGCCACGGGTGCTCGACAAATTTGCACTATCCTCTCCGAGGCCCGGAGAACGAAGAAGAAGATTCTGGTGACTTCTATGTGTGTAAGTATTCAGCCTATACTCCAGATCGTTTGAAAGTCATATTCTGATATTGTATATAGATCGGCACCGGACAGGGAATGGCTGGCCTGCTTGTCAACGAGCAGCTCTAAACCTTTTGTGGGAGGGCGATTTTGATCCAACGTACGTGATAAGCAATTACATATTTGGTTCAAAAAGCACATAGCTTGAACATTGACACATCCATCTACATCTGCCTTGAAAGATATTTCTCCTGGTAGCGTGCTGAGGTTCTTCGCTGGCTTCTCCCCCCAAACATCATCCTTTACTCAGAGACGTCAGGAACCGTCATCGGCGTACGCCCGAGTCGTTGGAGGGGATGTTGTCGTTGGTGCCTTTCATCCAAAGAGGCCGTGAGAGCCATCCTCCCGGCTAGAGAGGCTGCACAATGACCAAGCTTTTCATCGTCTTTACGACAAATATGCTACCGGGCAGGAGTGAGATGGCGACAAGAACTGAGCAAGCAGCAAAGTATTCCACTGTTTGTCTTTATCGCTTTTCGTGGCACATGCGCAGCATTCTGATTATACTCGTGGCATTTTAGCTTGCTGTTTGGTGTGTTAAACAAGTTCGTGTACGTAGGGAACGAGGGAACAAGGTGTCCTTCGAACATAGATAGCACAGAACAGTAAACTTAGCCTCTTGCTCTTCCATACTCTAATACAGGCAAGCTCAGAAAAACAATGTTGGTCGGATATTAGATTACTCCTCAATGCCCCTGACTCCAACCTCTTTGCAAGTCCTGTTATGGAGAAATGTGCTATTGCGAAGTAGCCGTCCAGAAGTCCCATGAGCCACACTCTAAGTCGAAGCTGATGGAATGAAAGGGCACATGGTTCGAGTCGGAGGTACGCAGTATGCCAGTGAGTGCTTTAGTCTGTTGCTGAGGTATCTTTAATTTTCTACGCTGTTGATCTGAGTGTAAAGGTGATGGGAAGGGGGCTGTTGGTTCTTCTCGCTGAAGAGTCGTCCAAGCTTCTCTACGCTAGAGGCAAGGTCGTTCGGAGAATGACTTTCTCTTTGCAGAGTAGAAGCAGTTGTTTGCCGCCATTGCCACGGAGCCACCGCCGGCGGTTTTCGATTGAGATATACGTCGTCAGCGGCAGGTAGGTTCCGGTGTAAGCATGTCGCAAGGATTCCCATCCGGCTGGCATTTGATTTTCTGTTGACGATAAGGCTCGCAGAGTAGTGGAGATCGCTTTTACCCTTGTGCTAACATTGTGCGGTCTTTTTGCGAAGACGACGCATTTCATGTCACGAGTCAAGGGCTTCCTGACGAGCAGAAGCAGGATCAATTGTATGCCAAAAAGAGCTGGTACAGAGCGAGTCGATGTTCTAGAGCGAGACTATTACTAAGCTGGTTAGGCTTGTAATAAGAATGAGGTTTGACTACATAGACTTTGTCTGTGAAACGAGCGTATAAATATTTAATGTGGCATGTCCTGTTGGCTCCGTTGGCTCCGCTGGCTTCCCCCTGATTCAGCCCAGCCTCGCCCTCCAGGAGTGACGTTATTCAACTTTCGATTGATCTGGTGGGCAAGGGAGATGTTCATAGGTTGCGAAGGAAGTGGAGGGGTCGGAGATTACAGGGCATCCACCGATGGCATCTGCATTCTCGTTGCCGTTAGGGCGCGTAGCCACTGCCTAATCGTTAGCGAAGTTAGTGGGCCGTCTGCTCCGAGCTATGCGCGTTGCCCGCAGGCGACCGAGGCAGCAAAATCCATCGGATGATATTTTCTCAACTTTCGAAGCACGTTGTTCCAAGCCATTGGCCGTGCTGAACACCATGTAGTTTGCATTGAATAGTGACCTGGAGGAGGGAAATGGTTTTGCTGCATCCATCAATGGTGATTCCAATGGAGCGCCAGCGGTGGAACATCTCCATTAGAAAGAAATCAACACCGCAAAAACGATATTGGAGCGCGGGTACAATGGCCCCATAATTTCCTCGCAATATCCCGGCTTGGTGAAATGGTTCAGAATAGAGTGAGCTGCTTGCGCCGCTTTTAGAGCCAACGGTCTCAAAATGGCAGGCAACTCGTGGAGTCTATCTGTCTTCCTCTCAAAACGAGGGAGTTTAGGACCGGTTCGCTGAGAAATAATAGATTGCTGCCACGCATGTATTTGACCAGATCTTTCAGCTTTGTTCATGAGCCCCTCCAAGTGTTTGCATTCTCTGTGAATCTCATTGATTGAGGGGTCGAAGCACACAACATTTCGTAGCTCAGCTGTCTTGGGTGGTCGACCATAAGTGATACTCGATTGATGATCAAGGGCGTAGAGAAGGTACACTTTCATGAGACATTCTGTTAGTGTTTCTTCGCTTACATCGGTGTCATGGAAGACCTCGTAAAATGAATGATGCAGATTGGGCCCGAGACGCAGCATAATATTCTAAATAGCTAACGGCTGGAATACCACCCTGCTTGCTCCCAGCTGATACACCATGACTATCATCTACACACTTTTCAGAATTGATTTCAGTTACATTATTTGCTCATGACCTCCACTCATATGGGCACCCTTGCGCTGACAGTCACCAAATGGCTAATGGCATTCTTAATATGGCATCAAACTTGTAAGCCTTCAGCTCTCTTGATAAAACGAATAACAGGCCCACTCCTCCCAGCGGCCAAGTGATCCAGAAGCTTATATTCGAGCGCTTCTGAACTGACACCAAGCAAGCGATCCTCCTTCCCTCCGCCCAAATACTCCAGATCAAACATCCACACAGCACGAGCGATAGTGAGCCATAACTCCATCATTGCCAGCCGACGTCCAATACACATCCTGCTCCCGTAGGAAAAGGGCGTAAGAGCATCATGGCACCGTTTAACTGCTTCTTCGCTCGTTTCTTCTGCTAACCAGCGCTCGGGGATGTGTCTGTGAGGACAAGGGTAGACAGTGGGGTTGTGATGCGTGGCGTAAATGGGGACAGCAACCTCCACGCCTGCAGGAAACGAGTGGCCACACACGCTGAGACCACCCGATAGGACTTCTCGAGGTAAAATTCCGGGAAGACTAGGGCTGATGCGCAGAGTCTCGTTGATGACAGCATGTAAGTAGCGACAGGAGTCCAAGGTGGGCCCGAGGCGGATGGCGTCGACGGTGGTGAAGGCCGATCGAATTTCAGCAGTCAGCGTTGACAGCGTCTTGGGATTTTGAGTGATGTAGAAGAAATTCGCGGCAAGTTGAGTAGCAGTAGTATCAGAGCCTATTTTTACGGCCCAAAATAAAGTCAGTCAGTCAGGCTCAAAGGTACCTGTTTGGTTTCGAATGTGTGGTGCATATGCTGTACCTCCAATAATCAACGTTCTTGCCTCGGAGAATATCTCTCGAGGGTCCGTATACGAAGGACGGCCGTCCTTTTCTTTGGTGTTGGTCAAATACCAGAAAAAGTCCTTCCGATTCGGATCTGCCCGGAGCCGAAGTTGGGCCTGTTGCTTTGCGTACTTGATCAGCTGCGAGCCTCGATTGACGATTTCGGGGAAAAGAATCTTGTCCAGTCCCCATTTGTTCAGAAATGGACTTGAGCCGGCCTATTACGTTGCCTGTCAGTCTCATTTTCGCGTCTTTCCGCCAAGGTACGGGTCAAGGGGAGTGTTCCATACGATGAGTTCCCGATGGGCAGCGCCGTCGATAACGTCGGGAAGCCCCCTGCTCTCATGTCCAGCAATCATCCCAAAGTCTTTACCAAAGACCAAATCTCCCATAACATCAAACGTCAGATAGTTGCCCCATTTGCCCATATCTGCCGTCCAACATTGCGCCTCGCTCCGGAATGTTTCCTCGCCCGAAGCTGCGTGAAACATTTCACGGATATGTCTTTGCATATACTCTTCCATAGATGACAAGGCAGATTCGGTGAAAGCCGGGGCTAAGATACGCCGTTTTCTGGCGTGGAGCTGTCGATCACGAGCATTGAATGTGCTTTCGATACCCGAATGTTCGATTGCGGGTTGGTAAAAGACGGACTTTCTGACATTCTGGTTGACTCCGTAGATTTCTGCTCGTTATGGCATGAATAACTTACATTAGCGTAGGAGATTCTAAAAATCGAGCTTTGTCTCCACAAACGCACCTTTAATAGCGGCAGGATCATTGATTGTGACCACATTCGGTGCGACCCGAACAAAGGTGCCTAGTAAAATGAGGACTTTTGAGGAGAAATTCTCTTGAAGATCTTCCTGCTAGCGCACTGACCGTAATTTATATGCGCGAAATATGTATCTAGGTGCTTGTCTCCTTTGTAGGCATGGTAGACGGCATACCAATTGGTGATCCTCGCAAGAAAAGGTCCAGGATATTTTGCAAGAGGGTGGAAATAAAGTCGATACACAACCAGTGCAAGAAGCTTTTATTACTCTGCCGTTAGCATCGACACGTTGCCGGTATTTGCCGACGGTTTAGGTGTGAATCGTCATGCCCAAAACGTACGTAGCAAAACATAGATAGTGTCGGGATCGCCAATCCCCAAGCAATCGGGATGGACCCGACAGCATCAATCATCTTTGAGTGATGTTCAACCGATGGAGCCCACTCCAGCATGTTGTCTTTGATCGTTGGAGTTCACCTCGAGGATGCTGATGGTATGGTGCTGCGGCCTGGTTTGGAACAGGGGGGAATTATTATTCATTTAAATATTCACCTTTGGAGTGTACTGCTTCCACCTCTTATTTTCCGCTGCTCATGACCAACTCCGAGCGTTGTATTCCCGAGATGGAGATTTATCACATTCATATTGTCGGGGTGACATTGATGAGAAGTCGATATCGCCCACGCTCAGTGAGTGGCTACTCCTTCTTCCCCCGGGACTTCGGAATCATCCGAAGGCTTTTTGGTCTCGATTAATAAAGGATTGCCGGGTCACGGAGAACGAAAGGTTCGAGAACATATATAAAATACGGAGATCCGGGGTAGGTCTCTCCGCCCATTGGCAGCCCATGGGGTTTTGACAAGGCTAGGCACCAAAATGCGACCATCATTGGCCGGGGTTCTCATGCCAGATTCCGAAGATATCGGAACCGTGCTGGAATATTAATAACTGATCCCTGTGGCTGGGGATGGGGCTCACATGATATGAGTCAAAACATCCTGTGGCGCAGGAGCAGTCATTCCGCTCGTTGCTTCTTGGAAGGCCGTTATAAAGTTCTCACAACCTCCTCATGTAGGTGCCTGAATATAACTCACCGGGATAGTATCTTTGCAGCTCCTAGAGATGGCTCCAGAGACGAACGAAAGTCCAGATGGGACGCCGTACACTCTATACCACAACTATTACTCCATCTGCTCCATAATGATGCGCTATCTCATGAGAATTCGGGGTGATCCTGTCGACGCTGCCGCACAAATGAATGTGGCTGAACAACACGTCGATATCTTCAACGAAGAACAATTCAGTGAGAAATACTTGCTGGAGGTGAACCCCAATGGTCAAGTACGCCGATTCCACTTTTTTAAATGAGTAAACAAACAGCTACCAAGATAGCAGCATAGTTGGATAGATCGCTGACGGGTGTCTGCGACAAATCAGGTACCTGTGCTTGGAAGTCTCGTTGCATTTTCCTACCCCCTTGCTCAGACGACAGCAATAAGCGCCTATGTTTCCGAACGATACCCTGCTCTTATGCCCGTCGATCACGCCGAGACAATCAGAAAATCACTGATCAAGATGCATGAGCTCAACTTTTTCACCCTCTCATTCCTGAAAAGTCCCAAACTGGCATCTGGCTTCGCCGACGTCGTGTTGAAACGGCTGGCAAACAACGATATCAGTGAGGAATATCGCAAAGCGTTAGAATATAAGCTCATGATGTAAGTGCTGGACGTCATGGTGTTCTGTTCCCGGCCCTGGCCCCACGCTCCTCTCTTCTGGACGACTGCAATGTACATTGACAATGGTCATATTTCACAATGTTAACCCCAATGGGATAACAGTTTGAAACGGGACAAGGTCGATGCTCTTCAACCGGCAAAAATCGAGAACGAAGTGAGCAAGGCCACTGCATACATGCAAGAATTAGCGTCTTTCCTTCGACCTGATGCTGGGCCGTGGATGTTCGGACAACAGAGACCCACGGCCCTCGATGCTCATTTGGTTGTCATGATTGCAAGGTTGCAGGACGTCGGCCGAGACGATATCATTCCCGAAACTTTGAAAGCGTATGGTGATATGGCCATGAACACTCCCGAATGGCTCGAGGTCATGGATGGGAGACGAACAATGTACGATGGATCAGGGCTGGCACGTAAGGACTAGGTTAGAATAGATTTATCCAATATGTGACTTCATGCGATGCTGTTCGCTGTGCATAGAGGGTTTCATAAGGAAGTCTTTGATGGTGTAGAGGAGGGGAAATCGATGTTTTGGAAAATAACTCTTGTAGGATAATCGACGGGGAAATTCTATAGTATTTACTATCGGAACACGGAGGCCTTTTCTGTTTCAGCTTAATAGTGGTGGTGTGGGAGCAGGGTCAACCTTTGTCGTCGATCGAGTGCTGTTCACTATTCTGGGTTACCAAGAGCCAAATACGCACGGTGGGTCGATTTTGAGACCCTGAGAGGAATCTCCGCCTATTTCTTAGTCGGGTCACGCCGTAGTAATATGTGACATGACTGAGCCGTGAAGTCGAATGCAACTCGCCGCGAATGCAATACGCTAACGAAATTTCCCGTATTGACCCAGACCTCTCTCAAAAGAGGGCCCGCCGAGACAACAGTGGGGGATGCATTCCCCGACAATGGTCTTGGCATGTTTGTGGATTTTGGAAGCACGTGATACTGCGATTCAATTCGGACGCGCGGGGGAGAACTCTCACTTTAAAAAGCCCTTGCAACCTCGTCCACTTGCTGTCCAGTTCCCAACGTGGTTTTTTGTCTGCAATCAAAAGGAGTCTTAGATACGCTATTTACACTTACTTGTTCGTCATAAAGTTCGCTCTCGCGCCGTGGCGATGAATCCGCCTGCCACACGCCCATCGCGTCCTCGCCGGCCGGCGGCACAGAAAGCTCTCAATATGATCCACAATACTTACGGCGTTGGCACCAAAAGACCGAGGAACACATCCACTCACCAGACAAATAAAGCGCGGAAACGCAAGCGTGATCACACGCCATCTCAAACCCCTTCACAAGGTGATGACACTTCTTCGCAGTACAAACCGACACCTACTCACAAGCGCATGTCACGCTGGTTTGGTTGAGGAAGAAGATATCGTTTATGTCGATGAAATAGAACATCGGATTTTGGCCGAAGCTCGTGGAATCACGAGGAAGAACATCCCCTATGATACATTCCACTCGACCTTTCTGAGCCGCTTCAAACACAAAGACAAACGACCTCAGCTCAACATCCAAGACATTAAGGATATTGGTACCGGTACATTGGGACAGAATTCGTTCTTTCAGCGATTGCAACAAGCACTCCCTAAAAAGGTTATATTTTGTTCGAAGTGTTTTTGGAGGTCTTCTGTTAATCTAATTAATAGGTTCTTAAAGGCCTCAGCTTATCTAGCTCTTTCTCGAAGACGTTACCCGGATCCAAACAGGGCAAGGAGCCGCTTTCGCAACCGGATTTCTTTTTCCATCTCGGAACGGGTGCTGGTTGGGCTCATGTGGAACTTGTTTTTGAGCATACGCAAAGCCCCCTGCAAAAGGCCCCCGAAAAATTCCTGCAGTGGCTGCGAAGTGCCTGGAATGTATTCTATCATCAGCCCTTGCGCCATTATCTCTACGGGATTCTTTTCCTCAAGTCGTACGCCTTGATTACCTATGTTGATCATGGCTGTGCCGGGTACTCTGAGCCGCTGGATTTTGTGGAGAAACCGCAACACACTCAATTCCTCGCGGATTTTCTAGCGGATTTCATCGCGGAGTCTGAATATCGTGGACGGGATCCCTATGTTACGGCTCCTCAAAAAGACGGCTCGATATTCATTGAGTACGCGGGAATAAAGTGGACTGAGGCGCCCGATAGCTTACTGTGCTACCGTCCCTGCGTTTTTGGGAGACATCTTAGGGTCACGCGAGTGCATCCTGCGGACTCCCCGAACGATAGGTGGGTTATGAAGGATGCCTGGGAAGAGAAGGTTGAACACCCATCGCCGCCGGCGGAAGAAGAGGTCATCAGCATCCTTGTCGAGGCCAACGTACGAGGCATTCCACAGCTCCATGAATCGTGCCGTTCGACTACAAAAGGTAATGACAATGTGGAGGCGTCAGACGACAATATGGAGGTGTTGACCAGCGAGTTCCCTCCCGATTGTGAAAACGCACTCGCGGCAATAACTAAACGAGCCATGATGGTGGTCGAATCCGGCTTCGTATCTGAGCGCACTTCAAAATCCAATTCCCTCCCCGTACCTAAAGGCACGACAGGCCGGGAACTTCTTCGGCGAGCCAAAGGGAAGAGAAACCTTTTTAGTGAATGCGTTGACGTGCGCAGACGACGTGCCCGCCTTATCATCTCGTATTGCCAACCGTTGAAAGAGGCGATGCGCAACGCTCAACCGAAAGAACTCATACGAACAATCCGCGATGCTATGATTGTTTATTACGAGGCGTACAAACGTCCTAAGTATGGTTTTCTTCATGGTGGTAAGTTTACGAATGTGCTGAACGATAAATGGCACTAATGAATTCTTAGATATTTCGATTGAGAATATCATGGTTCCGGTGGAAGAGACTCAACTTACTGGCGGCCTTACCCACAAGACACTGCGCGGTACTCTCATTGACTGGAATCTATGCTTTACCGCCGACGGGAGAGCATCCAGCAGGAACATTCGAAGTGGTACTATTGCATTCATGGCGCCGAGTCTTCTTCGGGACGATCCAGTTCCTCGAAGAACCTTGGGACATGATATGGAGTCGTTCTTTGCTGTCATGCTTTGGATCGCATCACTCAATTATGACGATCATATCGCCTTCCAAAATAAGCCTCTAGTGAAGCGTGTGGTTGGAAATAAGTCCTCTACCGAAGATATTGCAGATGGTAAATTGCATTGGTTCGAGAATCCAGAGGCATTCGACAAGTCGATAATTGATCACTTTGAAGAGCCGTATCGCGAAGATGCCGACTTTACCTATTGCATATGGGACCTCCGGGGCATCTTATACAGGCGGAATTACGACGAAAATGCATTGAAGTATAAGAGAAAGAGGCCAACGAATCCCAAGGAGAAGAAAGATGATGACCCAATGAAGGAGCGCTTGTTCAAAGACTGCATGGCGGTTTTCGATAAGTATCTCGGCGACCAAGGGAAGCAAAGTGGCAGCTACCAGTTGAACAAGATCGATGCCGGGGAAGACCTAGAAGAATCGGAAGAGAGTTTTGACACGGATTCTGTGGTGGAAGACCCATCGGATGATACGGATTTGATGGAAGACGAGTCCGATGATACAAACTAGAAGGATCCAGATGATCAACTTAACAGCGCAAAGACCAGTCAGTGATGGGTGTAAAAAGGTGTATTCGAGACGAACGTACTGTATTTATTACCCACCAGCTCGGGCCGGCTCTTTTCCCAAAACAACGTGGGTTCAGCCTACGATAGCACACAGCCAAACAACACAATTACTATCAAGGGTATCTCAACTAAATAGATCTATGCCCATGTAATAGCCATCCTTCCACACTGTCTTTGTAAAGCCTATCTTGCCCCTGAGAGTGGCAGCTCTTTCCTTCTCCTGCATAACCCGCTGTTCCTTTGCTCTCCTATCTTCCTTCATCCTCAGTGCCTCTTCCACCGTGAAAATCCCGGCAGTACCAAAGTGCTTCTTCGTCTTCTTCCAGCCTGCCTACTTTGCTTTTCTTGACAAGGCCGTCGTTTATGAACTGAAGGGTTCCTGTCTGCAAGTGCTGTTAGTGCTGTCTCGAATGAAGTCCACCTTAGACCGATGCGGTGTGGGACACACCCTCAACAGCTGATCCACAACCTGATTAATCTTCTGACCTTATCTAGCTGGGCCTGAATAATTAACCCTTCTTCCGTCTTCATCCGTGAAGCTGGCAAGTGGAGAAGTCTTGGGCCTGTACTTCAGAAGACTGGGAAGTATTCCTCGGTGAAATTGCCTTTCACATCATCTCCAATGCCTCTCATGAAGCCTTTCTCTTCCACGTTGTACTGGTCCTCATCTGAGATGCCAAAGGTGGTACGGGTCTTCTTGTAAGGTTGAACCAGTCCTGCAGTATGGTGTAGCCTGTAGTATCCTACTTGATTGGCCCAGGCTCCGGCAGAGCGTCTGCTATGGAATTCGACTTGGAGGGTGGTTCTGGGTATGTTGTGCTGCTCCCACATGTCCTCCAGGCGCCGTGTTTGGACCGGTGTGGTCGATGGTGCCCATTCTTTCAAGGAGTTGACGGTCCCCTGGCTGTTTCTGAAAGGGGATCGTTTCTGGTCCCGTGGATGCTATCACCGATACACTGATACAAATGACGTATGCCTAGTCTTGACGCACACACAATAATTTGCATGGGAAACTGCAAGGCGTTGAATAACTTACCATCTGATCGAATTGCTTTTCATACTTACCAACCCTGCCAGCATTTGACACTATCGTCAACGTTTGTGGAGGCAACTGTGGTGTTTTCAACCAGCAATATGGCCTCTTCTGCTCTTGTTATGCCGCCGCCGCTTGGACAGTCCCCCTGGCTGTCATCAGCAGTATAGGGCCCCTCTTGAAAGGGCCATCAATAATCCCCCTCCCACCTGGAGATTGCGGCCTGCCACCGGCGAGGTCTTCCAGTCGAAGGTAGAGGCGGAACGTCGTCTGCGTCTGAACCGTCTGCGTCCACCGCACCGCCAAAATTGGGTAGGAGGACTCATTCGAAGCGATACTAAGAGGCAAGGGCATGGGGAGTTATAGCAGAACCGCAGGAGGCACACAAGGTTGAACGGCAAGGGATTTCAACTTCAAGTTGAAATCTGGTTGTCTATACCAAATAGGCGACGGCGAGGTTAAATGGACGCTGCAGGTATCCAAAGGTTTGCAGTTTCCCATACAAATTACTATGTTTGCGTCAAGACTGGACATGTTAGTGTTGTTGTTGTTGTTATCCATGGATTGGATCCGATAAAGGTGATATTTTCATGGGATTCGATCCGTAAACCATGTCGAGTGCATCAGTGGAGCTTGTCAGGGTGGTCCATAGACTGGATCCGATGGTGAGTGAGTATTTCATCGGATCCAATCCATGGATCATGTCGAAGGTGATCAATCGAGCTCGTTTGGGTGGTCCATAGACTGGATCTGATG